AGAGCAATCAAAACATAGCGACGTCTGGAACGAGACATGCTGACAGAGATAGATCCCTGCATCCAGAGCCCACGAGCTAATTAGGTACAAAGCACCATGCCCATCCTCCTATTTTGAGCTTGTTTCTTAGTCTTTCGTCAGAGATGATATCCAACCTCGTTGCCCATGTAGCCCATGAGATCAACTCTAACGTGAGAAACCATCAAATTGTTAACATGCCTCCTAAAACTTCTGCAGACCTAGACTGATACATAAACTCCCACCATCTGTCTGCCAGCAATGTGCACATATCTAGACTGGGTTTCTGTACTTGCAGAAAATAAATTTTCCTGCTCGTCAGATGAGCTGCAAGAAGAAATATGGCCCATCATTTCAGGAACTCCAGACACATTTTCTCCACCTTCAGGCCATGCGGTTATCTTTTGTTTCTCAGAACAAGGCTACTTTGAATGCATCAGTATTAACGAGGCTAGTAACCTCATTACTCCCACTAGCTAACCGAGTAATATTTCTCTCTCCTGGCATAGCGCATTAGCATTGGAAGATCTCAACCCTGGCAAAGCAGTGTCATGTCTTAGACTTCTTGTCAGGACCCCACCATCACTGAGCAAGGTTCTGATGGAGGAACCTCGGCGCACGCCTGAGGGGAAGGCGTACACATGTGTGAGGTGCCCATGAGAGCGCACACGGCATGCATGCGAGGCCAACTGGCGTGCCCTGGCACAAGTCTCAATGCGTCCCCATGGCACCGTGCAGATGGGCACATGACAGGGCAACTGGCGTGGCATAGGTGCCAAGGTAGCCAGCACGGTGTATACGAGCACAGCCGTTGGTGCAGGTACATCAGAGAGCACACGCGTAGGTGAGGATAATGTGTGTTGGCATGGGTGCGGCCTGTGCGCAAGCAAAGGTGTGCACACAGTGTGCACATGTTTGTGTGTGTGCGGTGCGTCAGCAACAGCATACTCGACGAGCATGGCGACAGGGATGCTGGACACAGTGGTGACATGCACAGTGGGTGACACCAGCACTTCCTGCAAATGTTGCCCTAATTCTTCATGAATTCAAGGACCAGTGTATGCTCATTCCTAGCGCATAGCCACCAGTGTATGGCTCTATTCCTGAACATTTGGAGGTGGAGCACATCAGACCATCCAAGGTTCCTTACAGCGCACCAGTCCTCTTCTAGAAGGATGGAATGCTTTGACTGTACATCGACTATGGGGCCTTGAACAAGGTCATTGTGGAGAAAAAGTATCATGTAAAATACCAGAGAATTCTTCAACTGTTTGGGTGACATAGATACTTTTCTCAGGTGGACTTGAAGTCAAGGTATAATCAAGTTTGGATCTGGAAGAGAGACAAGCCAAAGACCATATGCCTAATGTGATATGGATCCTATGAGTTCATGATGATATCATTCGGGTTCATCAATCCTTCGACCACGTTCTGAACTCTTTCAAGAATTCTTCAATAGGTTCATTGAGAACCTAATGATCATAAGAAATCTTAGGTAATGAGAATAGATAAATTAAAAGATGGACGAGTGTAAGAGAGATGAGAAATAAGTGAAAGATGAAGAATATGAGTGAAATGAGATGTAATTAAGAAAACCCAAAGTCAAGGTTGACCTAGAGGGTTGTAGAAAAGAAGTTGTGAAAATATTTTGATGAGAAATAATGGTAGAAGTCAAAAAGAAATAATCTTACTACTAAGAATTTATCTAGAACCGTACATTTTACCTTAGGGAAGAAAGATATGAGACAAGTAAACAGAAGGAAGAAGATTACTCAACCTAAGCCTCTATTTGTCACCAAGGTCAAACAGTTTTCTATAGCAAGTTGATCTCCAACAATTTTACTCTTTACAACTCAATCTTTTGACACTCAACCTTGTTCTCAAGGCATCTCTTGATCACTCAAAGATTACACAAAAAGGGAAGAAGAATATATCTTTAAAAGAAAAATGGTTCCACTCCAGCCAACTATTGTTGTGGCGCCTTAAAAGATGAGAAGAAAAAGGGGTAAGAGGATACATATAGGTGGTAAAAATTCTCAAAATATCGTTAGCCCCTTTTCTTCATTAGCACAACCTTCTTGAAGTTGATTTGCAACCTGAAGGTTGGGATGCGAAAAGCATGTCTTGAAGATTGTACCCATAAAATTTGGGCTCAAAACTCCTTCCAGTCCATCAGATATTGATCCTCGTATTCCACTCTAACATGTTCTTCAGCACGTTTCACAATTTGGTCATTGCATTAAAGGCGATGACCTATCAATACATGCGAAAAATTATAGATGAAATAAATATTACCATAATCATTAAATAAGCATGGTGTCATCACATCAAATGCAACGACACATTAAATAATCAAAATACACATGGCATGGCATGTGTCGATATCTTGTTAATTATAGAAAAGCCCCTAAAATATGTGAAATAATGCATATATATTTCCTAATATTACTTTTATGTCTTTATGGTCAAAATAAATCTAAAACTAAGACATAAAAATCTGAGATTTTTTTTAAAGAATTATGAAAATTCATATAATCATTATAAATTATTATTTGGCCATTTTATAAATGATAACATGCTAAAATAGAAAAATTATTCACTAAAATATGTTCACTTTAAGGCAACTAATGAGTATTTTTAGCATAGTATCACACCTCCTACTTAGATTATTGTTAGTTTCCTTAGCAAATCATTATGTTCAGCCTTAGATTATTCATTCAGCTGAGTTAGAAAAGTGTGAAAGTAAAGTGTTCAAAACATCATGCTCACCCTATAATCTAGACACCATCCACTTGGTTGACTATATAGAAGATAAGGGAGTGGCTAATGAGGGTTGATATGGACCTACTTCTCTCTAGGTATCATACTATCACCTTGAACCTTCAAATATGTGCTGCAACATAGGCTCTCAATGAGGGAAGCAGGCGCTCTCTTCTTTTTTGGTAGCTACTTAGATGCCTAGCAATTCACACTATGTTCATGCCCACCTCTTGGCCTATTACAATAAGAGCACCTCTACTTATTCATGGGCATAGAATTCAAAAGAATGTGAAAAGATGTGTACAATGAAGAGAAGAGGGCAGACAAAGTGTTGGCGGTGGTCAAAGGCCATGGGTCTAGAGTTATGTGGTGATGAATTAAGGTTTGGATGAAACAAATAATGGTGGGTTGAAATGGCCTAATGGAGATGGAAGGATGGAAGTAGAAATGGTGATCATGTAGATGAATTCATCTTGGCAAGTAAGCAATAATGATGAGATGAAATGAAATGAACATACTAAGTACTAGGTACCTAATGTAGGTACTATGTACCAGATGCTAAATGAGGAATGCATGCATCTCCATGTCTACTAAGTAGAGAAGAAGAAGAAAATAAAAGAATAAAAACATCCCAAATAACAAACTACCTCCTCAAATTTTTATTTTTATTTTGCCCTTTTGTCTTTTTTGTCTTTTTTGTCTTTTTTTGTCTTTTTGTCCCTTTTTTTTTCTTGTTTTCTTTCAAGGACTTCAAAAATGAGTGGGACATAAAATACATTTAAGATGAAATAGATGAGAATAACTTAAACAAATGCATGTCATAGAGTGGGTGAGTCCTCACGGACCTCTAGGGGAAGTCCCTAGGTATGTATGTGCTGAAAGGCACCGTTGTGTTATCACCCAGCTCCAAATCAACAAAATAAAAAAATAAAAAAAATGCATGTCATGGGAAGATATGATGAATTGCATAAATTGCCAAGATCTCTGTTCTCCCCTCACTAGGTTCCCTAACCACATATGTAACTGACCATTCTAATTGCCCCTTAATTTGTCTAGACCATGGTTAGGCATGCATCCCATTCAATTGTGAGCATGATCCACTCAAAAGAGTCTAACTCAGTAGTACATGCTTCCTTAACCTAATGTGATTAAATGATGCAAGGTGGGGTTCTTAGGAGATTTTGTTTCAAAACAAGGCATGAAAATTGACAAATGATAACAAGAGTTTTGAAATATTTTCAATAAAATCACATAATTATTGTTTGACCTAATCCTCCCCCCCTATTTAAGCATTCATGGTCCCCCATGCAAGTAAAATAAAAGGAACTAGTGGGCAAATAGTGGATAATTAAACTCTCTTGTTATCAACTTTGTGATCTTTATGGATGGACTTGAATACTGGTCTTCATGCCTCAAGGAGGTCAACTTGATCAACATCAGATCTTGAAAAATCTGCTCACAAACAACTCATAATAATATCTAGTATTGGGTAAGATGAAGAGATAAGAAATTAGGATTTAGTGAATCCCTTATTAGGTTAACTCTCATCTTAGTCAAATGTTGAGTTGTAGGTTCTGAATTGAATGCTGATCTGATTCTCCTTAATAATGTCTTGATTAAGAAGCCTCGTCTTGAAGTCCTTCACCTGCTAAATTGAGCTTCAGAACCTCAGACTAACTACTAGATCCAATAGCTATTAAGTAAACTTTTAAGAAAATAAAGATAACAAAGGCAACAAAGTAAAGCAAAGCAAATTGAATAGATAAGAAGCTCCTAGGTAATTAAATGATCCTAGTGCTGAAAAAATGATCTAAGGGAGATTAAGAGGAGGATCATGAAGGTCTTCTAATATGAGAGGTGGTTGAGTTTCAAACTCTATATGCGGTTTTAATTGTTGACCATTCACCATGAACTCTAGGCTACCATATGGCTTTACAACCCTAATTGTCTCATTTTCATAAGCTTCAAGAACCACAAAAAGGCCATTCCATCTAAACCTCAACTTCTCTAGAAAGAGCTACAATCAAGAATTATATAACCACGCCTCTCTGATTTGGATGAAATTATTTCCTTGTAATATGCTTGTCATGGAAGGTTTTCATCCTCTCCTTGATAACAATTGAATTCTTGAATGATTCATTCCTTAGCTCTTGGAGCTCATGAAGGTGAAACATCCTCTTCTTCCTAACCTCATCCAATGAGAGATTGAGCTTCCTAATAACCTAATATGCCTTGTGCTCAATCTCAACTAGAAGATGACAAGTTTTCCAATATATGACCTTATAAAGGGACATCCCCGAAGGGCTCTTGTAAGTGGTTTCGTAAGCCCATAGGGCATCAAAAAGCTTGTTCACCCATTTCTTCCCATCTAGCCGAATCATCTTCTTGAGGATTTTCTTGACCTCCATGTTGCATACTTCAACTTGACTATTGGCTTGGGGATGATATGTGGTCATCTTGTGTTATACTCCATATCTCTTCAACAAACTCTTCAAGTATGAGTTGTTGAAGTATGACTCTCCATCACTTAAGATTGCTCTAGGACATTCAAATTATGAGAAAATAGTTTGCTCAAGAAATTTGATGACAATCTTATGATAATTAGTCTTAGTAGGGATAGCCTTTACTCACCTAGATACATAGTCGATTGCCATCAATATATATTCATTTTCCATGGATGGAGAGAAAGGTCTCATAAAATTTATTTCTCAGAAATCAAAGATCTTTACCTTAATGATGGGATGCAAAGGCATGGAATATCTCTTGTCTATATTCTTTGTAGCTTGACACTTCAAACATTACTGAATATATCCATATGAATCGTTGAACAAAGATGGTCAATAAAATCTAGCTTAAAATACTTTCATTGAAGTGATCTTAGGAGAATAATGACCACCACAAAACGTGGAGTGAAAAAAATCAATAATACTTCTTTAGTCCTCTTCAAGCACACATCTTGTATAAATGTGATCAACTCCCAAATGAAATAATTTAAATTCATCCCAATAGAAATGATCATTTGGAATACTCGACATCAACCTAGTAGAAGGAGATAAAGAACAAGTTATCAACAATACAAAAATCTATTTTCAAAGGTATGGAAGAGATGAAGAAAATGATTTTTATTTTTGTCAATTTAATTATACATAAAATGTCTTTTTTAGTCCAAAATTCTCATGAAATAAATCAATGTGGGGTTATGCAAAACCATTTATATTTCCATTAACCTAGTTAATCTACTAAGTGGAGAGGGTAAAACAAGAGTCAAACCATAAGAACGAAAGTGAATGATCTTAAGAAATCCTAAATAATGAGAAGAAATAGGTTAAAAGATGGACGACAGAAAAAGATATGAGAGATGAGTGAAAGAAGAGGAATATGGGTGAAATGAGATGTAATGAAGGAAACCTTAGGTTAGAGTCAACCTAAAGGGTTGTAGAAAAAAAGTTGTGAAAAGATTTTGATGAGAAATTGATGAAGTCAACAAGATGATTCATCCTCTTAGGTGGGCCCACAAGGAGGAAGAAGAAGGTGGAGAAGAGGCCACATCTCCCACATGCTCCTTCTTCCCTAAGGAAAGGGGCTCTCCCTCCAAGAGACACCACTAGGCATCCTTTTTAGGGGGGGGGCTCTAACTACCTTCCCTTATATTGAAAAAAAGTTGAATTTGGAATTAAGAAAGTTGTTATCACTCTCATAACTTGGATTAGGGGTTCCTCTTCTCTCTCACTTGCCTCTGAGATTAGGGTTATGTTCTTCTTCTTGCCCTCTTAGATTAGAGGGACCTCTCTCTCTTTCTCTTCTCCCACTTCGTCGTACTTCCATCCCATCATCAGCCCTCCCTTCCCTCTCTCCTGCCGTCACTACTGTTCTGCTTCCTAGCCGTCTGCCCTGCCGCCAGCCCACCTTTCTTTCTCTCCCGCCATCGCTGCCTTTCCACCCGTCGCCTCCGTTCCACCTCCTCGGCGTCCGCCCTGTCGCCAGTCCACCTTTCTTCTCTCCCGCCGTCACTGCCATCGCTGCCTTTCCACCTGTCGCCGCCATTCCACCTCCTCGCCGTCTGCCCTGTCGACAGCCTATCTTTCTTTTCTCTACCACCATTGCCACCATTCAGCCCCTCGCCGTCCGCCTCGTAGCTGCCGTTCACCCCGTTCCTCACCGTCTGCCCTGTCGTTAAACCCTCTCATTACTCTCTCCTGCTGTCGCCGTAAAACCTCTTCTCTCTCTCTCTCCCGCCGACGCCCTCAATACGCCCTTTTTCTCCCTTTGACCCTTTCCCTTTTATTATTTATTTATTGACCCACACCGGCTTTCCCATTGTCACATCAATTCACGCACCCATTTCTTCCTCTGATTTGTTACTTTTTATTATTAATATTATTATCATTTATTCAATTAAACCAGATTGTGAGCCTTAATTGTCCAGCCCAAATGGCCCATTTCTTAATTCAACCCTTGGTCTCCTCACTCATTTCATTCTATCTCCTTGCTGTTGACTTTCATCACTTTTTTACTTCAAATTAGAAATCCCTAACAAGCTTGTGGAATCTTAGCCAACAAGAATCTTTAAGAAATCAAAAGTTTTCATTGCAAAGGTGCATCTATTTTCAGTGTTTTGTGAAAATTGGTTATTAATTTTAAATCCTTATTCTTAGAATTTGTGAAACCCATAAGATACTCACCTTCACATGAGATATCGGTGTTACAAACCCTAGTTGAGAAGTCTTGTCTAATTATTTGAATTAGATACCCTAATATGTAATTAATGATCCTAATTTTCTCAAAGAATAAGATAAAATCATCTATAGATATTAAGCCATCAAAGTTCTTATCTAAGTTGACTCTAAAGCCCAACGTATAATTCTCTTTAGAGGGATCTCTTATAACCTCTTGTGTTGCATAAAAAATGATGGTCTAAGTCAAAAAGAAATAATCTAACTATTAAGAACTTATCTAGAACCTTAGGTTTCATCTTAGGGAAGAAGGAAATGAGACAAGTAAGCAAATAAAAGAAGATTACTCAACATGGGCCTCTTATCTGTCACCAAGGCCAGATGGTTTCTTCTAGCAGGTTGATCTCTAACACTATAGTTTTTACAATTCAATCCTTCACACTCAACTTTGCCTATAATGACTCTCTTGATTACTCAAAATTACACAAAAAGAGAAGAAAAATAGATCTTTAGAAAAGAAAAGTTGTTTCACTCTAATCAACCACCATTAGAGATCCTTTCAAAAAGATGAGAAAGAAAGGAGGTGAAGACATACATATCTGCTGTAAAATTGCTCAAAATACCCTTTGGATCATGCCCATAAAATTTGGGTTAATTTGTTTTTACTACCTATCAACACATGTCAAAAATTGTGGCTACGATAAAGTATTGCCATGATCACTAAGTAACCATGGCGTCATCAAATATCAAAATACAAACAGCTTGACACATGTTAATATCTTGTTAATTGCAGGAAAATTACATAAATATGTGAAATAATGTATATGTATTTCTTGATATTACTTTTATGTCTATATGGCTTAAATTTATCAAAATAAATCCAAAACAAAGCCACAAAAATCCGAAAAAATCCCTAACCATCAAGAAAATTCATAAAATCATTATAAAATTATTATTTGGCCATTTTATAACTGATAACATGCTAAAATAAGACATTTAATCTCTAAAATATGTTCACTTTAAGGCAACTAATGAGTATTTGTAGCATGTTATTAGACATAAGTCAAATGATTGTGCCCAAACATAGTGTAGTAGATTTCACAAAACCTATTGAAGAAGATTTTATAATAATGGAGTAGAAGACCAAAAGTAATTTCAAGAAAATGTTACTAATGGGGATGAAGAGGAGCACTCTTGTTTTCTAGTTGTCAAAAGGCTGATGTACATATCAAAAAACAAAGGACATCCACAAAGTCAATATATTCTTAATAAGATGTACTGTGAAGAACAAATTAAGTTATGTTATAATTGTCTCAAGTGATACAAAAATTAGGATTGAAAAGAGAGAAATATCCTCATTCATACAAGATTGGTTGTGATGTAATGCAAACAAACTGTCTCCATGAAAAAACATTTTTCTTCATGATGTTTTCTTGTTTGTAGTTCTAATATTATTGATATAAAAGTTTTTAATAATCTAAGAGAATAAATTTAAATTTTAAAAATTTATTTATTTATCCTAATTTTGTTCTAAAATCCTTCCTTGATCCTTGAAATTGATCCTTGTAAGTGCCTTTAATTTTGACATATATAGTGAAAAAAATATTTATGAATTATTCTTGTGTTATTTCTTAAATAATTTATTAAATTGTCAACATATATCATAATTATTTACATCAAAAGTTAAATATTATTAAAAAAATATTTCAATTATATACATTGATGATTATAAGTATAATCATTTGGTTAATAATGAATCTAAGGAGTCACACTCTTAAGATATTTTTCTATATTATCAAAATTACTTGTGTCAATGATATTTAACTTGTGTCAACACATGTGATGAAGTCTCACACATATTTTGAAAAAATAATGTCATTCACGATATTGGGATGCAGCACATGAACGTTGTGAAAATAGAAACGTTATTGTGAAAAATGTTTAAAAAATCAAAGACACTAACAAATGTGGGATTCAAACTCAAAAAGTAAACTATGCAAAGGCGAAAAAATGATAACTTATATGGTGACATGTAAGAGTCTTACGTTGAGAAAACAGTAGAGCATAATGACAAGCTTCTACTCAATCTCAAATGCAAGATTATCTATTGAAGTATCACCAATCTCTAGAAATAAACTTCAAAGATCAATGTGGGGGACTTAGATGTTTTAAAACAAAAAAAATTCCAAGGTTGGTCTCATGCACCCTAGATGATAACACATCACCAAAGTTTGTGGGCAAAATGACAAGATCAAAGACTATTGACATATCACTTTGAAATCAAACTTAAAGCTAGGTCTGAAAACAAAATTGTCGATGCCTTATGTCATGTACCCTAGGTAGCTCACCTCATTACATCCTCTTTTCTATACCTCATTCCTTTTGATCATCTTTGTGAAAATATTTGGAACCACCCAATATGACAATAGATCATCCATGACTTGGGTTCACTTCATCAACGATGGCCGAACTATTCTTTGAATGGGGCCTCTTCTTTTACAAAGGCAACCTATTTATTCCTAAAGAATCTTCACTCATTTTGAAGATTCTTCACAAATATTTTGATAGCACAATAGGTAGGCATTTGGGGTTCTTATGAACCTACAAATAAATCCACATTGAATTTTATTGGTTATGAATGAAAATAGACATTAAAACTTATGTGTCTCAATGTTGCATCTATCAACAACATAAATATGAAGCACTTGCACCAACTAGACTCATGCAATCACTTGCATTCTTGAATCAACTTTAGGATGTGATATCTCAAGAATTTATTAGTGGATACCTTACTCAGGTGGTTTCAATTAACTATTGTTGGTTGTTGATAGATTGCTCATTTTTTCCTCTTACATTTCACTAGAAGTAGCCAAATTATTCCTGAAGGATTTTGTCAAATTACATGGATTTCCTCTTACCATCATCTACAATTGAGACCACTTATTCATAAGTCAATTATGGACATAATCATTTCATTTACAATGCACGAAGCTACACTGAAGCATACCCTATCATTCCCAAACAAATGGTCAAATGAAAGTTGCTCCACATTTTATCACCCGTGAAGTTGGTCTCACGGCTACCATGTGCCGAATAATGGTCTAACACCAATTATCATGTGGCTACTCAGTTCACCCCCTTTTTAGTTTGTTTATGCTGCAATCTTCTCCTTTGGTTCAGTTTGGAGTGTAGTAAGCACTTGTGGCTGTGGTTGAACATCAACTTTAGGAATGAGATTAGGCATTGCTTCACATTAACGATTAATTATGTCAAGCACAAAATTTCATGAAGAGGCAACATCATAAATGTTAATGTGAGTTATCTTTCAACATCAGTGATGTGGTTTATTTACAATTACGACAATACCGACTAAAGACATTGACCAAGCAGGCAAATGAAAAGTTCTCCTCATTATTTTTTAGGCCTTATCAAATTCTAGAACACATAGGACAAGTGGCTTACAAACTAGAGCTACCTCTAATGGTTTGCATACATCTAGTTTTTCATACTACTCTTCTTCATCCTACCTTGAGCTTGCACGAAAACTGTCAACTGCTACCATCTATCTTAGATGCTAATGTGCAATAAGATGTGGAACTTGAAGAAGTGCTATAGGCAAAAAAACCCTTCACATGACATGAAATTTTGATGAAGTGGATGACCTCAAACTATCTAACCTTGAAGCCACCTAGGAACCATGGGTTAACTTCAATCAATAATTCCTGACCTTCAACTTTGAGGATATGATTGTTCTTGATGGACAAGAATGTGAGAGCCAATATCAATAGTCTCTTGGATAATCACCACATTCCCCAGAAGAGTGATCCAACTCACAACACCAACAACCTCATCAACACCCCACAATCCAAGTGCTAGATAAGAACGTGACGAATGTAACTCCCCCACTAGTAGTTCCATGTAACATAACTGCCAACAATCATGCACCTTCTTAAACAGGTCATTAGCAAGGATGATGGGCGAGAAAAGGAGCTGGTTGGGATTTGAGGCCACTTGAAGTGTCGCCTAGTCGAGAGAATGATTGGTTATGACCATCTATTTTCTCTCTCTCTCTCTCTCTCTCTCTCTCTGGTGTGTCATCTCCCTTTCTTATGGCCGTCGTCATTCTCACTTCCATCCAAACTTCTTCAAGTTATAGTCATCATTACATGTAAAAGGACATTGTGGCTCCTTCAAGTTATTAGTATTTTATTCTAGTACTGTTCACATTGTAGACCAACCATCTGTCACCCTCTTCGCTCCCTCCCTCTCACTATCTCCCTTTCATTATTCTCTATCTATCGTAAGGGATCCTACCACTTTCCCAATCCACCATTCATCGTCTTCCCCATGCAATCTGTCTATCAAAAAGAGAGCAAAGAGGAAGGCAAGAGAAGAGAGAATGACAGAAGAGGAAAGCCTGCAAGGGAGGAACAGGCAGAAGAGGCAATGTGGTGACTCCTCCATGCCATATTTATAGACAGTCTCCGGTGGGGAACAGGCAGCGCCACCGCTGCATCGTCACCCCAGAGAGTTTTCATAGATGTGAATCCTCATATGCAAGTGACAGGCACGCTGGTTTTCAGAAGGCCTAACTGTCACCTCTCTTTTTTGCATAAACCCCTGAGAAATTTTGAAATAAACATTCAACCCTTATTTTTGAACTCTAAAGATTTACTCGTTGGAGTAAATTCCCTCTCCTCATAGATTCTGGTCTACATCTTAGTTGATCTAATCAGGCTAATGCCCACCTCTCGCTTTCACATCAGCCCCCCATAAATTGTCAAAATAAATTAAGCCCTCTCGTTTATTTATTGGCCAAATCCAGGTCGAGAAAAGGCTAGGGCACTAAAATTAACTAAGGGTATTCATCTCTTTTTGGGCCTCAACAAATCTTATTTAGACATTTACTCTCCTCCCTCTGGCATGCCCCCCTTTATCAGCGGAAGCTATTACTCTCTCTCTCTCTCTCTCTCTCTCTCTCTCTCTCTCTCTCTCTCTCTCTCTCCCCACTTTAGGAAGCAAAAGAGCCCACTTTAGGGAAGGAAATCCTCCTCTCTTCACCCCCAAAGTGGTACCTTGTTGAAACCACTTGACCTCCACAAGGCATGTTCTTGATCCATGGGCAATCTATTTTCAGTTCGTCAAGTAATTAACAGATTACCCAAATAAAATGAAGATGTTTTTCCCGCACCCTTTTCTCAAATAATATTTTTTTCAATTGTTTAGGGTTTTCCCACATTTTTCATTCACTAAAATATTTTAAACAAGCGGGAGAGAGATGTAAAATGAAAACTTTAGCCTATATTTTGCCCAAAATCAAGGGATTAATTCCCAATAAATAATTGGTAAAATCAGGAATATTCAACCTCCGGTGGAATTGAAAAAGGATTTAATCTTGCTAATTAAAAAATACGAACATATTTCAACGCAAGGTGTCAACAAACTTAATTTAAATAAAGAACTACAGCCAGAAGAGGATCTACCTGGAATGGGCAGCCAATTTTTGCAATGCAGATCAATCAGAAACCTTGGGCTTTCATGTCACAGGTCTCAGGATCCTGCAATATCAGCAGAGTTCTAAACGAAATGCAGTCAGATTTCTAAAGAAAGTAAGATTCGTCAAAGAAGATCTACCTTGAATGGGCATCTAATTTTGCATCACAGATTATTGAAACCACGGGTTTTCTCGTCACACATCACAAGATCCCACAATATTAGCAGAGTTCTAAACATGATCTAACCAGATCAAAAATAAAAACAATCACATAAAAACATTCTACCTTGAACGGGCAACTAATCATAATCTTAGCCCTAGATGATGATCACCACCTTCTATCATCATCTTAGCTGCTGCCATCTCCAACCCAATACTGTTTGACGGCAACGAGGATCTTCTCGGGCACGAGGGGCCCATCCTCGTGGTTTTCCAGCTTCACACTCCACCTCATGCCGCTGACGGTCTTCCTGACCTTGTTGAGAATGTCAACGCCATCTCGGAATATGACTGTGCCCTCAGGGCGCAGAATGCGGTCCATCTCCAGGAGCATATCTTCCATTCCACACCTGCTCGTTGATGTGAAGATAAAAGATGAAATCAGTTCGTTTAATTTATTAACTGTTAACTAGAGATGCTTTTATTACCTTCATTCTAATGATTTATTCCAAAATTATCTGAAAATAAAAAGGAATTCAGCTTGGCTGGCATATTTCATTTTAATTTATTAACAATTAGTTAATTAGTATTAGTTTCAAAACTATGTAATATAAAAGTAAATGGGTAATGAGCCTATCCCGGTAAATAAAGCCAACATGATGCTAAAATATTAGCATTTTATTTTAAAATTATTCACTCTAAATTAGTAACGGCTATAAGCATAATCATTGAACGTGAATCTTACAAAAATAGCTCTAATATCAGTGTCTGGGATAAAAAGGGAAGAAGGCGTACTTGTTCTGATACAGGCTGAAGACACCGCTTGCATGAATGAGGTCATACGTTCTCGGGTACGTTGAGAATGCTTCACACCTGGACATCCATGGCAGAAAATCAAACAACAGAGAAAATCCAAGCATTTGTTTCGGTTTTTCCATGGTTAAAAAAGGAAAATACATGGGCAATATGTTCTGAAGAAATCGGAGTTCAGTCCCTCACTAGAATTGATACCCAAGATAACCTATAAAAATTGCAGTTGAATGGGATTGAATGGCTGCCACTGAGAATGGTTAGTAGATTGGGAGAAGAATGGCAGGATCATGTTTTTTCTTTCCTCGCAGAAAATAAATACTTGAAAAAAGATACAGCAAGTCTGCTGAGAAAAGGTAAATGTCCGGTTGAGGAAAGGGCTACAGAGCTGGGCTGCCATGACAGGAAAATTAAGAAAAAAAGGGGATAAACAATAGATATAATGAAACAAAGAGCAGAGAACTGAGAAATCCTAGAGATTATCCTCCAGGAGTTTTAGGAATTTTTACACTTGTATTCTGTTGGTTACCTGTAGATGCCTGACTTGAAATTATATATCAGTCAATTGCCACCTCATTCAACAATTTTGGGCACGGTTTAGTAGATTCTATTCTATCATGCGCATCGTTAGATGCATATATATATTTATATATGTGAAAATTAGCCTTTATTTTTCACATACAGCCTTTAAATAACTAGTAATGAAACCTCGACTCTTGTCTTCATCTAGTGAGGTGGAACCAAAGTGTAAGCAGAATCCTCTTCCTAAAGGTCGTTCAGATAACGGATGTTTCTCTGATGAACATCAGGGTCTTCATGACCTCTAATGTTCATATGAAGGTGGAGATGGAGGGAATAATCTCTACCGGGACATACATTAAGATACCAAAGTGTCAGGATAGCCAAGGAAACGCCTGAAATGTGGTCAACAGGGAGTTTGATGCCCTGTGTGACAGAGGATAATATTTAAATGAATATTGGCAATGGTTACTCCTACAATATGCCTGTGAGGATCCTCCATCAAAAGGTGAACCTACGGAGAGTCTCATAATTCAACAATTTCTTTTCAAAAATAATTTAAAAGCCAGTGATAAAATCAAAAATAACTTATAGCAATGAATTGATTTTGGATGCTTAAAATCACGCAGACATAAAATTAATAGCAAACTGATATTATATTATCAAAGAGAATTAACTAATGTATGAATTAAAATAAGAAAAGTGAAGTTGAGCAGTCCATTTAACTAGGGATGAATGTGCAGAGAGAATACCAGTCATGATATATGCCAATCAAGCCCCGTTCATAGACAATTCCTAAGGTATCCTTTGGAGAAATCGTCGGAACAACATTCATCACCCATGACTTGGAAGACTCCATTGCCGCAGCAAAACCACCGAAACCGGCATTCATGTCCATTATATTTCGATATCTCACTGAACCAATGAATTTGTTTATCCTCTTATAAGTATTCACATGCTTCTTCCACAATTTGGTGTCCTCTTCAAAAGATTTGATTGTGACCCCATTAACATAGCCATCAGCGATCCGGGGAGGAACAGAAAATAATCTTTCCGGAAACTTCTTCAGTTTTCCCCCAGCTACTTCTTCAGGATTCTTAACCTCTGGGGCAGGTGATCTGCACGTCTGCATCTTCTTATACCTGAAACAAAAAAACAAAGGAGACAGGTTTCATTAATGGAAGTCAACGAAGCATTTTGAATTACGAAAATAAGTTAATCTCATGAATAACTTTAGTGGAAATATCAAACTGGTTCAGGAAGCATCAAACTGGTTCACATCAGGTTTTTTTCTTCTCTTTGAATAAACATTGGCCGAACTTCACTTAGTGGAGTGTTTTATTCGGTTTTCATTATTTTCAAGTGAGCATAAGCCAGTGATGTAATAAATATCATGGAACCTCAGAGAAAGAGAGAGCGACAGAAGGAGATCTGAGCCTGCCATACAAGCTCTGAGAGCGAAAGCGCCACAGAGAGAGAGAGAGAGAGAGAGAGAGAGAGAGAGAGAGAGAGCCATTTGGGCACTGGCACAACCAAGGACCTGCCACACTAATGATCATCTAAATTTTTTCTCAGTTCATTATTCACTTCGCTGTTCTTACACTCGAGATTTACAGGACAGTCTCACTCACCATTTGCCAAATTTCATAGCAGTTATTTCATCCGTCAAAAGTCTGGCGATCGAGCATCATAGGGCTGTCTCCAAACCTTGTAGATCCTTTTTCTCAAGACATCAAACAGACTCACATAGAGAAACTAAGGGATCTATTTTTGCCAATGAGCTTATAAGCCTTATAAGTTCAAGACATGCAAGGTTTGCACTCAACATCGCTGCTTGAATCAGTTCCATGAGCTCTCATGCTCATGGCAAGGGATCAGGATCATAGCCTTGCACATTGTGTTTAAGGACAAATGCTTGTGCACTTCCTGCATCCAAATGACCTCTTTGCAACCTAATAGAGGAACGGAATATATGCCTAGAATATATAATGGGATAATGCTAGCCCCATCGTCTGACTGTACCTACATTCCTTGGAATGCCCATTGTGCCTAACAGGCTTTCCACACTACTTTACTCATTCTCATCTGTCACCTTTCCAGTTAGCAGATTCATCCTATGCTTGTCTATACAGAGGAAATCATTATTATAGGCAGTCAACTGTGGACAGAAAACATAACAGCAAGTTACCCACTGATAACTGCTCTTTTACAGTGATATCTTGCAGCAAATTATTCGTATTGTGTCAGAAGGTGATGAAACAGCATATTGGAAACCTTAGTTAGAAAGACAAAGATGCTTATTTACTGTATACCACCAAGCCATGATGAAAAAAAGAAAACGGGGGAACTTCTTTCCCCAAATCCTTTCCAAAAAAAAATATGCCTTCACATGAAGAACATTAGACCACATAGTTTGGATGGCACCGCACTTTGCAGGTCAGTGACAGTCAAATCCTTAAAAGCTTCTAGAAACTGTTTCTTCTTCTTGCGTATCTCATAACAAAGACAATGAAGACAACTACCACAAATTGAGTTTTATTATGAAATTTACAGATCTACGATCTAATTTATCTTTCAATCGTCCATGAAAAATTTTCAGAGTAACTTTAATTCATAATCAAAATGCTCCCCCGTTAGAAGGAAAGACCAAGGTTTTTTTAATCAATCCAACTTAAGGCTTCAGTTTTTTCATAATCATAATCTCTGTTAGATTGATAGAGTCATGAAATCAAATCTTTTCAAAGATAATCTATGGCTTTAAAAGAAGCAAAAATATAAATTCATATGACTCAAGTGCAGATGGCCCCACTAAAATTTGAATCTGTTTCTCCACTTAATAAAGCTCAAGGTGATATTAAATCAGTCAACCTTGCCAAGGACAGTATCTTCTTTTCTTCCAAGTATATGTGGGTTTCTCTGCTTAGCAAAACTCAAGGTGATATTAAGAACATAAACTATTTTCTCATTTCTCAACACAACGAGGTCTTTGAAGTCACTTTCTTTTAGCAAACTAAAAATTCTTCATTCTCGGATCTCAAACCTTAACCTCAAGTAAGCTGAGCAAATCAGGTTTTGCTCTCCTATCTTCAATAAAATGGGTATTCATTTAGCCTTCTCGAATTGCTAATAGTCGAGTTAAAAAACCTAAAATCAAATCCAAAGGAAGCAAAAAACTGGCCATTCAAAATCGGCCAGAACCAGTTCACTTTGACAGATTTAAAATGTCTAAACCACATAAGAATTAGAAAACAAAAGCTAAAGGTTATAAATGCAGCATCTGTTCATAATAAAAATTTCAGGCCAAAAAAACATTATAAATGATTGAAATAGAGCTTCACAATGGTTTAATGACATCCAACCAATGGTCGGCTTGAGCTTTCCCCTCAGGGTGGGGCGAGAGTGGAGGTGGATGTCCAAAACAGAACATACATACCTCCAAACAAGGACCACTCAACACGAGTCTAAATTTCTACTCCATAAATTAAATACTGGGTTATCAGTCGTATAGAGACAGTCAGACAACTAATGAAATGATAAAAATGAAAGCTAATCAAATTCATTAACTAGTCGCAAACAGAAGAAATTTCTTCAACAGAAGAAGGAAAAAAGAAGCCCGTAGTTTTATTCGTCATTGGCTAGATTCAAATCACCTTAATGCTCATAATAATGTAACAAGTGCATCTTATGCTATAACGTCGTTTTCTGCTCAAACATTAGAAAGTTCAATTTCAAGAGAACCATGACAATCACTGGAAAAATGGAGCCCAACCTTAGGCTCCGAATACCTGTAGTAAATATTTTTAAAACACTCCCAAAATATACCTAAATTCAATGCTAAAGGAGACACATAAATTTTAATAAAAATAGTAGAAGGTTACCAGACATCATCATCCTTTTCAGCAGCACACATCTTTATCGGCATTACATCAGTTCTCTTCTGGCATAATCTATAATTTATTTTCTTTCTCCAGATAGCAATATCTCCTTTCTCATACTTCTTTTCCCAGCACAGAAGTTCAGCCAATTCCTCGATCCTATTCTGTTCCTTCTGGAGATCCTCCTTTGTCCGGTTCCAAGTCCTGTAGTACGTCTTCCAATTAATTGGAGGGCCAGATAAAACCCAGTAGCCACCAGGTCTGAGTACACGATCAACCTCTATCATGTACATACCACCTGCAACAATTAATTTACATTCTGTGAGATAAATCAAAAACAAGAGAACGAAAACACTGGATAACACCTATCACTGAGACCATAAAGTACACATGATTCTAAGCGAGTTTATTTTTTGCACTAGTTCTAACAAAGACACACCATTGGATGTCCAAGGGATTAAACAGCGAGAGCACTGAGCCATGTCGAATGCCCTGGATGGATAGGGAAGATGTATAGTTCCTAGCACCCCGATAACTGCAGGAACACCACGTTCCAAGGCAAACTGCACCTGGGCTTCATGTGAATCCCTTGGTGCAAAAGACATAGCAAGAACATTTCTCTTTAGCATGTAGGCTCCCCAGCTAGCAACCTGTATTCAGAGGATCATGTGAGCAGAAAGTTTTAAAGAAAAAGCTATAAAACTAATACATATAACCAATGAACAGAGACTAGGTTCGTGTATATGCATATATAAACAAGATGTAAGCCTAATGAATGAGATAGAATGACAATTACTGACTGAAGGTAATGAATTTTAGATTTCCAGCGCTGAGCATACCCCACAACCTGTATCCAACGCAGTTCTGACTGTCCCATCAGAAATCGGAATTACTGATGCAAGCTCATCAATATATGCATCAGCTCCTTGAGGAAACATAGTTCCTCCTCCTGGGAATTTGAACACATTACCTTCAAAATGAACCCAGTTCTGGACTGCTTTCTCAACTGTCAAGCTCTTATATGGAACATTTGCATATGGTACATAATCGCGACTCTTGGGCCAAGGAAAAGGAGTCACGTAACCTTTGGGTGCTGGAATAAGGCAATGTAATTTCTCACTCTGTGGAGGGCAATGTCTTTCCCTATAAACCATGTTTTCTCTTGGAAAGGTCATTGCTCGCTTCTGATCTTGACAAGGAGTATGGTCTGTATACTGAGAAGCACATGGCTTAAAAACTTTACCCTTTGATTCGGAATGATCAACAAGAGAAGAATCACTAGTGTGATGAGTCTCAAAACTCAAATTAGGCAGTACACTGCAGTCTGTTTCTCTTGTAATTTTCAGTGCTATACTGTCGCCCTTTCCAAACCCACTCCTTTGCCAGGCACCAAGAACGTAGAAGAAGCAACACAGACCAACCACAACTACAATGGACATTGAGCTCCGAGTTCCACGAGTGGTGGCGTTCATTTTAGAACCCATTATGTTCCTGGAATAGTGCACGTCGTCAATCTCATGAAAATTAATTGCAATAATGGCCATAAAGAAACAGACCTTCGACAATAAAGGAGTACATCAGAAGAATAGTGCCCAGAAAAAAGAAGAATTCACCTTCCGGAGATTGGAAGAAAAATTATGATGTGCCATGATGATCCACGACATGTAACCATTGTACCATAAGACGAAAATGTATTTAAATTCGGGATGATTTCTTCAGAAGTCAAGCATATTTTAATGCGCAAAATATCAAGATTCCAAGAGACTTCATATGCCCAACAAAAAGGACTAAATCACACAGGTGGTACGAAACTATGAGTTAGATTTGTGCACTCAACACCCTTCCTTTAAGGAAGTGGTCTATAATAGCTGATCTATTCCAATCCATACTATCTATCGATTACCTCAATACATTCACTATTAATTTCACAAGCTCAAAAAAGGGGAATTTACGTCATCAACACAGAAGAAAATTAGACAAGGAAAACTCAGAAATTCCATAAAAATGACTCATACTTTTTCTGTAATGTGAATTCATGAAATGAATCAAAGAATGCTATAAATGCAACTTACTTCTTTCTGGAAATGTCAAAGCATAAACTTCAACTTATGAATTATCCAAAACATTAGCTCATCTCTTCATCTCTTGGGCTCTGTACTGTGTTATTTTATGATTTACACGAAGACATCAGAGGTTTGGAAAAAAAAAAACTTCGACAGGACAGAAAGCAAGATGGGGGAGGTTCCGAACTTCGTGGAGTGGCCCACAAGGGGTCTACATCTTATGCACATCGATGACAAGTCCATTAATGATACCCTTTCTTCCAGAGTACTCATTTTAAAAGACACGTCCTTTTCCAATTAATTAGACCTGATTTACTCCATGGAATTAAGATCTGAGATGCGGACGGAAAAGAGAAGCATGCGAAGACAACCAACAGAAAGAAGGCTGACTTTCCATTTTTGTAGATTCAACGTCACTCTCTAACCGATTGCTGTCCGACAAGATAACCCAATTTGTTCATACAGGGAACCCTAATAGAGGAAGGTTAGCAGGAAATATCCTAGAATATAGATATACGATCTGGAGTGAGAATGGACCCACTAGATCAATGTCAATAGGTTCTAAATACAGTGAAGATCATCGATAAATCCAGAGCACTGAACCCACTCGATCCCACTGATCCTTCTCCTCAACCTCCCTACGTGAACTCTCTCGATCATCCTAAGGCCCCTCCAGACTCTCCGATCAACATCTCAGACACTACAGAAGCAAATCTCGCACAGCGAACTTCGTGAAAAATACGGTGCTGCTCCATCGACAGAGAGGATCTACAGATGACCAAAGCCGAGTCCTAGAAACTCAAAAACTTCCCTCGTTCCGGCAACTAGAAGGATCGATCCTCAACAGAAGACGGAACGCATGAAATAGGTTCGGAAAGCAAAAATGAAGAACAACGGATCCGCCGACGGCGAGATGCGCGAGCTTACAAACGAGAGGAACAGGCTCGTTAGCCTCAAGCTGTCTCCTCCGCTTTCGTCGACGATCTCCACTTGGATCCTAGGCCATGGAGATGCTGCCGCAGAGAGTGAAGTGGAGGGGAGCACTGCTCCTTGTGCTCTGCTGCCCCGTGGACGACTGTGAATGGCGAGCTGGAGTCTGCTGGAGGTGTTGGGAGCAGCCCGTGTGTGGTCAGTATAGGAATTGTATGTGTCCGGTGGGGCCGAGAATTGGAGCACCTGTACAGAGAGAGAGAGAGAGAGAGAGATTCAAAGAGGAGAGAGAGAGACTCAGAGGAGAGAGAGAAAGGAGTAGTAGACACCCGTACAGCGAGGAGAGAGGAGAGAGAGAAAGGAGTGTAAGGAGAAAGAGAGACTAAGAGTAGAGGAGAGGAGACACCCGTACAGCGAGGAGAGAGGAGAGAGAGTGAGAGGAGACAGGAATGAGGGAGGAGGGGGAGGAAGGAGAGACGAGAAAGAGGGAGGAGGGAGAGACGAGAGAGAGAGAAGAGGGAGAGACGAGAGAGAGAGAAGAGGGAGAGAGAAGAGAGAGAGAGAAGAGGGAGAGGGAGGAGGGAGAGACGAGGGAGAGAAGAGGGAGAGACGAGACAGAAGAGGGAGAGAAGGGAGAGAAGAGGGAGAGAAGAGAGAGAAGAGAGAGAAGAGAGAGACCGCGAGAGGAGAGTGAGAGAGTGAGCGAGTGAGAGGAGAGAGAATTCTAAGTCCTGCAGAGGGCCCTACACCAGACCAGGGATCTTAGGGTCAGCACCGACACGGTTATTTATTTATACAAACCTGCAACAATAATAGAATTAAGTTTTAACCTTGGTTCAGACAATTACTAAATCTATCAGTCGAGAAAAGATCTAGGGTCTACCTAGAAAAATTCACAACACTCTGGTCCACGTGTCCTCAGTCCCATGACGACGCTGGAACTTACATAAATACTTCTATCATAATATAATTACAATTTCAACCTAAACTAAAAATAAAAAATAAAAATAAAAATAAAAAGCCTAAACTAAACAATTATACCTTTTCGACGTACTACATCGTCAATCGAGGAAATTCTTGGGTCTATCGGCATAGATTCGTAAAACCTTCCCTCCCCGCTCCGGGCGGTCGCTGTCTCCAGAAACCCGTGACGGCGAAGGGTCAACAACGGTCGTTTGACCCAATTTATAGCGAGATGGAGATTTCGTGGGGGCTGGGCGGGGGCCCACGCGCCATTTATTATTATTTTTTTACTAGTTCTGTTAAAAAAAAAATGACTGGGTTTGAAAGAACACAAAAAAAAGTCATTGGAATTTCCTGTTTTTAGTATTCATTTTATTAATATGTTAGTAATATGATTTTATTTAGTTTATTTTTAAAAAGGATTATCTGGTTTTACCTTTTTTTATTTTCTCACTAGTTCGATAAAAAAATGATTGGGCTTGTTAGAGCATCAGAAGAAAGTTATTGGAATTTTTTTTTTATTTTTAGTATCTCATTTTATTGTGAGTTTATCAATCAAACACATTTAGGATATAATTAAATAATTTTAAAAAAAACTGTAATTGGGTGAAGATCTTAGGCTTTGAAGATTTATATATTTAGTCAATATAATATGTTAATATCTACGGAAAATGTGGCAGTTTAATTATTCATTTACATAACATTTATAATTACTATCCTTTCTAAAGGACCCCCTTCACTTCCTCTAATTGTTTTAATCAGTTTTATTAACATTTTTTTAAAATATAAGATATATTTTTAAATATTCGGGGGATGGTTTTTCAATTAATGCCCCTTTCATTTATCTGTATAATTAAAATAATTTATTTTTTTCGGATATTCATGGAATCTAATATGTTATATATTTTTAAAATTTATTTACTGGAAATTTGAATCCTGACGTGGGACAAATATCGCATTAGAAAATGGATAGATACATCGATTGGACGGTTGAGATTAGATCCGATGAACGAGAGAGTTTCCGGATTATCCTTATTCTCGTGGCATCATAACGTTAGATAATCGTCTTCTCCGGAAGGCTCTGCTTCGCCTCCGCCGAGGCCCGGAGGTGGAACGATGGCGCTCCACTCTCCTCCCTCCTTCGGCCGCCTCTCCGCAAGCGGTGCCCCCGTTCCGCCGCCGCTTTGCTCCGCCAGTGCGCCGCCGTGTCGGAGCCCGTCTTCTCTTTCGTGGGTGTCGTCGTTCTCCGGGTTGAGCGTCTGCTCCGGTCACTCTCCTCTCGTCCCTCCCCGGCGGGAAGCCCAGGTCAGCGCCGCTGCCGTCTTCTCGCAAGGCTTCGATCCTTTCTATAGCGGAATGTTTCTCCCGTGGTTCCCAATCCAACTGTAGCGCGGGAAGTCATCTGGTGAAACTTTGCTTCGGATTTCTCCCGCTATGGAGAACTTTGCTCAGGATGTGTCTGATTCATGTTAGGGTTTCCGATATGGGTATAGAAGTAGTTTTCATTGGGAGATTAATTAGATAAATCTGAGGGAAAAAAGGGGGACGGTTGGTTCGGAGAGATCGAACTCGTTGCTACGAAATCCTCGGGAAAATAATTTATACTCACGTCGTAATTTTACATATATTAAACATCAGAATTATCTCCATGCTTCGTAATCTACAATTCTGGTGCGTGCAGCTTCCCTTCTTAGAGCTCGTACTAGGAGTGAAAAGGGCAAAGTAGCTAGTCAACATAGCGTATGATCCCATTTCTTCAGGACGAGAACTGAAATGGTGTCTTCAGGAAAAAAATTCTCAGTCAAATCTCTCTTCTCGAGGTTTAGAGGACGACATTTTGGATTCATTACACGACTACTCAACCTTTGAAAAACTGCATACGACCGTAATGGAAGAAAAACTGGGGTTAGAAGAGAGTATACTTCGATGCAGGTGGAAGAACTGCTGAGATGAATCAAGTTTTGATGGGAATCTCTACCTTGTGGAGGATGCTGGTGGCAGGGAAACTAATTGGAGATTGGCGGTGGTGGTGATGATGATGATGATGTGATAGCAAGGATTGTGAGCATGAAATCGATGATATCTGTGAATCCATCAATTATTTCAAGAATAATTTATGTCGATAAAACTGATCTTAATTTTTCAGTTAATCTTTCGTTGCTTCTGTTCTATCAGTTTGGATTAAAAAGCATGTTCCCTAATCCCTGACTGAAAAAATTCAAGGGCTTCCCATCAAATCTAATGTGGGAAAGATCCAACAGCCCAACATGCTCGGACCAGACCGATCTGAATTCTCTGTTTCAATCTGACATTTTAGTCATTTTGGATCATCTGAATCGCATATCAGAAGATGATCCTGCAAAGTTATAAGTGTGATTCTTTAATGTGAGAAACAGTGGGAATTCCTGATCTCGCTCAATATCTCCCTGAATTGAAAGACCCGCGATCTTGATCGGCATCATTTCATTGACTCCTGCTGAAGATTTCATTTCAGTCGGAGCCAGGATTTCCAGAACCAGACGCCATCCATTTGATCAGCAACAAAGCGAATCATCAAAATTCAGCACAAAGGCTTAAAATATAGTTGCATGATTTGATTGTGGGCATCTCGATGAAGAACTGAGCTAGGAAGCTCAAAAATCTCCTCAATTTTTTCCTCCAATACCCACCATTTATAGAAAAAAACCAGATTTTCGTTTTTTTATAAAGAAAATTGTCCCTCCATGGATTCCTGAAATCCTGCAGGTCGGCGTGGTTCATGCCGCCTGGACCCGGCGGTCTCGGAAGGAGGCGGCGGAGCGGCCCAACCGGAAGTCATGGAAGCAGCGAACCGACATGTACCTGCGGCCATTCCTCCTCAACGTCTTCTTCTCCAATAGGTTCATCCATGCAAAGGTGATGCACAGGGGAACCAGCAAGGTGGTCTCGGTGGCGAGCACCAATGCCAAGGACCTAAGGAACACACTACCTTCCCTGGTGGATGATGATGCCTGCAGGACCGTCGGGCGGCTCATCGCCGAGAGGTCCAAGGAAGCCGACGTCTATGCAATGGCCTACGATCTGAGGAAAGGGGAGAGGATTGAGGGAAAGCTCGGTATTGTGATCGACACCATCAAGGAGAACGGCATCATCTTTGTGGATTAGGTAGGTCAGATCATCATCATCAGAAACTGATATCAATCGATGGGCTTGCTGGTTTTAGTTTGCTGCTGCTGCTGCTGTTGTTGTTATAATGTTGCAGGAATCTCTGATGTCATGTTTGGATCAGAGGTTGCGATCTGTGGGAGAAGCCCGAATGGAATTTTTCTTTTTTTGGAAAAAAGAGTGTCATGAATATCCCTCTCTCTCTCTCTCTCTCTCTCTCTCTCTCTCTCTCTCTCTTCCCCTACTGGAGGTTGGGAAGAAGAGTGTCGGCGGGCTAGAGATAATACGTTGAAAAAAAGATCTGCTGACAGGAAATTATCGGATATTTCCTAACTGTCTCAATGGGCAAGAATCTAAATTTTCCTAGTCAAAACTCAAGCGATTAGGAACTCGTTGACCACCTCAGTTTCAACAGCCAGGGCCCAGTAGGCCTGATTGACCAGGGATCGCCAAATTTCTACGATTCAAGTCAAACTCAGTAAAAACCCATGAACAGCTATGGTCAGATCTTCCCTTGAACCCAGATCAGCAAAGCCCGATCACAACCTCGGGTCAAAGTTAGCCCAATCCTTCATCCCGTTCTTCCCTCCAATGATAAAGTCAACTGAAAATGAAGCAGCCGACGATGATCAAGAAAACTGCAATTTCTTCCTACAGCAGCAAAGATGAAACCAATAGCGGATTGAATCTTCCTCCATGGACTATAATTGCTGGAGATATTTTATCATGAATGGCGTCATTGAAATGGAATCGCTCTGATCACAGGATCATCAATACATAGAGCGAGAGAGAGGAGAGAGAGAGAGAGAGAGAGAGAGAGAGAGAGAGAGATAAAATATAGGAGTCCTATCACACATTTTCTACAAAGAGAAGGTATAGGTTACCAGACATGCTCCCCGAAGAGATGATACGAGAGGGAGGAGGTCTTCTCCTTGAAGAGCTTCTCCATCTCCTCGGACATGGCCTCCTTGTGCTTCAACGCACAGCTGTAAATCTCCTCATCTTCGGCCGCCCTCACAGAGAGCTGCACAAAGTCGTGCACCAGGGAACCGTAGCGCCGTGAGAGGAGGTCCCTCCAATCGTGCACGTCAGCCGCTGTGATCGGATCGGACGACAACGAGATGTTCCCCGCACACCGGGTCCACCGCTTCAAGATGTACCTGTCAGGGATTGACCTCAGCCTCTTGGTGATGCAGGTGAGGACGTGGCCGCAGAGAATTCCCGCACGGTCAAACTTGGAACAGCTGCAGCTCAGGGTCTCCTCCTCGAGGTTGACCCTCACTGCATGCTGGTGGCCACGCCCATCTTCAACTGTCAAGATCTGAGTTGACCCATCAAACTTTCTCTCTCTAACCAGGCACTCCAACCCAGCAACATACTCCGCCATGAACATATCGAACGCCGCCGCCGTGTAGACTCGCGCCGCCTGCTGTATGATGCTCACAGGGGGAGCATAAGGTGAGCTCTTGGTCATCTTGGAGTTGGCTTCAACCTCCTTGCTGCGTCGATCATCCAAGAACCTGTCGAACCCCTGAAGAAAACTCTCCATGTCCCTTGCAGAGGAGAGGTACTTTCTCAGCTCCTTGTTCATCCTCTCCCTGTGCTGGGCACTGTGTATGTCGGCACAGAAGGCCGTCCTCCCATACGCAGGTGCCCACTTCTCTCTCTCTCTAAATCTATGCCGCAGCCAGGAGTTCTCCACCAGATTGTACTTCTCCAACATGGCGTTCCACCCCTGAATGAACTCGGCTTCCACCTCGTGATCGTAGATGCATCTGCCAAAATCGTCGTCGAAGTCCTTGGAGCCGGTGAACACCTTCGCCAGATTCTTCATTGCATTCTGATACAGATGCCACACGCAGAGCCGATGGGGGACGCTGCTGAATTCTGATGTGGCGGCGCTCAAGATGGCAGTGCTCTCGTCGGTCAAGAGGGTGGCCGGCCGCCTCCCACCTACCGCCTCCAAGAAGGTCCTGAAAACCCATCTGAAGGAATAAGCGGTCTCATCGTAGATCAAAGCGGCCCCAAAGACTGTCATCTGCTTGTGGTGATTGACACCCACGAAGAGCACCAGCGGCCGCCCATAGTCATTCATCCGGTAAGTTGTGTCGACACAGAGGACATCTCCAAAGCGGGCATAATCCGTCTTCATTCTCCCGTCCATCCAGAAAACGTTTGTGATCTTTTCATTAACATCAAGCTGAAAAGAATAGAAAAAGGATGAGTTCTTGGCCTGCTTGCTCCTGAAGTATTCAAACAGGCCATCCACATCAGATTTCTGCATCGGGTTCGTCCTCTTCACTGGCAGATAATTCCTGGCATTGGCAGGAAGGTTTTCCAAGCCTTCCATACCACTAATCTGTGAGTCCACATCCGGCGATACTTCCTCTAGCTTGTCATTATCATCAGCTGCCGCAGCAACGGCGGCTTTTCTTTTCCTCTTCGTCTTCCCGGAAACTGAGCCTTGGGCACCTGGAACTCTTTGCATTATCACCACATGACCGGCATGCTGGTTATTAGGGCTCTTCCCTGCAAGGTGGTGGCTCTGAACTTGTTGAGGATTAATCGGGACAAATACAGCAACTGGGTGGTTATAGGGAACCTGGTTTGGTCGCGGGCGGATGCCTGAAACCTGGGCAGAAGCAGCAGGGGGGTGGGCATTAGGAACCTGTGTGGCTGGAGGAAGGGGATGATGAATATTGGGCACCTGGATCGGAACCGGCCGGATATTAGGAACCTGGTTCGGGAGGGGACGGAGGTTAGCAATCTGGATAGGAACTGGATGAATGCTAGGAACCTGGTTCGCAAGGGGATGGTGATTGTAAAGAACCAGATTAGCCACCGCGTAATTAAAAGGGACCTGGCTCGCCAGGGGATGGTTGTGGGTTGCATTGAGCTCTATGATGCGGTACTTTCCATCACCAGCGAGCTTGATCTTCATGTACGCCAAGCAGCCGCACCTCGTCTCCTCGCGGTGGTACTTTGCTTGCGAGTGCCGCTTCTTCTGCCCGTCGCCCCGCCGGCCCTGCTTGCTGCACACGAACCGCCTGGCCAGTGTCACGCCCGTTCTTCGGCTTAGAGTCCTGTTGTCCCACCGGATGGTGAACCCCATCTTCTTCGCATACTCGTTGTAGCAATCATAGGCAGCATTCTCTGTTTCGAAGGCCATTCCGATGGCCGGATCCATCTGGGCATCGCTGTTCCTCCCTCGATTATCCGATTCGTTGATAGGAGCTGTCGGCCTGATGAAGGCTTTCTGATCCGCAGGTGGGAGATTTGCAGACCCTTCATTCATTGCGGCCAGCTGAGCTTGTGTGTGATTATCTCTGACGAATACATTTGAGGTGGGCAATGAACCAGGATTGGCTTTCTCAGCCAATAGACTGCCTGGGGCTTCAGAGACAGTCTCTCCAATGGCATCTAGTTGAGCTGGTGCATCATTTCCTTCATGGGGTTCGTCATGCAGTTGCTCCTCGCCCTCCATGGCATTCCAGGGGATCTATAGATTTAAAAATGCAATGGAATTAAGGCAAGTAAGGGCTGAACATTAATGGGCAACTCGTCTAAAAGAAATGGAAGACTGAGAGATGAGAAAAAAAAATCCTATACACAAACCGATTTCCTCATTCTCAGATCGTTTCACAGTCAGAATATGCAGAATTTTTCTGAAAAATTATAATCTATAACCATGTGAAAATACAGTTGGAGATCAAAGCATGGGAAACAAGAGAATCATAGGGAAATACTTTAAAATAATGCATTCCCTCTGTATAAAACCCAAGTTTCATACGCATGAAAGAAAAGGGATCAACAAAATAATATATATATATATATATACATATATTAAATTTAGATTATAGTTCAAAAAGATGAAAAAACTGGACAAGGAAGCAACTTCTTGGAGAATTAAGAAAAAATGCAGCTCAATAATTTTGATTATTTCGAGATTTTAGATAACTTAAAAGATTAAACAGGATGGCATAGATAACTTAAAAGATCAAACAGGATGGCATGAAAGCCATTGTTTTTACTGAGACGTGAAACAGGATTAAACATTACTGAGATCGGATCAAACAAATTTTTCTGAAACGCGAAAAGGTTATCATACGAGTTATTAATATTGGTAAATAATTTTGTGGAATATGTAACCAAAAACTGCACCACAAGCTGGAGTTTTAAGATAGATGGATCCTGTATATAAAAAAAAAAACGGAATAAACGATAAAATCTGGGAACAAGACGTCATCTATAATTTTCACGGTATCTTCCTCGTTTCTCAACTTACATGAATCTGCCAATCCAGTCTGAAGCAACTATAGAAATATTGACTGCGTGCCACAGTATATATATAGAGGGGGTGGGGGGGACCGGGGGGGGCTTTGAGAGGGAGAGAGAGTCAGGAATTTGTCCCATTTGGTGAACTACGACCCATATTCTACACGACTCGAGAATAATCAGCTACCATTTAGGGAATGGATAATCCGAAAAAAAAAATTCAGAGCATTGCAAGGCCGCATCTGTTTTCAGGCAGTAATTGAGCAAAGAGTAACTCAATTTTGTGCACAATTTCCATGCGCTATCTCACTACAAACCCACGCTTGAAAGAAAAGTACAAATGCCACCAAATTTGCATGGGTCTCAAATTTGTCCCATATGAACTACAAACCCACTCACTTGAAAGAAAATTACAGACATGCTACGAAGAAAAACCACATGGGTCTCACCCACGCTTTCCCAGATCTCCTCCTTTTCCCCTCACCAGCACCCCCTCCCTCTTCCCCGAAACAAGTTTTCCCATAAGATCACCGAAGGCTAACCATGTTCACTCCAAGGAACCAATCAAAAGGGAAAAATTAAAACAAACGAATCAACCCCTGGGGCAAGAACAGATTAGCGCAGGGCTCATCGGCGAGCACATACCACTTGCAAAGCGAAAAGCCCTAGTTCTCCTCAAATGGGGAGCGATGGCGAGAAACTCCCCCACGGGGCCGCCACCGCCTCTTTCCTCCGACGACGGCGGGCGCCGCTCCGGCCGCCGGTGGCCTGCCGCTCCTTATCCGCCGGATCCCGCCCGCTGCGTCGTCTCCGCAGATGCGCATGAAGAAGCGGAAGCAGCTTTCGCATTGCCCCCCAGGAGAAACCCGGAACCCTGAGGACACAGTACACAATACACAGGGGGGACCAAATAACAAATGGACCCCTATCTTATCATTTATTTTACGATAAAACCTTATTTTATAAAACAATTAATATATACCCAAGCCCGGCAATCGCGAGCTAGTGGGCTCCGGCCCGAGTTATATGCAAGTCGGGCCCACGGTTGGTAAAGCATGTGTCAGCTCGAAGCTTGGGCTTGGGCCCATTTTCTCGGTTTCCTTTATTTTAGAAAAAAAAGGTTTTAGATCATTTTTACTGCCTTCCTAATAAGTTTTTACCAGTTAATATTATTTTGAAATTGATTTATTTTCAAGTAATCCTAACAAAGAATATAAAATTATGTGTTCACCAAGAATACCAAATAGTTGACACTTTATGTAATAAATACAGTTTTACAAAAAGTAGCTCAATTTCCATTTTTAATCTTTGCAAGATGTCAGTGGAAAAAATCACCCTCACCTCTCTCTCTCTCTCTCTCTCTCTACTTACACCAATAAGTGCCCATTTCTAGAGAGAGAGAGAGAGAGAGAGAGAGAGATGAACACCGTCTCTTAGCCAGGTTAAGAAATCATTCCCAACTCAGGAAAAGGCTGTTCATTCATTCAACACTACCCCATAGTTATATAGATACTATTTATCATTTATATACATCAAGAGAGAGAGAGAGAGAGAGAGAGAGAGAGAGAGAGAGAGAGAGAGAGAGATACATTCACCCCTGCCCCATACTTATATAGATACTATTTATCATTTATATATCAAGAGAGAGAGAGAGAGCAGCCGAAATAGCCAGATTAATGGAACCATACCAAAACGAAAACCCATATAGTTATTGCAATCATATTAATCCTATCAATGTTACACATCTAATCGCCTCTGGAGGTTGACCACCATGAGAGAGGATTCGATCACAAGACCATGGGGGGGGAAGACCTGCTACCTGAAAACATGGAGAACAGAGCTCACTTGGGTTCCTTGTGGATGGTATGAACAGAAGACAATCCCGAAAACCTTGCTTGAAGAGATCAGTCGATGCCCAAGCTGGAGTAGGGTTCATAGCCACCCTGTCAATCAGGAGTTAAAATTAAATATTATATAATAATCAGAAGCTGTATACTGTTTCTTGCCCAGGTGGAGAGAGTATCAGCCATAAACAGTCACATTAAGAGAGAAGAATAATGGGGGCCAGCTTGCTTGGAGGCAGGGGGCCGCTGTTGTGATGACAGGATTTGGGCCTTGAGAGAGAAAGTACTAAAAGTGATAATAACAACGACGACGATGATGATAATCAGCAAGAATTTACCAGAAATAGTCATTAAGAGAAGAAAAAACGAATTTGGGAACTGGATTTGGGCCTTTGGGAACTAAAAATGAATAGTAATGGCAAGACAATCAGAAGCTGCATCCAATTTCTTCACCTAATGGGTAACTTTTACCAGAAATAGTCATAAAAAAAAAAAATCTGGCTTTCAGGCAATTTCTGGGGTCGGCCGTCGCCATTTCTATTTCTAGAGTTCATCAATCTCTAGGTGTTTGGTAGATGAAAATATAAAATAAATGGAGCAAGAAAGCCTAAATAAGAAATTTCCAGGATAAGATAAGTGGTAGCTAAGGATGATGCTCTACTCACAGAGCAGTCGTCATGGACACGCCAGATAGCCTCGCCCAGAAGGTTTGCCACAGAGAGAACCGTCAGCTGGGGGAAATAGTTGTGCTCTGAGACGGGGATGGTGTTTGTGATGATGACCTCCTGGAATATACCGCTGGAGAGCCTCTCAATCGCCGGAGGGCTGCCAGAAAAAGGAAAAAAAAAAAGGATCATTTCTATCAATGGAGTCTATATAAGCTGGGTAAAGAACTCAGAAAAAAAATAGATGTAACAGGTATGATGAACCTGAGACAATTAAGCCATGCCCAGTTCAGGAAATCTCATAAAAAATATTTGATTCAATGGATACCAAGAAGGGTTTTGTCAGACCATCAGTGTGATCACCTTTCTTAGGCACTTGAATGATAAAAATAGAAAGGCGTGGTTGAATCCAAGAATTTACGCAAGAAACTGGTTGATGCCGCCATGTGAATCCAACAATAGGAAAGAGCTACTGAACTTCTCAGATAGGATATGCTATTATATAAGATATTACTAAAATAATTTATAATCGAGGCAAAATCATGGGAAAAAAAATTAATTAATGGGTATGATAGGTTTCAGCCAAGTCCTGATCAATAAATCCACAAGAATCTAAAATATTCATAAAGATAAAAATTTCGGTTACAATTATGTTTCAAATGCTCACTGAGCCAAAGTGATTCTTTGAAATATCATCAGGCTACGAGCATGAAGATTAGTCAGATGGCAGCCTAAGTCAATCCTCAGGAGATAAAAGAAATGGCATCAAGTCAACGGGGAGGGAGAGAGAGGTCACCTGAACACTGCATGCGTGCAGCACGCATAGACCTCCCTGGCTCCTTCTTCATGCAACAGAGCTGCTCCTTTCGCGATTGTCCCTATATTCACAATAACAAAGCAACCCGAATCTTAATTCTGCATAGCAGAGACAAAAAAGAAGCATTGACAATCAAGTTTTTAGCCTTAAATGGAAATTTTTCATGCTTATGCCTGATTATTACTATCATGTTTAAATAAATCTCATATTTGTAAAAAATAGTAAAGCCAAATTACAAATTTATAAATATGTGAACTTTGCGAAGCTGGTTGGAGTTCACTTTCATCATGTTTAAAGAAATATTTATTTCGAGATATTTAATCGGTGATATTAGCCCAAAACTTACCAGCTGTATCGATCATGTCATCCACCATAACAGCGACTTTCCCTTTCACATCTCCTATGAGATTCATGACCTGCGAAAGTACAAGCTTTTCACAATAAGATTACAATGAATGTCTCAATAGACATGATTCTCTGAAAGAAAAATATAAAGAAGTGATAAATACTGTGCGCTATCAATGATTGTGCATCTCATAAAATAACTAATCTAAAAGTCAAATCCGGATACCCTTTAAATGAAACTAATTTCCTTTTTCCTTGGATTGTATCACTATCAACAGTAATGAAAGGTCATCAAGAGGCCACTGTTCGTCAAAATTAATGAAATGAAAGGTTTTTACTGCCATGACAACATAAGATTTAGACAGCATGCCTTCTAATATCATGATCTTGCTTTTGCCGGACATATAAACGCAAGGAGCTTGATCTTCAACATCCTTTACCCCTCAGACATAGGCACTCTCTCTTGATCACTTCTGCACCACTCACCCACATGTCTTGAGATGAAGTCACTCTCTCAGTGAAATATAACTATCTAAGGAAGGTGCATGAAAGAGCTTTTGCGGTCATCAAACTAGTATTGAGAAACCCTCATCATCTCAGCAGAAGACAACAGAGGCCACAGTCCCTTATGCTGCACACATTCTAATAGAATCTTGGAGGGGGGACCAAATTGAGTACCTTTGATCCCATAGAAGATACTTTGGCATAATAACAACTATTAGAAGGCTGAAATTCAGACCAAATGTATTCTAATAACTCAAAATCATCTCAAGAAATGGTTGAACATTGTGGATGACCAGAGAGGGCTGGAGGTTACACCATCTCATTAAACAACAAGAGAAGTAAATAGATAAGTAAACTATCTTGAATTTATTTTTTTTATTGAGACTGTGGATTAGATGTGTTGGAAGTTCTAGGTCGTAGGGAAAGAGTGTAATTAGTCGAGGGTGTTTTTGCAAAAGTTGTGCTTGTTGGCTCTGCTGTCTCACGTTTGTTGTCTGGGGGAGCACCATCACCACCACTACTGGAGTCCGGCGGTATCCGGCGGTATCCGGCATCTTCCATCTGCCGCTGTCGCCTCTGTTTGACATAAGTTCTGCCTGGCGTTTGTTGTCTGAGGGAGTGTCAATGTCATCATCACTGGCATCTGACGATAAATAGGTTACATGTTAGGGCTTCAAAGCCCTCTTTGTCCGGCGAAGCCTTCCATCTCTGCCTAGTACCTTTCTGTTAGGCATTCTGCCTCTGCCGAGTATCCTTCTGGTGAGGCATTCCACCTCTGCTGAGTATCTTTCTGGCAAGGCCTTCCGCCTCTGCTGAGTATCTTTCTGGCAAGGCCTTCTGCCTCTGCCGAATTTCTTTCTGGTGTCATCATGAAGCACTTCTTACGCCATTTGAGGCGTGTTATCTTTCCACCATGTATAGACCTGATATCCTGCCATTTCGACCATGTTTTCTTTCCGCCATTCAGAGAAATTCTACATCCGTCAGTCCTTTTGTCTGGAGAAGATGAGTTTTTCTTCTAGTTGGAGTCATAAGTTACCACTACTGTCGATATCATCTCTGCCGGCACTCCAGCGTTGCCTCCTCTTCTAGTGAGGTCCTCTACAAGCAAGGCAGTTCTACGACGAGAGAGCACTGATCTTGCTCTGTCTCGTGTCCTCGAGAGTGATCTCCATTTGTCATTTGACAATATATCTGAGTTCATCAGCAGCAGGTTCCTCAACGACATCTTCAAGTTCATTCGCGTCATTTCTGTCTGCATCAAGCCTTCTGTCTAGAGGTTGAAACATCTAGGTTCATTACCATTATTTCCGTCTTCATCAGCATTCTTAAAAGAGGTAAAATCAGCCTCTCTTATCCATGCTTATCTCAATCTAGTGTCCTACTCTGTCCTCCTTAGTCCATCTCCCTCTATTCTGCATCAGTTCCTCATTGCTATAGTCCAAAGTTGTCTGGTGCTGTCTGCTCACCTCTACCTTCGTCGAAATGGCCTTCACCTTCTAATTCCTCCACGAGTTCATTACTTGATTGGTGGGAGGGGTGCTGGCCCTCGCCTCTTCTGAGAGCTGAGGCCCAACATCACATCAATCGTCATACCTGAGAGTCTTTGCATCAGCTTGGCACTATGCAAATCTCCTAGCAGAGGGATACTCTCTGCGTGCTTGGTGCCACCCTGTCAACTACCTCATGACTCCGAGGCAAGCTTTGCAGCCCTAGGACATAGTGAGCATCATGATCAAGTTACAAGTGTGTGGTGCTATCATATCCATGGTGACCTGTCCTTGGGGCATGACAAGCATCAGAGGAGCCAAAGGAGTCAACAAATCCACAACCTCAGTGGTGGTAGTCATCTGTGAATACCATAAAAGGGAGAGTTGCTGCCACAACAGATCTTCGTCATCACTAACAAGTGAATGCTCAGAGGGCAAGATTTTTGTCATCACCAACTTAGTCAAGATGAACTTTTCAAAGTTATCTTGAGGGAGAGTGTTGGAAGTTCTAGGTTGTAGGGAAATGGTGTAATTAGTTGAAGGTGTTTTTGCAAAAGTTGTATATTACTACTCCCTATATAACAGGGGTTAGAGTTGAATGAATCTTGAGGCGGTTTACGCCGTTCTCCGCTCTGTCCTCTGTGACGAGGTTTTTTTCTCCATTTTAACAAGATGCAACAACGATGGAATGTCAATGTGTCTAGTCCGAGAAAATGTGGCGATGGAAATATTTAACGATACCAGAACACGTAAGGAAATATTTGGGAAAGGATGTTATGAAAAGTAAGCAATAACAAAAGCCAAGTCTCAATTACCCACAATCGAAAAACCCAAAAAACAGAGCCAAGAAACACATGATGAATGCAGGAAAATCAATAGATAGCTATAAATAATAGCGACATTGAGAGTTGTGGTTTATAAATACATCAAAACTAAGAGAGCATCAGGACATTACTTCTAGTGTAAAAAACTTGATCATGCAACGAACAGGAAAACACAGAAAATTAAATGAAGAGAAAAATGTGCCGGCCAAGTTCTAGAACTGGAACCGTTTTAAAAGCCTTGGCTAGCATCGTGATTCATAGTAAATCAAAATTTATCACCTACTGGCATCAAGGAAGACCTTGCATATGGACACATTTATAAAATGTGAAAGTTGGGAAGATAGAATTGAGTTCCCAGGGTTGTACACTAGGCAGTGAGGAACCACCCAGGGGGAAGTCTAGGTCTATATCCCAAACTGTTTCCATCAGTTTGTGTGAAAGTCTGGAGTAGCCGTTTTCCAAAATATATGTCGTTTTCCAGAAAAATAAAGTCCTTGAACTTCCTAAATTGAAGATCCCCGGTTCTCTACTTCCCAAAGCTGGAAATAAAATTATCTCCAGTTTTTAGTATTTTATCTGATAACTATCATGCTAGTATTTATTCTCTTCCTTTTTCATGTTTCTCACAAAATATTACATGTCAAATAGTAATAGCTATGATCTAGTTCCACACTGGACACAAACGTAAAGCATTAGTACTGGCCTACGACAAACTATCAGTTGTGAGTGATTGGGACTAGACTAGTAGCTTCAAAACTCTTATGATACAACTTGTATTGGTAAACAACCCTTCACCTCCTGAAGAGCTACATAGATCAACAACCAGAAATTGAGGACAGAAAATTGAGAAACATAGGAGCTTCAAGTAAATGACAGTGAACATATTATCAGTTTTTTAATTTATGAAAAGATCCACCAATTAGAATAAACCCTGACTGAACCCTTCCAGGAGCTTATGCATGCGTCATCCCAAATAACGATGAAATTAGTGAGTAATGCATTCACTTTGAACATTTTTAAGATGTGGCATGAAGAAAGCAGACTGTAAGCCAGAGAAATCTTCAGGCCAAAGAATAAGTACATACGATGGTTTTCTGCCTCCAACGAAATTTACCTATACGAGAAAAGTAGTCTTAGGGCCCATCAGATTCGCAATAAGCTAGAATAAAAGCAAGGCTGTACCAGAGGAGAATATGGGTTGCAGGAGGCCGGATTTTGTTATCCAGTCATAAAAAAATAGTTAATATGAAACCAAGTTAAGTATTTGACAATGAAATATTTGTTAGCGTGTGGAAATGATCCCAAACTTGAAGTCGTTCGGATGAGGTAAAAATACAATTTTTATGGAAAATGAGATCAGAGCAATAACACCATTTATTGGTGGTTCAATATAATTTTACTTCAAAATCGAGTGATGTTTGGCACCTGCAATAACACAGGTCATGCCTAGAAAGTTAAACCTTACCTCTGCAACATTGTGACTTTGACGTCTTTTGTCAACAATAGCCAATGGGGCATCAGACAGCTTCTTAGCAAAAGCTCTGGCCCTAGCGACACCTCCAACATCAGGCGATACCACTACCAGCTCATCTGAACAGATAGTCTTGCTGGCCAAGTAATCAAGGATCACAGGCTACAAGTGCAAAACATAATTAATAAGAACGATCAATGGAATGAAATTGATGTCCTTAATAAAGAGTTAATAACAATATGTTAAATCACATAGAAATAATTACTTGTCCATATATGTGGTCAACTGGAATATCAAAGTATCCCATAGACTGTCCCGAATGGAGATCACAAGCAAGCACACGGTTAGCACCTGCTTCCGTAATCAAGTTTGCTACAAGTTTGGCTGCAATCGATTCACGTCCTTGGGTCTGAAGAAATAAAGGGTCAAAATAAGTGATAAATATCATGGCAGCTGTTCAATATATGTTCGTGCTTTGTAGATATCTCATTCCTAGAGATGTAGCAAACACCAGGGTTTTTCCCTTATCGCATAAGGTACTAGTCTCTAATCTCAAGTTACATTAGATATAACATAATCATGATGATGCAAAGAGCATGGTTAGTTCAAAGCAGCTAATGAAAATCGATTTAGAGAACAAATCCCAATAAAGAAAGATGAATAATCAAGCAAAGAGATTATAGGATAAATCCCAAGAATTTAAAAAATAAACAAATAAATTGAAAGATAAAAGGCTTTAGAACACAGAGATATCTATGTACTGGACTGCACATATACCTTTGCTAAAGTACCTAGTCTCACCAGAAATGTCTAGATTTCTACTTCTGCCTAAAATACATGTCACTCCACTAGTTCAACCATAATCCCCTCAGAAGCTGCCTCAAGAAGATGTGGGTCAGCGAAGATCGGCAAGGATTAGCTGAATGACACAATTATCGATCATTCCAACAAATATATGGCGGAACGATGCTAAAGACGCACAATGTAACAAAACCCACTCTTTCTTTAACTTCCCTTTTTTTTTTGACATTAATTACGCAAAGGATGAAGGATTCATCACATGAAATATCTAACATTCGTATGTTACCTGCAATGACATATTTAAAGCACCACATAAAGAGACTATTTATTAATAAATATTGACACAATAAATTAAAATCAGGTTAATGAAGGCCATCCATTATTCAAGGGACAAGACAATTACCTTTCTATCAGCTCTGGCATAACCAAAGTATGGGATGACGGCCGTAATGTTTTTTGCAGATGCTCTGCGGCAGGCATCTATCATTATCAGGAGCTCCATAAGGTTCTCATTTGCTGGTGGGCAGGTTGGCTGAACTAGGAAAACGTCGCATCCTCTCACACTCTCTTGTAGTTGAACATAGATCTCACCATCAGCGAACCTTTTTATGTTGATTTTTCCGAGATTCAGACCCAAATAGCATGCAACTTCCTAGGAGGCAATATCGGGAATTTAGCAAAAGTCAACTTATGTCCTCTTGGAAGGATGAATCATTCTTCAGGTTAAAGAAAAAACCAACTGTTTCAATTGATTGAAGAAGAAAATTACAAGGCACATTGCATAATAGGAAAGCAGCAGCAATGATGTCTTACCAGCTATCAAATTAGTACAGAGAATGCAACGTTTCAAAAGTATAATCCATAAGATTCCGGAGTTCGATAAATAATTTACTTCAAGTGATGCTAATATTTGTCAATATATGCATGAAATTTGAAACCAATCAGTCCCACATAAAAACCGCATCATTTTTTCTCTCCCAAAAATCCCAGAGTTACAGATTTATGTGACAGAAAGATATTCCAGGTAATTGTCATCAAGAAACTTTCCTCATAAAAGCACTAAAATGAACAGAAAATGATAAATGAAAAACTCAATATTCAGCGGGGAATATAGCCGTATCAGCATAAAACCTTTTTTCATCTACCCATGAACCCCAGTAAGAAGCTCCTTCATCCATCCATTAGGTACCTGAGAGAGAGCAGGATTCGCAGTGCCCGAGAATATCCGCAGCTTTGTGTCGCTATCTCCGTCTATATCCTGCAGCAGTACAGATTTCCGCAAGCCGGGGATCCTCTGATCAGCGAGGATCGGAACAGACGGCGGTGCTCCATTAGCAAACTTCAAAGGCTCGATCAGCCTGCAACTCTGCATCCACAAAGACTCTTATCTACCGGCCGGCAACTCTCAACACCAGCCCCCGTTTCAATTCCTTCTCTCGATAAACCCAAAACGGAAAAACCCTCCCCGGGAAGCATAAACAGGGAGAAGAGAAAAAATCGATCAGCGGTTACCACGCAGCGCCCAGCTCCAGGAATCGGGCGGCGAGAAGCTTCCGTGTAGCGGACGGATCGGCGGAGAGAAACCAGAGAAGACGACGAGCGTGGGCCTGTCGAGGACGATGGAGTGAAGGGCAGCGACGACGCCATCTCCCTCCCACTTCTTCTTCTTCTTCTTCTTCTTCTACTACTACTACTAATACTTCTTCTTCTTCTCCTCCTCCTCCTCCCCTCTCTTTTTCTACTCCCCCCCACAAGAAGGCTCAGAGCCGGCAGCTCGGGCTAGCTCCGACCCCGTGGTAGTGGAAGAAGCAGCCGTTGACGCCGCCGCCATCGGAGCCTCTTCAAAGGCAGCGCGAAAGGAAGTTCTTCAATGGGTCCCACTTAAGCTACGCCGGATTTTTTTCCTTTCTCAAGCCCACCACAAAAATCCACGTAGATATCTAAGAGCGAGAAAAAAAATCAAAAATATATTTTTATGAACGCATTAGAAGGCCCGCCCCGACCCTCTAGATACAAGTGAGATGAGAGAGAGAGAGAGAGAAAGAGAGAGGGGAAGTGTGTGTGAGAGAGAGAGCATCGAGAGAGTAAGAGAGGGAGAGAGGGATGCGGGGGAGAGAGAGAGAGCATTGAGAGAGTGAGAGAGTGAGAGAGGGAGAGAGGGAGAGAGGGAGAGAGGGATGCGGGGGAGAGAGCGCATTGAGAGGGAGTGAGAGAGGGAGAGTGAGAAAGAGAAGAGAGGGAGAGAGGGATAGGGGGGGAGAGAGAGAGCATTGAGAGAGAGGGAGAGTGAATGAGAGAGGGATTGGGAGAGAGAGAGAGAGAGAGAGAGATGGAGGAGAGCGTAGAGAGAGAATGAGTGAGAGAGGGAGAGTGAGAAAGAGAAGAGAGGGAGAGAGGGATAGGGGGGGAGAGAGAGAGCATTGAGAGAGAGGGAGAGTGAATGAGAGAGGGATTGGGAGAGAGAGAGAGAGAGAGAGAGATGGAGGAGAGCGTAGAGAGAGAATGAGTGAGAGAGGGAGAGTGAGAAAGAGAAGAGAGGGAGAGAGGGATAGGGGGGGAGAGAGAGAGCATTGAGAGAGAGAGAGAGAGAGAGATGGAGGAGAGCGTAGAGAGAGAGTGAGAGAGAGAGGGACAGGGAGGGAGAGAGTATAGAAAGAGAGAGAGTGAGAGGGAATGGGAGAGAGAGAGAGTATAGAAAGAGAGTGAGAGGGAGAGAGAGAGGAGAGGGAGAGTGGATTTGGGTTTCATAAGGTTGCAAACCCTTAACCTTAGACACTAACTAATCCCTGGGGCTCTAGGGATGTGATATTTCTCACTCTAAGAAGATAATACACTGCAAGGATAACCTCTCACTAGTTCTCTAAGTTATTATTCTTCACTCTTCAACTCTCTGTGACACCCAAACATAGCAACAATTGACTTGGGTCCAGGGTTCATGAGGGTGCAAACCCTTAAGCCCAAATAGTAACTAATCCATGAGGCTCTAGGGATGTGATATTTCTCACTCTAAGAAGATAGCACACTACAAGAATAACCTCTCACTAGTCCTCTTAGTTATTATACTTCTCTTCTATGACTCTCTATAACACCCAAGAGAAACAACAATTGACTTGTGTCTGGGGTTCACAAGGGTGCAAACTCTTAAGCCCAAACACTAACTAATCCCTAGGGCTGTAAGGATGTGATATTTCTCACTCTACAAAGATAGCACTGAAAAGATAACCTCTCACTAGTTCTCTCAGCTATTATAAATCGCTCTTCTTTGACTCTCTACAACACCCAAACATACCAACAGTTGACTTGGGACTACGTTTCATAAGGGTGCAAACCCTAAAGCGCAAATACTAACTAACCTCTAGGGCCTAGAGATGCTCTAGAGATGTGATATTCCTCACTTTACTAAGAAAATACACTGCAAAGATAACCTCTCACTAGCTCTTCAATCTTCTTTGACTTTGTGTGACACCCAAACATAGCAACAATTAACTTGGAGGCTTGCTTTGGCTCCCCCATCTGGGTTGGGCCCGGACTTTGACAAGGTCCAGCCCAGATCCCTGAAGCCCCTGTTTTCCTAGCCACGTGGCTGTCCGAACATCGTTGTGGCAACCCATCTATTCCTTTTCTCTCTTTCTCTCTCTAAGCATGTGTTTGGAGTTGGGCTGGGCCAGGCTTATTGAAGTCGGGCCTGGGCTTAAATTGGGGGGGGTTCCCACTTCGTGCCCATTTTCTCAGCATAATCAGTCTAAAACATGGTCTGGCAGACCAAGCAGAGCCTTAGGCCCTACCCTTTCTAGGTTCTAACAATGCCTAGGCCCCATATTATCCTTCTATATATTAGGGTGATCTTTCCTTCTTTGGAAGGTTGAGATAACAATGGTGCTTGTGGGCCAAGAAAGCCCAAACCCAGTTTCTCCCACGCCTTGGGCCCCAGATTAAGCCCGAAATTAAAAAAAACCAAAAAAATGAAGCAAGATCTAATGAAATATCAAGCGAGAACATTATAAAATGCATAAAATGAAGGGATTTTACATAATATATTCTCATGAGTGTCTCGAGGGCTCTTAAGTGGCCTTTCTGGATGGGAAACAGGCTGCAGCGCCATTTATGACCCTGAAGGCTGTGTTCTTGGCCCCTCCTGCTGAGAGCTAGAACATATCTCCTGAACAGAATTGGATGGGAGAATAATCAAGCCAAGGAATATAATTCATATTGATTTAGGGTGAAACATTAGTCAAGGAGTGAATATAAGGAGAATTAAATTCACATTCATTTTCTTTTTCTCTTTTTCTGAAGCTATCATTCTGGACTATCTTATGATTTTTTTTTGTTAAATCATCACATTGCAGTCGAATTGGTAAAATTCTGATTTACTGGTACACCAGAAGGCTTGTAAGCTAAGAACCCAGAAGAATAAAATAATTTGATATAAGTTTTTTATAATTCCTTGTGGAAGTACTATATAGGATTTATCTCAAATAGTCATTTTTCAGAGTAAAATTATGATATAATAGTGGAACATAAGACTTGAGAGGAAGATGCTAGTTTTTTTTAATTTAAAGATTAATTTATACATAAACATTTTTTGAAAAATCGTTAGAACAGGAATAATTACCTCTTTGGATCTCTGATCTCCAAATGCAGAACGAATCCGGGAACTTTCCATGTTGGAGAGCAATTGACCAACAGTGTCAAGGTGCGGAGAGCTGGGTAGGCAAGAACAGAAAAAATTCAAAGACAATTTTAATAATAAATCATTAAATTATCATTTAAAGTAGTCTTAAAAGGCAAGAAAAAAAGGTGCAAATGCCTCCCGTTAGCATTTCATGTTAGAATTTAAAGAGGTAGATTTCTCTAAAACTTAGCATTTTTCGGTATTAGAAAAAATAAAATCAAATACAGTGGTTAAATAGATGGCCTACTCTGCTCTTTGCCAATTGGTCTGAGTTAAATGACCAATAATTTGACAAAATATATGAAAATTAAATCTTTTTTAGTGCTATGACTGAATTTAAACTGATCACAAGATTTATTGGTTCAAGAAGTAATTGATTGATCTAAGACAGCTTCAAGATGACAATTTTTCTAAGATAGAGGAACAACTGTCATCAAGGCAGAGACACAGAGTCAACCTTTGCAACCCACTATCCATATACGCATCCAAAGATGAGATTACCCGAGGCAACTGTTCAAGAACCTGCACATTCATACATATAAGTATCTACAAGTCAACGGTGCCCAAAGGTTAGAGATTTCACCAGGAAAGGGAGGGACAAGACCGTTGGGTGTACCTGTCCTGTGTTCTTGATGGTGGCTGTTTTCACCAGCAGGTTCTTAGTGAGCTTCGCAAGCCGAGCCTGTAAAAAGAAGCCAAAGTTTTGGTCATCTCTACATAGATATGCTCCATTGACTTCCACAGGTTGAGTAATTCCGGGCACTGATTTCCTCATAGTGGTAGTGTATATTATTTGTCGTTTTTCCAAGTAAAATCAGACGAATTATGCTCTCTAGAAATGAATCTTTTCCGAATAATGTCCTGAATTATTGATTATTCTAAGAACCGAGGTATCATGGTCTTATGAAAAAAGTTAGTTTCCAGAATTTTATTTTTTTCCCAGAATTTATTTCTTATGGATATTGATTTTTAAGAGGAACTCCATGCTTAGATCCGCGTGTTGTTTCCAAGTAGAAATATTTGCCAAATTATGCGCTCTGAAATGAATATTTTTTAGTTTCGAGAGAATTTCCTGATTTATTGATCACAATTAGGTCCGGAGACACTTGATCTCATGGGCAAGGGTAATTTCCAGAATTATTTCCATGTTTAAATCTTTTAACATGAATAGTCATCGCAATAGTTTAATGCTGAACGAGCTTGACATTCTTTATTATTTAGGATATAAATTTAAAACTATTTTTTTCTTAACATGAATAATCATCAATGAGGGTTGAACTTGTTTGTATAACGGCCAATAGTATCATCTCTGGGGTTGAACTGATAGATGTACAACATCTCAGATAATCCCAAACAGACTCCAAGGGGTTTGACTACGCAACGGATTGCCTCAGTGTGTCTCATACTACTCATATTGGATTCTAGTTTCATTGCCATTCTAAAACGAGCATTTGACTCGAGCAGGTCAACGCAAGCTTGGTCAACTCGGTCTCAGATTAAGATATGGAAATCGTAAAAGGAAAAAAACCAGATTGGATCATCACATCAATCAGATCAAAACACAAATCCATTCATCAAGTTCCTTTGACGAACAATGGAAACTAGAAACCCAGATCATATGATCAAGCTCAAAAGATTGACAATCAAAGTATGGAAAAACTGAGCCAGATAATTTTCAAAGCAAGTTTGGTTGACTTCATATCGAATTAAGACATAGATAATAAAAAACAAAATCCCAGCTGGATCAGAAAAACCCAGTTGTCAGTCGCATCAATACACAGGTCATGTGATCAAGCGGAAATGATTGACAATCTAAATCTGGAAGAACTGATTCTCATAATGGTCAACTGGGGCTCATGCAAATTCCCAAAGAAAGGAAACTTCAACACAGGTTGTGTGATCATGCCCGAAAGGTTGACGATCTAAATCTGGAAGAATCCAGCCTGATAATGGCCAACTCTGGGTTGTTCAAGTTAACACAAGTCTGGCTGACTTGGTATCAAATAAGATATGGAAATAAAAAAAACCATAATAAACTGGTTATCAATAGACTGATGCTCATGTCTATACATAAGTTTTTTTCCCCTTAAATGGAGAGTAGAGACCCTAACCAGGTGATCAAGCTCCAAAGAAAGACAATCTAAATCTGAAAAAAAAATGAATCTGATGATGATCAATTCGGGCTTACAAGTTGATGCAGGCTTCGGTCAACTCAGCATCAAATTAAGACATGGAGATTCAATAAAAGAATCAAATTTGGATAATAGTAACCCGACTGTGAATCAGATTAAGAGGCAGGTCTATACATGCATTTCCCTTAGTACAGTGGAAACAATCAAAATCTGGAGATAATGATCCTGATAATTAGCATTTTATAGTCTAATTGAGGCGAGGGACAATGAGCGTTTTAGAGAGGCCTCTATACAAAGAACAGACCAGGGCTGCTCTTCAGACTAGTCACCAACCTTAATCTGATGAACTCAAATTTCGTTTTTTAATTGATTACCTAAAAAAAGACTACTGGATTAACAGTGGGTTCTATTTAAGTTTGTCACATAATTCACCAACTTTATCCACCTCTTGAATCAGAGCATAGCTCTTCATTTCCCTTTAAAGATTGCAAGAGGAAGTCAAGTTCCACAAACTGCCGCATTGGGTCGAAATTCACCGGCTTCCCACCTCAGAAGCCACAATTCGATTTCATATTCACGATCACTTCTTCTCTATCATAACGCAGGCATCGAGATATGGCAGAAATCAAATCGATATTCCTACCCAAATATATCATTCATCATGGAAACAGGGGAATAAAATTGGCCACGGAGGGTCGGAATTGTGGCCCCGAATCCAAAGAAACCCAAAAGATCTCCCGACCAACCCATCTTCCTTCCCAGGATTAGCCAGTTCCCAGTTCCATCAACACCCGTCGCCGTGGAAGGCAACTGTAACCGCGAGAGATTGCCCGCCGTTGCGAGAGATTTCTCGAGTTTTCAGATCTCCAGCAGGAGGAAAACAGAGAGGAGGGAACGGAAGAGGCCAGCCATGATGGAAAGGGTGGTTACTGACCTGGGAAGGGGAGTTCTCCTGCATGAGATGGATGAGGTTGGACGTGGATTTGACCGCCTGGGTTATGTGGTCCGCCACCGCCGCCGCCGCCGCCTTCGCCGACCCCTCGTCCTTCCCGCCGCCACCGCCGGCGGAAGCCATCCGGAGGATCGTCCTCCAGCCCTCCCGTCTACCACCCCTTGAGGCGGGAGACCGTGCGTTAACAACATCGACGCTGGGGCCACCGCGGCACCCAGAGATTGTCATTCCCGCTCAGCGAATCGAATCAAGAAGCCACCTTTTGGTGGGTCCGACTTTGTTTCCTTCCGAAGTATTTGAGATCTCTAATCAGGCAAGAGGCAAGAGATCTCAAATATTTTGGATTTAATAAATACATCATAGCTACCGAAATTAATCTCCAATCAATGGATAATTCACTACATTTATGCTATTATTGCTATCCTTCATCTAATTTTAGCCCCTTTTTAAGCCCCTCGCTTGTCAAATTGATGTAGGACCGCCGTGGCACTTAGAGATTGTCATCCCCCCCCAGGAAATCGGATGAAGAACCCACCTTTTTTTTTTTGGTGGGTCCGATTGTGTTTACTTTCTTAATCAGGCAAGAGCTCTCAAATAATTTGGAATGAATAAATAAATCATTGGCTGCCGAAATTACTATCTAATGAATAAACAATTCATTGAATTCATGACATTAGTGCATTTGCACTAGATCCAACTATCCTTCATCTAATTTTTGCCCATTTTTTAGCACATCACTTGCCATATTGATGTAGGACAACATGCATATAATCACAGAAATCACAAAACTTGTGAAGCCTAGATGAGAAGTGTAAAATAGGCCTATATTTAGATTATGCCGAAGAAAAGTGTGTGAATAATGAATCATAATTTTAGATTTAGTAATTGTCTTGTTTTTAAGGTGTTCTTAATATGTTTACTAAACTAACTTGATTTTTAGTGGTGACCTAACTAATTTTTGACTAATCTAAAGGTCATCACTCTATAACCTTACTTCATTCTCTGTTAGAGAGTTCTATGCATTAATAGATTTAGGTAATTATTGTGGATTCAAGGGACATTACTTTGATCCTTGTAGATTTCATTGTCGTCGAAATCATCTCTTGTGAATTGAAGGATCTTTGTGGATTCAAAGGTTGTCTGAGTAATCCTTGTAGATTCAATTGCTAGGAAAAAATGTACCCTATTGATTCAAGATTTGATTTTGATCCTTCTACCACTCCATATTTTCCGTCTTGTGAATTCAACATTAGATTTTCTATTTCCTACTACTTCCATTGTCCCACTCTCTCTCTCTCTCTCTCTCTCTCTCTCTCTCTCTATAAGCCCTTAATCTTTCATCCTCGAGGACATTTATGCCCATGATCACCATAAAAAAATAAAGTACACATAAGCACAAAATTATAATAAAGTATTTATGCCCATTTTTTCATGTATTATTGTACACATAAACACAAAATTATAATAAAGTAAAAATAAAATCATTTATTTCCGTTCTTAATCACCATAAATCACCCTTTTTGTATCCTCTGCAATCAACTACCTCTTAGAAAATTGAAGATTATGAGCCCTTTGTTCCAGTTTGGTTCACGCCAAATAAGGTAGTGACTATGCTTCAAGGTTGACACCCCTATAGGAAGTCGACTACAAGGCAACAATTTGGTTGACCTTCTAGACAACACTCTCAATGCAAAAACACCCATCTGGCTAGCATTTAAAATTCATGGATAAACACCTTCTTTGGGTCAATATCCCCTCTATGACACCTGACATTGAGATCTTATAGAGAGAGATCTTCGATCTCCATTATTTCCCACAAAAGGAAAAGAAAAAGAGAGAAAAAAAATAATATCTCCTTATTAGACACGTGAGACCCCCTAATGGCCATTAGAAGTTAATACCCCTTGGCTCCAACAAAGGATAAGAAGAGGAGCACACTAAAGGGTTAGAGAGAGAGAGAATGGAGTTCAACCTCCTTCCTCTGCCCTCTCCTAAGGAGGTAAAGTCACTAGTGGAGGAGGACCTCATCAATCAAGTGGGCATCCAAGAGGAAGAGAGGGAAGGTGGAGAAGAAGAAGAAGAAGATGATGATGATGATGAAGAAGAGGATGATGATGATGATGATGACGACGACGACGACGACGACGACGATGATGATGATGATGATGATGATGATGAATCTGATGATTATGATTATGAGGAAAGACAAGAAGAAGAAGAAGAAGGCGATAAAGACCACCCACTTCAGCTCTCCTATCCTGCTGCGAGTTCTCTAGATCCCTCTGTGACCAGCGTAGACAAGTTCCTAAGGCAGTGCCCAGTCTGCAACATTGGAAAGCCCCTCAATTGGGCACTCTGTGCATCATCAATCTACAAGGCAAAGAATCAACTAGCCACCTTTTTTCCCCATTTTCTTTCATTCCTATTTTAGAAAAATACGAATTTCTTTCTTATTAGAATTTTCCTTTTAAATTTAGGGGAGGTTCGAGATATAATATAGTGAAAAAAATTATCTCTCATTGTGTTTTGTGAATAATAAATGCACCCAAGAACATGGGTAGTTTTACTCACCCAAATCTTATATTTGGAGGTAAGCCATATTTTTTTAGTGGGAGAAGCAATAATAACCCACTTATTTCTCCTTTGTTAGGAGGGGGACACGGACCTCAAGCCTCAAAATCAGAAAGTCAAATATCCATTTCCTCCCCTTGGCTTTCTCTCTCTCTCTCTCTCTAGCCATAGTTGGTCTATTTTTCTTTCTCTACCATTTGTTAGGCTAAGTCACCATAACTAGACGGTTTATGTGCCCAATTTCTCCCATTAGCTCTCTCTCTCTCTCTCTCTCTATCTATCTATCTATCTATCTATCTCTCTATCTCCAACAAAAGTTAGCCTATTTTTCTTTCTATACTTCATTTTTTAGGCTAAGTCACCATAACTAGACAATATGTGCCCATTTCTCCCCTTTTCTCTCTCTGTCTAGCAAAGGTTGGCCTACTTTTTCTTTCTATACCCCAATTTTTAGGTTAACTCACCAAAACTATACAATTTATGTGCCCATTTCTCCCATTGGCTCTCTCTCTAGCCAAATTTGACCTACTTTTCTTTCTATACTCCATTTTTTAGGCTAAGTCACCATAACTAGATAATTTATGTGCCCATTTTCTCACCTTCTCTCTCTCTCTCTCTCTCTCTCTCTCTCTCTCTCTCTCTCTCTCTCTCTCTCTCTCTCTCTCTATCTATTTATCTCTAGCCAAAGTTGGCCTACTCTTTTTTCTAGACTCCATTTTTTAGGCTAAGGCACCATAACTAGACAATTTATGTGCCCATTTTCTCCCCTTTGCCCTCTCTCTCTCTCTCGCCAAAGGTTGACCTATTTTTCTTTGCATACTCCATTTGTTAGGCTAAGTGACCATAGCTAGACAATTTATCTGCCCATTTTCTCCCATTGCCTCTCTCTCTCTTTCTCTTTTCTCTAGCCAAGGTTGGCCAATTTTCCTTTTCTATAGTCCATTTTTTAGGCTAAGTCACCATAACTAAACGATCCATTTTGTCTCCCTTGCTCTCTCTCTCTCTCTCTCTCTTGCCAAGGTTGGCCTACTTTTTCTTTCTAAACCCCATTTTTTAGGCTAAGTCACCAAAATTAGACAATTTATCTGCCCATTTCTCCCATTGCCTCTCTCTCTCTCTCTATCTATCTATCTATCTCTAACCATAGTTGGCCTATTTTTCTTTCTATACTTCATTTTTCAGGCTTAACTCCATAACTAGACAATTTATGTGCACATTTTTTGCCATTGGCTCTCTCTCTCTCTCTCTCTAGCCAAGGTTGGCCTATTTTTCTTTCTACACTCCATTTTTTGGGCGAAGTCACCATAACTAGACAATTTATGCACAACGTTCACACTTCGTGTCCAATATTTCCGACTTTGATCTGAATTCATGATTTATTGCTTATGGGCAGGCCCTCTGTGAAGGTTGTGGAGCACACTATGAGAAGACTCCAAAGAAGACCAGCATCAGCATTGGAGCCGGGCCTTCCTCCTCCCAGAGGAACTAGCACAAACACCTCCTGCTGTACTCTCGTTTATGAATAAGTCTCTGCGCTGTATCAGAGAACACTCTCCAATAAAGTTCATCTGATGTTCTACGAACAAGAAATAGAGAGAGAGAGAGAGAGAGAGAGAGAGAGAGAGAGAGAGAGAGAGAGAGGAATCCGAGAAATTTTCCTGCAGAGGATCATTGGATGCATCGAAGGAAATAGGGGGTTGACAGAGAGAGAGAGAGAGAGAGAGAGAGAGAGAGAGGCTTGGAGAAACTCTGCTTCACCCTCAATCCTAACCTAGGATCCATGCACCTGAGAGGGATAAAATTAGGGGGTTCCATGGTTTCCAAAAAGCCAATGGATTGATATAACAGAGAGTGGCAGATGGAAAGAAGCCCATTACAGAAACTCCCTCTGCAAAGAGATGAAGAAACAAAAAAACAAAGAAAGGAAGAGATATCAACATTTACAGTCTCACCGGACACCAGCAGTCCTGTTGAATGGCGTGGGGTCTCCTATCACACCCACAGCAGCTGCCCTCTGAGCTCGACGCCGTGCCGGACAGTGCCATCGGCGGAGACCATCTGGCTCCTGACCACCGCCCGCCGGGTTGCATGTTTGACTCTGAATGTGGGCGGCGGCCTGGGGTTCTCTGTGGCAGCGGAGGGGCCCACTGGCAGTACCTCATCAAAGAACTCGTCTGCCACATCACCATCCTCATCGATCCTCAGCCGCCTCCCATGCCACTTGAATCCCTGGAGAGAGACAGACGTGGAACAGGGGGGTTGACTTTCGTTCACATTTCCACATGATGGAGCAATGAAAAAGTTTTTAAAATCAGAAAAGTTTCAAGAGTGACTATCTTTTCTGGATGGATGCATCTGTAGTGATTCCAGCTGTCTGATCCAGATGGGTCAATCCCCACCTGGGTCGAACAAGTCAACACTACGTGACTATTGAGGGGAGTAGACCCAGATGGGTGGGTTCAGTTCTTCTCCTGACTAAAGTGGGAATATTATTTTTCCACGGCTCTGCCACGTGGACAAAAGAAAGAGGGCATTCGTTCACATATCCATATCATGGAGCATTGAAAACTTTCTAAGATGAGAGAAGTTTCAAGCGTAATGATTCCAGTCGTCTGATCCAGATGGGTCAACCCCCACTTGGGTCGGCCAAAGTCAAAACTACTTGACTATTGAGGGGAGTAGACCCAGATGGCTGAGTTCCTGCTTTGAAAGTGGACAAAAAAAAGAGGGCCCACTTGAGTCCGATGAAAAGTTAGACCATTTGGTAGTCAAACTGAAAGCCATTCTGGCTATGAATATAGTGGCCTAATCAGAGTGACGAGTCAGTTTCAACTAATAATCAGAATGGCTGAAAGGATTTAATACCTAGTTTGCTGCACTATGATTTGCACTTTATCAGCCTGCCATAGAAGACAGCTAGGGATTGGCTGCAGTGTCTCTACTTATCATTTCATAATGCTAGCATCAATATAATTTGCATCAGAGTCCGATGATTCCATCCACAGAAACTTTAAGTGCCCATTCTAGATAAACGATCAGATGAGTAAATACATAAAAATTACAGGTTTGTTTCTATAATATGCAATGCAGGACAATTGTTAGACCGGCTATTTCTTTCAATTTCTTACTTTTTTCACCGTTATTTGATTCGAAATGGCAGTATATAAAGATAATGATCACTCTTCATTTGATCATGTTGGAACAAACAACTATCGTCCACCCAAGGCACGAAATTTATTTATTTAAGGAAACTAAGAAATCTAAAATCGACGTGACATACTAGTCACACGGTCTTTGGTCAGGAATAAAACCATTGAAAAAGCCTTCAATGGTTCATGGTTTAAGCTATTGCAATCCCAAGTGACCACCCAAGATCACCCGTGAAGCATATTCAGAACAGGAAGTATTTCTCCTTTGATTAGAATATCCTTTCTCTACATTTAGCACACCAAAAGGCGATACACTAGAACAGAGAGATTATCATTGAGAAAAAAAATGTCTAGTCATCATCCCTTATGGAATCGAAATCCATTGTATCGAAGACCTTTGCTGATAGCATACAGTGTTTTCAGTAGACTCTGTAGTTTAAATGGATATGCATATGGATTTGGGAAATGCAGAAGGGCTAAGGAGGAAGAAAGAGGGAAAAAACTTCCCAATTGCCACCACCCCCACTCTGTCACTTTCTCACTAGTGTGTCAATGATGCCTCCAATTGATTCTTCATCCTCTACTCGTTGTGACTCCATTTCTATCAGAAATTCCGTTAAGTATTTGCATCATCCCTACACCACCCACCTGCACCATTCCTCTTCATATACAAAATCCCATCGATCCCCCCACATCGTCATTATCTCACACCATTGCCAACTTTCACCGCTACAGTTGTGTTCCTCTGTTGTCACTGCTTCTGTGCAACTGGGTCTGAACCTATCACCATCTTTCTAAATAAAGGCATGAGCTTGATACTCGGCCTAAAGCCATTGAACTAGTATTATGTGATGTGATAAAGCACAATGGCGAACTTCTTGTTTTATTCAAGCAGTGAAAGCTATGATGAAATAAAAGCCATGAGAGGCATACCAGTTCCCAAAAAAATTATTGGGGGGCAAGATGGACTCCTATGAAATGGTGTGGTCCCTCATTTTTATAGAGATTTTCACTCCATCACGCAGCATCAGACAGTAAGTACATTGCTCATATTTGAGAGAATTTTAGTACTTTGTGGACACATATACCAGAACGGCTGGAGTCCATTAAAAAACCTTCTCTTGCACTTCCCATATGAGATGCTTGCAATTTCCTAGGAAACAGAAGAAAAAATGTGCTCACTGCTAGATTGCACAATTTAGGACGCTATGCAAATCATCAATGTAGCGTTCTTCCCAAAAGTTCCAGATGACAATGTCATTGCTGATTCCTTTGGAGGATCAGCTATTGATCTCTTTCTTGAAGATGCATTCAGCACGCTTAAATTTTCAGGTAAAATGATTCCCTTAAACAGCTTAAATTTCATATAAACTTCCCCCGTCTAGAACTAAGATTCAATGCGTTGATGAGGCATGTCTTTCTTTCATCTACCCTCTTGACAAGGTAATGTACTGATATTGGTAGCAGGATAGAATCATTGGTTTCCTTAAAAGTCCAGCTTCCGTTGGTTGCACAGTCCTGAGATATGGCCGACAAAAACTACATCTAAACATTTTATTGGCATAAACTATCAGTTTCTATGCCTGCTCCGATGGGAAAAGAGAAGGGGGGAAATAATTCTCTATTATATAATCTATGATCGTCAATGAGTGATAGCAGTTGAGATCAAAATAGACGACAACCGTGAGAAAATAGTCTCAAATGCTCTCAAGCAATTCATCTCACCATCTCGTTTCATCGTCATTTCATCAATCTGCACTTACGACGTCTATTAACTTGCGGCTTCTGCTGTCTCAGCATCCCCTTTCTCCATGACGAATTTATAACTCTAAAGCCAATCCCGTAGTACATCCGCTCCAAACATACAGATTCACATTATACAGAAACCAAAACAGATCTATAGGTTCAATATTTTATAGTTAGAGTTCAATACAAAATAATATTCCTGATGTTCGCGAAAGCATATCCGATCGAAAGGTGGCATTTCATGGTTTGCTTCAGAGCCGATCAAACACAATACACCGTTCTCATAGAATAAACAGAGCAGCGAGGATCAAGGAAGTAGAAGAAGAGAAAGAAACTAGACGCACCTGTACGCCTCCTTCCCCTACGTCGCAGGGCACAAAGACGGGGCCAACCTGGGGCCTCTCCACTGGCACCGGCACCTGCACGCTGAAGCCCCTCCGATTGGCAGAGGCCGCGGCGGAGGAGTCGGCGCGGCGCTTGTCCTCCCCGACACCCTCCCGATCCTCCTCCTCCGCCACGTCGCCGCCATCCTCGCCGTGCACGAGCCCCAGCATGCCAGCCATCCTCCTCAGAAACCCCATGGCGAGCCCTGCTCAACCTCCTTCCACAGGCGGCGCCGCCCAATCCTCCGCCGCCGGCCGGCAATAAGAACCCGCCGTCGTCGCTTCTCTCCGGCGTGATCCGGCAGACTAGTCGCCGTCGGCAAATCCCACTTCCCCCGTCCTCCCTGCTGCATATATTATTCCGGAAATAACCCCACCTGCCTCATGTTGTCTGGAGACATCATTTTTTCTGTTATGTGAAATACCTATAATACCCCCACCTACTCTCCCCCTCTAGAAACTTCCAGACGATTACTGCTCCTGGGTAACTAATTTTTTTAGTTTTAACATTGAAATTAAGTAGGACAATATTTTTTTTTAATTATTTGTATGATTTGACCGATAGGGAAACTCATTTATTTACTCAATTTTTATTTTTATAAATTTAATTTTACTTATAATTATTTTCTTCAACGAATTTGTGCAAAACCAACTAGGAAACTCATCTTTTACTTTAAAAAGTTGAAATTAAGCAGGAAAATATTTATTTATTTATTCATTTGTGGGATTTAACCGATTGGGAAACTCAATTTTTCTTGATTTATAATATTTATTTTATTTATATTATTGTCTTGACTGAGTTTGTGCAAAACCCACTGGGCAAATCATTTTTTTACTTTAAAATATAAATTAAATAGGAAAAATATAAATTTGTATTCATTAGTAATATTTGGGCGACTCATTTTTATTTATACACAATAAATTAAATGGGAAACTCGTTTTTTTACTCAATATTTATTTATTTATATATTTTATTTTACTTTTAATTATCGTCTTTAACAGGTTTGCAAAACCGACTAGGCCACTGAGTTTTTTTACATGAAAATTTAAATTAAGTAGAAAATATAACTTTTTTATTCATTTTTAGTATTTTACCGATTTGGAAACATTTTTTTAATCAAAATTTTAATTTATTTATAGTGGTCATCTCGAACGAGTTTGTAAATATATCCTCGTACGTTTTATCTTTAAAGTCTCATTTTTTTTAAAGGATAATTATTCTTATTATATTTAATCCACTTCTGGAAGGTTTCGTTACACTAAACATTCTCTCATCATAATTAGGGGCATGTTTGTAAACGTATAAAAAAATACCCACAATTCGCTAAATTTTATAAATGTACACATTGTCAAGAAAATAATCCTTTTAACCACGAAATAAATATCTCAAATACACTCACTGGAGTCATAAAAATAGATGGAAAAAAAGGGAAAAAATATTATTTATATACAATTTATTTTTTAAAAACTTGAACTTTGCTAGTCTTTGACGTAGGATCGGCCCAAAATAAAGAATTGGACGTATGCCCCTGTGGTCCTCCTCTGGGCCCATTAAGAAACAATGGAGAAAAATATTTGAGGAAGAGAAATAAAGTTCAGGCTCATTATTATTATCCCAGAATTTTGAGCGCAAATATTTAAAGAAAAAAAGGTAAATCCAAGGTTACCATAAGTCAACGGTTTGACCCCGATGATGCTATAAAAAGACGATGAAATTTGTCGAAAAACTGATGAAACTGGAAGTAACAGAAAAAAAGCCACCCATGTTGACTAGTCCAGGTAGCTGGTCTTCTTTCCGCCGTAATGCCACTGCGGAGGAGAGGAGGATTCAAGGTAGGCGGCTGGCTGGCGGCCAGGTCAACGGAGCGGTGGAGGAGGAGGGCGTGCCGGTAGCGGGGGCGCCGCTGGGGGACGTCTCCTCGTTGACCGGGCTGCCTTGGGCATTGCGGGAGCTCTCGCTGTCGTCCGACGCGGCGCTCGCCGGAGAAGCCGGAGACGCCGGAGACGCCGGAGACGCCGGAGACGCCGGAGGCTTCGCCCGCCTCACCCGCTTAGCCGTAGCAAGCCTCTGCGTCCCCCCCGCCACCATGAAGCTAGCCACGACAACCTGTGCGAGAGAAGTAGAAGATAAGAGAAGAGGAGAGAAAAGAAGAAGAAGAGGAAGAACACGAAGAACAAGAAGAAGAAGAAGAACAAGAACAAGAACCTGGACGGTGCTCGCCGCCATGAGCATTCCGGAGACGGCGCCGCCGATCATATGTCCCTCTGGGTTGGCCACCGACACGGCCAGGGCGCCGGTCCTGCTCCGGGTGGAGCTGTTCTCCTTGAGCAGGAAAGAACCGGACAGAGAAAGAATCTCAAAATGATCCTGCAAAAAACAAAAAGTGGACAAAATATTGTTCATGAAAATCAGACGCTTCTAGTTTATGATGAATAAAAAATATTAAAAAATAAAATAAATCTACGCTGAAGAAGATTAATGAGACTTTATCATATTCACTAATTAATCCATCCATAATAATATGAGCTACTATGCTCATGATAGTGAGAGCTATTTCTAAATTATCAAGCATATGAAAATAAAAAATAAAAAAATGCGTTGAACCCATATGTTCATACATTTTATGAGGTCTAGGGGAGATCATCGAGTATTACATAATCATTTACTAAAAATGGTTCCCCACACATGGGCTCACTAATTAATCCATCTAATAAATTAAAATAAAATTTTGGCTGTGCTTATATTCTTAATGTCTCCTATGGCAGCAATATGTGGTATTCATCTCCTATAAAGCTGTAATTATGCATGCAAATAATGCATGAAATCATTTTTTAAAACCTACCCATTAAATGAACCAACTTGAGGAAAATTCAATTTTTTTTTTGTGGGGAAAGGAGGGGGCAACGCAAAATCCTTAGAAAGCTAGGTGGCAGAATGCTACTAACCCCATACCTTTTCTTACCACTCATGCCCATCTATCTAATTTTTAGCTCCTTTCTCCAAATCAGAATGTTGATATGGTAAATGGGCAAATTAAAGGATTTCATGCATGTTTTCTTTTATAGTTTAAGAGGAAATATAGGGACATGAACAAGCACGTTAGGCCCTCTTTCTATTCAAATAGATCCCTTGTAGATATCCAATTGGAAAAATTTCCAGTCATTTAATAACTTCTTGCATTTATAGTAATGAAGTAAAGAAAAAATAGACATAAATTGATCAACACAAACACCTCTCTAGTTACTCCTGATATTTTATTTTTGGAAGTGGATGTGCACTATTTTTCCTTATTACACATTTTTTCAAATATTTTATGAGAGTCTTGTAATTCCATCTTCATCCTTTGCTCATGCTTGTTTATGATGGGAAAAATAAGAGCACGAGACAATAATGAAGGAGAGTTTGATAGACAAAAAATATGGGTACATAACTAGGAAAAACCCTTAAAACGCCCTTACAAGCTTGGGTTTAACACATATTAATCCAAAATAAAAACTCAAAGGGGCATATTTCTTAACATTAATGAACACAAATCTTCCACAAAGCTATAGGAAGGCTTCATGGAAGCCAATTTGGATAATTTAGCAAGGTCTGGCCTAGATTCTTGGATAGGTCATTCTAAAAGTGGCTGAATAGTCCCCTTGAGACTTGCACAAAAGCTCCTAATTCTTATCCAAATTTAACGATATAGATTGAGTATGTTGATTTTACACAAAGGATGTTTTAGGATTATTTTTTAAATTTATCTAAAAATTCAAATAAAAAGTGGTCTTAGTATCAATTGTAGTAGATATTTAAATAAAACAGTTTTGGGATAAATGGAATAAAACATACTTGCAAATATCAGACCATCTATTCTGAACGTACATGTTGTAAATCATTAAAAATATATATAATAAAAAAATTAAATGATTTCCTTAATAAGAACTATTCATTTATTGTTTTTCTGAAAAGACTGCACAAGTAATTTCATTTGCTAACCTCATAAGTCAAAACTCCATCATATGGCTCAGGCTTACAAAGGGTGATACTGCAAAGAGAGCCTCTAGCAGAAATGATGCAGACATTCGTTGGGCATTGTTGACAAAAACTCATGATCTTTGATGTCACATCCTGCCAAGAGATAATATGGACTAGGAAATTTAGCTGTAGAGCATTGAAAAATTTAAAGCCCCCAAGACCGTAATTAACATCAAATTAAAAATAACTACTAAAGATTCTAGAAGCAGGTCACAACTAGAAATAGCATAATGCTGAATTTGGAAAAAATGGAATAACTTGAGGGTCAAAGAAATAAAATCCAACCACGTGATTTCAGTTCAGTGAAAAATGAGAAAATATTATTGAAGGAACTAGAAGATAATAAATTTGTAGAATCAAGGCTCATCCTTTGCCATGTTTAGTCATAGTTTATAAAATCAATTCTATTGCTCATTTATTATCAAACATGCTATTATGGCATTTCAAAAGTCACAAGGGAACATGATAAACACCAACAAAAGGAGAATAACATTATTATAATATCAATAAATATTCATGAATAAAATGATATTTAAGGATGTAAAATAAGATTACTAACCTCCCCAGGGTTGACAGTGATAATGTGTGGGTGAAAAGCAGCCCTTTGAGATCCTGTTAAATGCCAAGCTATAGTAGATTCCACAAAATTTAGGGAATATTTACATGAATTTTTTTTCATATTTATGTATATAAGAACAAGAATGAAATTCAGAAAACATTTGAAATAAAAACAATATTATATTTTAAAAGAAATCATAATGATTATTGCTTCATAAATACATATAAGAGCATCATCTCACACTCATTAAAATGAATGGAATACAATTGCACGTAAGATAAAGATCCTCTAAAGGTTGTATGTATCAATAACTTTCTCCCAAACATGGAAGAATGAATCGAAATACAAAATATGGTAATCCTAGAGAGGTTTCAAAATTGAATTTACTATATCATATGAAGGGAGAAGAATTAAAAGAAGACAACATAATACAAGTAAGAGGTTAGAAAGAAAAATATTAATTTATATAATAAATAATTAAATAAGAAAAAATAATTTAACTTACGGGTAGTATATTAAGCCCTTATTTCCATTGTATCTGAAGTTAAAGAAATATCTAGTATTAAACATATATTGGAAGCTAAGAACTTCCATTAAGATATGCTTGGTATATCATAAAAAAATTCTCCAATTATGGACACAATTTGAGAGTGCGAAGATAGTCCGAGATGAAAACAATTAATATATTTTTGGAAATCTGGTTCACTATTTTGCAGCAAAAATTAGCTTGTTCGTGGTTCATTGAAACAGCTCTCTTTCAGGGGCCATAAAAAGAAGGCTAAAACTATCAGATATCACGCTGAAGCCATCTTCTGTTGACTTCCCCGAGTTGTTATGCTGTATTAAATTACTATCATAGATAATAATAAGCTTCCGATAGAAATCCCTTCACTAGCTGGGCCTTAGTAGTTATGAATGATCAAACATAAAAGGCAATTCTTACCCATTGCAGCAAGTCTCTGGTTCTTCCCAGTGCCAGGTGGGCGGCCCCGCCTCCTGGGCATTGGCGGCTCCGACGAGGGGGACCCCAAAAATTCAGAGATCGCTGCCATGGCGGGGTTCCACCCCAACTGAATGCTCCCATCATCACGTCCATACTTCCGCGGCCTTCCTCTCTTCTTCTTCACCGTCCTGCTAACACTACCGCCACCTTCAACCATTGGCGCCGCCGTCGCTGACGCCTCTCCAATTTGCAGAGCAGTGGAGAGGCCCAAAGCTATTGAGATCGCAGGGTAGGGCAGATGAGCATCGCCTGTGAGCACCGCGCTGCTCAGTGGCCCACTGAGAAATGGGTTGGGAGGGCTGTCCATGGCGCCGGGAGCTTCAGAGGAGTTCAACCCCGAAGATTCCTTGGGAGAATGCATTCATAAAAATTTTATTCCCAAATTGGTAGTCTTGGGTTACTTGGATCAGGCTACCTGCAATCTTTCTTCGGGAATAGCACAAAGACAGCAAAAAGAGATCACAAAATTCAGGAAAGACCAAGAGAGGTTTATGGAGGAAAGTGTTGAGCGTTAAGGAAAAAAGAACATTGAATGAAAAAACCCATCATTCTCTAGCAGAAAAGAACACAAACAGGTATGGAAGAGGAAAGTAGAGAGAAGAGAGGAGAGAGACACATGAGCAACAGTATTCGATGGGACAGGGGAAGCGGGCGACTCCTTGCCGGCCGGCTGACGGAGGTGATCGAGAAGAAAACATTAATCTTATTTATAGTTCCGGTGAGGAGGAAAGAAAACTCCTTATTTACTCATTGTCTTCACCCACCCTCTCCAGCGTGAAATGCTGAGAGGTGGAAGAGTGTGTGTGTGTGTGTGAGAGAGAGAGAGAGAGAGAGAGAGATGACAGCGGCGATGAAGATAAAAAGAAAAGGTGATAAGAACGGTCCCAACATAACTAAACAAGCTGGTCAAGATATCCTCGGATGTTTGGAGTTCAGTTCAAATCCAGAAGCAGAGGGGAAATTTCTTCTCCATACTAGTTCTTGATTTCAAAGTACCCATCAAGCCACTACTTTCACAAAAAAATTAAACTGCGAAAGATCTAAAACCCCGTGCATGAACGATCTTTCTTTTTCTCCCGTACCAGGCAGTGCACGTTTATCCAACAGAATTATATCATTAGCCCAGCAGAAACCGCCGTCGCAGTTCACTCACGACTGCCAAGGCAGAGCGAGCGATAAGTATATCTAGCGAGAGAGAGAGAGAGAGAGAGAGAGAGAGGGTTTCTGCATATCCAACTAGCAGCTACTCCGAACAAGCTGCCCCATGCAAAACCCCCATGAGAATCAGTAACTAGCCATTTTTTCACTTAAGTCGTTTACCTATTTACCAAATTTGGAAATTTCTGTTTACAGACTCATAAACACCTCCATATCATTGATCCCCGTGATTAGACTCTCAGACTAATGACACCAAACCCATAAAAGGCGATCTTTGCCTTGTTGAAAACAGCTAATTAAGAAGAATTTTTTGTCTACACACCATGGAGTTAAAAACTTCGAGAGATTTTACAACAAACATAATAGAAATGGGCATACCTCCGAGAAAATCTTGTATCAATTAGATTTATAACTATACAACAATCTGACAAGAAATTTACGTGGCTGGAGTATTTTGTAAGTTGATGACAGAAAATATAAATGACATCAAGGCATTTTTTTTCCTGTATGAGAAAAATCTGAGGATATTTGAATTAAGCAAGCATGAATATCACCCCAAAACTAAAAAGAAAACGCAGACAACAAAGTTGATTTTGTATGACCTATTTCTAAATATTAATGTCTAAAAATCAAAGTGATAGAGTGCGTCTAGATTTGCACTGAAGTGTGGGGGAGAAAAAAAACAAAGTAGATAGAATAATAGAGCTTATACAAATTAATTAATGAAGATTCATAACCTAAAAAGCGCAGAGATTCCGGTTACATAGGCATTGATGCAGCGCAACTATCAATAAGCTGACAGAAAATATATCTAATACTAATTAACAGCAAATGATTCGTATCTCAGACGAAATGTAAATTTCACAGCATGATCTTTACAAGCAGCTACAACTCAGTAGACAAGAAAAGAAACAAGATACGTGTTGACGGCAGAAGATTTAAATATAAAAGTAAATTTGAAAAGAATTTATTGCGCTGATAATTACGAACATCAACTACTATGTGGGGAAGGAAAGAAATCTGATAATAATTAATGTCAAAAGATTCGTATCATGGAAATAATGCGGGAAGAAAATGGTGGAGTTCCTGAAGAAGAAAAAAGTCATAAAGAAAATTAGTTTGACTAGGACTCGTCCTTATCTTAGGCGAGGTTGCAACAGGACACTATACATCGTGACGTACACAATCCTCTCTCTCTCTCTCTCTCTCTCTAAATATACATATATGTAAATTATCATCTAACTGAAAACCACAACCCCTCTTCTCATGGGTGCCATGTCTCCCTAGTGACAGCGGCTATCCCCTGGGCAATCCATCTCTTTCAATGCTCCCCACCAACAGCCCCACACACTAGCCTCCTTACCCCAAGTCTAAAATACCTTCTATTCTATCCAATTCACCTCTCTCAGGTCCAATTAATCTTCTTTGATATATAATTGACCAGGCCTGGGTCTTAAAGGCTCAAGCCCAAAGCTCATTCTTTCAAACTTTTATCTGCCTCAAACCTAGGTAAACTTGGTAAGGCGTATCCTCACCAATTAACCGCCCCAGTCAAGCCATCACTCTACAAAAATGTGGTAAAACATGGAAAATTTAAACTTAAGATCAGCGATGTAGTTTTCAGAAGAGGAATAGTGAAATATTTAAAATAGATAAATTATATAAATAGGACATGAAAAGAAAAATACTCTTGAAACTATATTGCTCCAGTTAAATGTAGAAGTATAAACTGATTGTTTTCTTCTCCTTCAAGGAAGTTAGGAAAGTAACAGACGTCATTGTCTAGAAACAAAGTATGCTGAAGAATTGGGGGATCGATGGTCACTGTAACCAAAAGTCTGGCATTGTCTAGAACCTATACAACCAAGTTTATAAAATGGTAGCATTTGGGGTGATAACCATTTTTCATATCATGTATATGTAAGACGGTCATTCATATGAAAAATTCTCCTCTCTCTCTCTCTCTCTCTCTCACACACACACACACACACACACACAATTACATAAAAATTTCTCGTCCTGATGTTCATATGACTTCAGTCTCAATCTTAAGTTTTAAGCTTCCTCCTAAATATGGGCTACATCAAACAATTGTGAAAATGTGTGGATTTTTGTTGGAACCCAGAATGTCTAGGCAGAACCAACTTTGATAATACTCATAATCCTCTGGGGTACACTCAATGGCATAGGTAACAACAATTGAATTCACATAGACACATGAAGAAGGGTAATTTCCAAATGCTCTTACTTTTTATATCACGCCACAATTAGAAAGTTTCACCCTAAATCAATCAACATGGGAAAGTTTTCACCCATAAAGAATACAAGGATGACAGTAATAAGGATAAATTTTATGGAATCATATTTTATCATATGTAGGTAAAACATATAAAAATAATGTTAAATTCCTTTATTTACTGTGTATACTAAAGCATAAATCAATACAATGTTACAGGAAGTAAGTTATGTTGAAGAAAATATGGATATTGCAAGATACTCTCTGCAAAAAGGAGATGCAATTTGATGCAAGATGGAGGGAACTGATGCCAATCAATAATAAGCATGCAACCTAAATATAATAGTTATGCATCCAAGGAAAACGCTATTGAACAAGATATACCAAAGAAACGCTATTGTTCCTCTTCCTGCATGTTTTGTGAGGATATAATCTATGAAATAATCACCATTACAGGAGGAGGAACTATGGAGAAATAATCCAAAGACCTAAAGAAACTAAGAGATCAGAAGATAGGGATGGTGAGGTGCACATGGAAGAAAGGTACTCTCAAAGAACTGTTTTCTGCCCTCTATAACACAAGAAAACTAATATGTGTGTAAGAGAGTACTCACATCATAGGTGACCTAATATAAATTCCAAATATATGTTTGAAAATCTTCATGTAATTCTTTCATGCATAAGAATATCCACGAAGACAATAAAATCCATGAAGACAATAAATCCACTAAGAGTTTGAGAGAGAAACCAAAGTTTATCAAAGTCATAAGTATTCAACATGAATTAATGAGAAATAGGTTCTTATGTGTCTCCTCCTGATGCTTTAGGATGCAAAATTACGTTGAAAACTGTTCGTGAACCACATGATCCAAGTATGCCCACCAATTTGAAGAAAAGTCATGGAAGACTTTACAAAAGAGTGTGTACTTAACACAAGAAATGAGGAGCATATAAAACATGAAAAATAAACATTATCCTAACCATTGCTAGTATGTTTCTTAGGTACTATAAGGAAGTTTTATAATTAATATTATAAGATGGAACAAGTAATATCAAAGAAAAAGGTGAATGATGAATAAACAACTTACAAAGGGTGTAAACAAATTAGATAAGACACTATAGTTATTTGAATGGAACTACACATGTTGGATCCCTATTAGCAGTAATTGAAGTACAGTGATAATTTTGGCATCTCTGATGGAGTAGATGAGGACATAGATTAAAAGAATGAACTTATTTCCAGTTACAAGCCAAAATCTTCATAATGCCTTATGAATTAATCACGTTTAGATGGAATAAAAAATGCTATTATGGAAATACGAAAGAAATTAATATGGACTATAAGAAGTGGAAAACTCTAATGTCTTCACAAAGAAGAATAAAATGTAAATTGATGACGAAAGTAAATATCATATGAACTACTACAAAACATATTCTAAGACACTTAATGAAGAGATGATATAGAGTGCTCATTAGGAAATTTTAAAATATTAGAATACCTATGGAATGAGAAACCAAGTATACTAATAATCATAATATAATTATTATCCTTGTTTATTTAAAATATATATTGATGAAATTGGAACTGCACACCTATACATGGTACAATAAGAAATTGGAATCTATGTTTTGAATTAAAATTGTGTGAAGTTTCTAATGGCAAGAAAAGCAAATAAATATCATAACCATTTATCATGAAGATAATAAGAAAAGTTTACATAGAAATATTTGACGCACGAGCTAGACATCACAACTATGTATAATTATGTACATATCTCACTATAAATAAATTTATTTATTGTATATATTTAATGGAAATACAATACTTACGGACAGTTCTTATGTGGAAATAAATTTACGTCCCTTAATCTAAGAGTAAATTACTGTGGACAATTCTTATCCCAAAAAAAAGACAGGCTAAGCGTACTAGCGCTATATTAAGAATGTCATTATCATTTGAAAATGGTAAATACTCACTAGAAATTCAACCATTGATGTAATGAAAGTGCTAAATTAGAAGAAAAAAATATACCTTGTGAGGATATGAGTATGCCGCGGAAGGGTATATCAATAGATTGTTTCACGATTTCAGTCTATTTTGCTATCACAAAAGAAGAGAGGCACTTGATGAAGGAAGGAAGATGGATAGGGATAGGGATAAGAACAAGAGAAGAGATATTGCTAAGGGGACATCGAGAGAGGAGGAAGAAGAATTGGAGATGCCACACTTAGAGATCAAGATGGAAAGGCGACAGAGGAGCAAGATTTAACGTGATGACGGTTGCAAATCCGGGTTGCAAAGAAATAAAAGCGGAGAGGAGGCGCAAATAAATTAGGGTTGAAAAGAAATAAAAGCAGAGTATTCGAATCCGGGTCGCCTTTGTCACTACTTAATGTGATGAGTTGGATGTAGACCACATTTAACCAATATTTACTTTTTCAAATGATCGTAAAGAAATGAATGAATTATATTAAAAAAAAACTAAATAATGAAAATAAATGGGGCCTTAACTATTTGAGGCTCTTTTGGGATCCAAATGAAAGACCCCTAGTAACTTAGATTTCAAAATTAAAATAATGATTCACATATTAATACCAAATGCACCAAATGCCAAAAATGTTCATCAGTTTATGTGCACAATATACGTACTAGTTGAAATTAAAAAAAAAATCAATAGTTTCATACATACACATATATAGATATATGTCAAACTTGAAGATGTCAATAGGTCAGGTAGATTTGAAGACTACCCCAACTTAGATTACATCAGGCAAATTGAGTCCTAATCCATGTTAGATTTGGAGTGCACGCAATTTCATCCAAGCAGGGTCTAGTCCATATTTCCCCTTCTCCAATTGCCCTCCCCAATGTCTCCACCTCTCCACTTTCCAAAACCCCACACCTAACAATGAAGTAGGGCACAAGGTGAATATCAATTATGGCTTTTTCACTCTACAAAGCAATATGTGGAACTAATTCGAGTTAGAGCAAAGAGGCATAACAAGTACATACACAAGCAAGTGAAACTTTTAGGCAAGTTAGCATCAGCCTACATCAATTCTTAGGAGAATTCTCATGAGATACTAATCTATTCCCAAGGCTATAAATACTACATTTAATGCCAAGTTTACCTAATCTGCAGCTTGACCTTCAAGTAAAATAGTACAATAATAGTTAAGAAATGCTAGAATACATGTCTAGAAACTTATAGTCATCAAGAATAAATAAAGCTTTTGTAATCTTTCTTTTTGTGATAGGTAAGAGCTTCGATGAGAAATAGAATATTTATAGTGTTGATTTTGACATTTTAAGGGTAAATTTGATAAAATATCAGAAAATGATTTTTAGAAATCTTAAGCAGTTAGGTCATTCAAAAAAGTTAGATAATTTCATTACAGGTATGGACGTCAGTGAGCTGGGATAGGTCCCGACCTTGCTAAGCCCACTCCTAGATTGAGCATATTTATTTTAATAGGAATATCTCTATTTGTTGTCTGGGAGAAAAACCAGTAACATAGCATCAGAGGTTGAACCGATCTGTAAGATAGTAACCCAGACCTTGGGGGGGGGGGGGGGGGAGAGAGAGAAAGGGGCGCCCGGCTCGCTGAAGCTCTAGTTACAGATGGAGCGAAGAGATTTCGTAGGGGCTAGACCAACATGTCATCGGCGTTGCCTATTCGTCAAGGTAGACAGGCGGCAGTATGGAGGACAGCTGAGGAAGTTGGTCTCCTGGGCGGTTGTCAGGAGCTGTGGCCCTGCTGAATACTATATTTCCCTAGGTTTTAAACGGCTTCGGATCTGGTGGCTCAAATGGGTAAATCCCACCGGCCATGAACCCGTTCTAGAGTTTCTTGGGAAGTCAGGGAAGAGACCAGTAATTTTCCCCTTGCCCTGTTCAGTCTCTAAAGAAGAAGAAGAAAAGTTCTGCAAGAACAAGAGGAGAGAGGAAGTACGCGACCAGTGTGAGATAAGACAACGCTAATCACGATCTGCCGTTAAAATAATGGAGTTTCGGATGCAGGAAGCATCGGTGACAATCGGTCCGTGGATGGTGAACAGCCCCAACAAATTCCACCTACCTCCTCTGTGTTTGAACTGGTCCAAGGTCACATCTCATCGCATTCTTCTCTTCTGCTCTCTTCCTCTCTCTCTTCTCTCTCTCTCTCTCTCTCTCTCTCTCTCTCTCTCTCTCTCTCCCTCTCCCTCTCTTCTTCTCTCCCGCTCTCTCTCTCTTCCCCTCTCTCTCTCCCCCTATCCATCTATCTATCTCTATCTCTCTCTCGCTAGCCATCCATCTCCCTAGCTTCCAAAATGGGCGCCGACGAGAAGGACAAGGAGAAGGTGATCACCGCGGTGTACAGACTGCAAGTGCACTGTGGGGAGTGTGCGCGGGTCATCAAGAAGGCTGCCGCCACCTGCGACGGTGAGCTTCCTCGTCAGATGCCCCTCGATTAATTTCTCGCTGAACAGTCTGATTCCCTTTCTGGGGCCTACGATCTGATTGCAGGGGTTCAGAAGGCCGAGGTGGACATGGGAGGAAAAGCGACGGTGAAGGGAGTCTTCGACCCGGAGAAAATCCGAAAGAGGTTGGAGAAGAAGAGTCGCAGGAAGGTTGAGCTGGTCTCTCCTCTCCCCAAGAAGGACAACCAGAAGAAAGAGGATGTGAAGAAGAAGAAAGAGGTCCTCTCTCTCTCTCTCTCTCTCTCTATCTATCTATCTATCTATTTATCTATCTATCTCTTTCTCTCTCTCTCATCCATCGTCCCTCTCAACTGGTGCACCAAAACCTACCCGCCCGTCGTTCTCAAGCCGGAGGTGAAGAAGACCGTCTTGAAGGTTCATATCCACTGCAGCGGCTGCGAGGAGGAGCTGAAGAAGAAGCTCAAGGTCATGGACGGTGAGAGAGAGAGAAAGAGATGAGAGAGAGCGTCCGCATTAGAGCTCCACAATTAGGGTTTCTTCCCCCTTTGTCGCAGGTGTCCACACGGTGAAGACGGACAGGAAGGCCCAGACTTGCTCCGTGGAGGGTACGGTGGAGCCGGAGAAGTTGGTGAAGTTCCTGCGGAAGACGCTGAAGAAGCCCGCCGAGGTCGTCCCCCCAAAGGAAGATAAGAAGAAGGAAGACAAAAAGGAAGACAAAAAGGAAGAGAAGGCTGCATCGGCACACTATGTCAACTGCATAAGCCATGGGAGCCCCTACTGCTCCATCGGGAACGATATCTTCAGCGACGAGAACCCTAATGCTTGCTGCGTGATGTAGGAACCCTAATGGCTTCCTTAAGTTCAGAACGCCTTTCACAAGAAAAATCCCCATCTCTTTGACTTTAAATGGAACCAAGCCGACGGAGGTTGTGGCCATAGAAGGGTTCTGATGTCTGTGTGTGTGTGTGTCAAGGTGATCCGTTCAAGTCTACCTGACTCTCATGCCAGTTTTGACAGTTGCTCAGCCAACATCGAATAACTTCAGCAATAGGTAGAACTTCAAGTGATGTGTATTCTTAATTCTCTAGGATAAGACACTATGGGGATGACTTATTCTTCTCTCCCCGAGTTGGCTACTTTAAAAGAGACAACCTTACATCTTCATGACTATCCGAATAATCACTGTGTAGTTATGGGATAGTGCTCATCACTCTAACAATTAGTGAAACCTTCAACCTAACTGCCCCCACTCACAATGAAGAGACACACACATCTGCTGCCCACTGCATGCCCATTTTGTTTACCTGATGTTGTGTTGTGTCACCCACATAGTACCTTCGCAAGCAACACCACATTGCATGACATCATACACCTTTTGTCTATGTTGCATGGTGCCATTGTTGTGCCACATCATGTCAATAGATTGAGATTCATGAGACACACCCATCAACCTCATCTCGTATTAGGGGAGTTTTCCAATTGAGCCACACACCTATGCCCATGATCAAGTCTTATGTCTTCTATACATGATGTGTCGTGCTAGTGGTTTCCCATGTCACACCAGCACATACCTAACCTATGAGGTTCACATATACCTTTTGTTAACCTACTTCTGACTAAGAGATGTCATCAACTTAGTGGTGTCATCTATTGGAGTTGCAAGCACTCATACATGTACATGCCTCCATATATGTAACACACTCAATGTGTGTTGCATCATGCAATGCTTACCTCTTAATAAGCCTTCATTATCATGAGTTAATAATTAATTAATAATATATTTTATATCTTAATTCATGATAACATACTTATATTTATGTCAAATTAAAAAAATAATTGACTAATATAATTTTTTTACTATTTATATAATTTTATGTGAGCTTCTATACTTTTTATATTTAAGTTTTTAAGATAACATAAAGAAAAATAAATAAATAAGAGGGGACTTATTAGTCAATTGGGACTCAATAGTTGACCCAAAGAGTATTGCATATGGGTTGGAATTAGGTCGGAAAAATACTACCTAAAATATCCCTAAGTTCGGAGAAAAAAACTTAGTTATGATGTCGCTATTCAAAAAGTATCATGACAAATAGTTAACCTTCTCTCACATGACCAGGCGACCAACAAATGTTCGAATCTTACCAAAGTCATATTTTACATTTTTTATATAATTATATCATGATTTTCTACATAATGAGTCGATCAATGATTAAGCTACTATAATTACGTAATCATTAATGAAAATTTCATCAACATAATTTTCATAGCATTATTATTAACTAACAAATAATTCTAGATGAAAAGATCACAAATTTATTGAGAAAATCATTTCTAACTGATTGACAAACATGTTGTCAAAAATAAAATAATTTATTAAGAGATGAGTCACCAACTCTCGAGAGCATATCAAAGGTGTTGAATAGCTTCCTCTTGTGGATAAAGTTCCACAAGATGCACTCTATCTCTATTTAACTCATCTTCGTTAAGCGACAACTACTAGAGACCTAAACACCACCAAATTTTCACCATTAATTTTTGAACTTCACACAAGGATCAAAAGATTCTTCACATTATTCATGTTCAAAGAGAACCTTTAGGGTTGTAAACATTACACAATAATTCTTCCAAACATTTAAAATTCTAACAATCACCTTCATAATGTCAATACTTTATTTTTTCTACTTTAAATTTAATTATTTTTTAAATTAATAAGATTTTATATCATTTGAAATTTTGAAACTATTCTTTAATTTATTATAGTTCTCACCTAAATTACATTTATTAGGGACATTAATGTCATCTTGACATCAACACTTGAATTTCTCTTTTTCATAAATTTAAAATAAATTTACTCTTCATCATTTAGTCTAAAAATGATAAAAATATATATATTTTTTGAAAAAAATCTAAAATTGTACTCAATATTATTTTACATATTTTTGATTGACCTAAAAAAAATTACTATTTTTAAAACTTTTATTGAATTATAATTGATATATTTATATTGACACTTTTAAAAATCTAAAATTTATTTTTTAAAATTTTATTAATTTTAAATTTACATGATTTTTTATACAACAATTAAGTCACATCACTTGCTACATTAATATGTCAAGATATGATCAAAATAGATGTGAAGTGTGTACCTGGAACGATTGACTAAACTTGGGTAGCCATAGGACTAGTTCACTTCTAATCATCTAATTGAGTCATACATCATTGTAAACTTATATGAATTGTATTGCATCAAGCACTTGATCCAAACTTAATATAAATACTCTTTACACCAAATACAACTAAATACCTATTGTTGCCCAATTAGTCAAGGAGCTCATCTACATTGGGTATCAAATATTAGTTCTTCACTATGATTATATTCAAGACCTATCTACAAATAATTAAATAGATATATACTTCTTTTGGAAAAAGATAGGACCATACTAGGGTACCCTAAAGCGGTGGATGTGGCCTACCTTCAAGAGCTCCAATTATCAATGGAGCTCCTCTAGGTATATTGACATCATCTTATTTGGGAGGCCTGGGGTCAAGCACGAGCTCAACCTCGTGGTCCATCTCACACCAAGGTATCAATTGGCTCAAAAGAGCATTTGACATCAAAACTAGAATTCTTCTTAAAGGTTAATTCTTGATGAGAGTTGTCTTGGTACAGTATTCTCCATTATTGCACACATCAGTACTATGTAACTACCTACAACATGCATGTCCCATGTGCATGTGGCATTAAACGACATTAGGAGCATGTCAACCTGTGTATGCAACATCAATTGTCACTATAGCACATTTGTTCATGCTTCTTGTTGTGTAGAAGCACATTGCACACATGTGCAACATAGTGGATATGAGCATCATGCGTCAACTCTCGTTTGTCCATCTAATCCTCATCAAGAGCTAACCATCTTACTCCCATGTGGACAAGAGAAAGGTTTCTTTTCATTCATAAGTCATCCTTTAGTTGTAGGGTGGACATCTTCAGCACTTGCTGAGTGGCATTTGCTTCTTAAACTAAACATAATCTTAGTCCTTCTATAAGAAGGGTACCATACAACTATAGAGAAATCTGAAGTCATGCAATGTTAAAAAGTGGTAGGGACATTACACAAATCAAAAGACATTCTCTTAAAAGCAAACATCTCATATGGGCATATGAAGGTAGTTTTATCTTAGTAGGGTGTATAGAAATCTTGTTATATCTTGAATATCCATCTAAAAAACAGAAATATTTGTGCCCTACTTATCTTTCTAAAATTTGATCCAAAGAACAAGAGAGGAAAATATTTTTTTTCAATAACTACATTCAATTTCCTATGGTCTATGAAAACTCTCCATTTAGTAGTTAAGTGTGTTTGGATCTCTTCTCCCATAATATTTTTTATGATTACTAGGCTTGATTTCCTAGGCACTACTTGAGTGGGGCTAGCCCATTAATTATTAGAGAATAAAGAAAATATAATCCTATGATGGCATCAAAGTCATCCACCAACAGCACCATGATGTCCACTATCTCTCGACATTCTAACCTTAGTTGAGCTTTATGCACAATATAAATTGTGATGTATGTCGCTGAGCTAACAGCTTTGATTTGGTCATTCCCTAGGGACAATATCTGGCCCAACTAAGAGACACCTCTATTTGAGAGAAAGTTATAAGTCACCCCACTATAGATCATTATAGTCATTAGTCAGCAATTGATATTAGCTTATAAGTGGATAAGTCTAAATTCATTGACCTTGTTGGGTTCTACATGTCTCTAAAATGTGTCTGTCAATTGAAGAGGATTTAATATAAGGTTGTTGCTCCCCATTGAACCTAGTGGACCCCTACCTACACATACTAAATACTCAATAAGGACTTCTGCAAATAAAGCATTCACTCTTGCCATGCCATGTAGTAGTTTTGGGTCATCCCTAGCCCATATCATGAGTTTCCTTGAGATCACCTCCACAGTACTTTCCTCAAGCCCTACCTTGATTGCTGCCACCTTGGAGGCTTTATCTGAAATTATCCCAATGTTTGACACCTTCATCAGGCATCACTACTTGTAACTACACAACTCTATCGAGACAATGTCTAGGATGAGAACCTTCAATGCCTTTCACTACTCCTAAACATCTACCTTGTTTGTCGACAAGACGTTGGTGCAAACAATTGGATTACTACAATCTACTTGTATATCTTTCAATCATTCCTCCATGATTTTGAAACTGGCCTCCACATAGGTGGCAATCAAAGGGATCCACTCCTCTAAGCAAGTAATCCTCCAGGTATGAGTGTCACTCTCTCTTGTCATCTCTAACCTTACTCTAATATCAAATTTTCATAGGGATCCATCTAAGTGCATCTATTTTCATTCCCTTGTGTCAACCCCAACTATCACTCAGCCAATGTTGACCAACCTCTTCATAAGACAGAAATACATAGTCTTGAAAAGCATGTATTGCCAACTCTTTAAGATAATGCATTGTAAAGAGAACCTCTTATCTCTCAAGGTCACCTCCTTTATAAGAGAGTGGTCTTGCATCCTCATGATTACTCTTATAACCACCACGAGTAGTAATGAGATGACACTCATTACTATGGCAATTAATGTGACATTTATCTTAATTGTTCCCACTAATGATGAGGAGACACACTCATCTATGATAGTTTCCATGCACTAAGTGCCCATGTTGCCTACCTTTGTGTTGCATCATATTGTTTAGGCAGTCTCTACAAGCCACAACATGTTGCACTACATCTTGTGCACCTGTAATGTATGTATTATTATTGTGTCAAGTGTCAAACCATGTCAACAAACATATCTTAAAACCTCCTATGGAGGCATGCCCATGAACATTGCAACACTATTTCAGCCATGTCAACATGTCCTTTGCCTACAATGTTCACAAAAGCCTTCCTTGAACCTTGCTCAAGCTCATCATTGTCACTCACTTGAGTCACTCGTGCCCATGCATGAGCTTCCATTGCTCACATATACTGCACCATGTTGCATGTCTCTGCATGTGCACCACACCTTTGTACATACCACACCATGCTATGTCATGCCAACATATGCCTTGGAAGTTCAAAAACACTTTCTACAAACCTGACTTTAACCCAATGTTGATATTAGATTGAATCATGTGTGCCCGTACTCTGTGCATGCTGTGCCATGCATGCCATCCACACTTCCATGCACACGACGCAACTCTGTGCTTGTCAAACCATGCTAGTATGCCCTACCATGTGTCCTTGCACATACCACCATGCAAGAGGATTCACATTTGCCATTGGGCATACAATCCCCGATACCAGGCCTGACCTGATTTCCTCAAAGCTTTTGTCCGCCCTAGAGCCCATTTCAAGAGCTTCCTCCATGCCCCTTGTCCATGCCACACAAATGACTTCAGGCCCGGCCCAGTCAATCCTGCCACAACCCATATCAGCCATTGCATATTTACATACTCAAATCAACCAACACCCATCATTCGCTGCCATCATCTCCCAAAGATGACCAGCGCTGCAGATAAATCTCACAACAATCCATCAAGTTAGTCCGAACCAGATTATTTCCTTGATGAAGGTTCCCAGACGATTGATTCAATTCGGAGTTCAGGGTAGAATAAATCTAATCATAACTAAAAGCGGGTCCATGAAGAGAAGAACTTGAAGGGAGCATGAAGACCTCATATGGACGCCTCCACCTCGGAGTCGGCCTCGACAGGCTCGGATGCACCATTGCCACCACCTCTCAGTCGCGAGGACACGTTGTCAATTGCCGAGTTCAGCTGGTTTATCTTTGCATTCAGTGTCTGCCGGGTCTTCTGCTCAGGCAACAAGAAGAAGAGGAAGATTTTCATGCGAATGAGCGAATGGCTGAATGAATCCGAAAATGGAAAGGTTCATCACCTCCAAGCCTTCGTCATAGTAGATGGGACGCTTGGCCCGCCGGAATCCATACTCATCTTCATTCAGGAGGGATCTCCGGATCTGTGCCCATCACACCAGAGATGAATAAGCAAAGGGGAGCAGTGTATGATCCTGGCGAAGGAGAGGTTAATGTTTTCCTTTGTTTACTCAAGTAAATCATGCAGATGGGTGAATAAAATGGCAGGAATTTCTATCCGTGTTGGAAGATCTTCACATACAATAGAAAAGGCGGCCTGGAATATGTTTCCATTTTGTGGGGAGATAAGGCTCGCGTTTCAGACTGGCTTTTATGTGGAAATTAAAATGTCGTCTGCCCATTGACTCAATATGATTTATGATCTGACGTCATTTAGTTCACAATTTAACAAAAAATTAGGTGGTCAACGAGATTCCAGATATCTTTTGAGGACATTATGAACAGGAGACGCCCATCTGAATGGAGGAGTATTCTGAGGAAGATCATCACCTGTGGTGCAAAAACGTATGCCAGTGTCCCAAATAATGCTCCCCCAAGAAGGAAACCAGCAAGAAAGTCTCCACTTCCATTCCGAGAACCATCGCTGCATTGTAAAAGATGATATGCCACAAGTCAGAAGCTATTATCTTATGCAACAGGACGACCATAGTTTTTTAAAGTAAAATGATCTACACCATATATGTGATGCTTGGGACTTCCTAGTTCATTACAGTTCTGTCCTATGCATCAGAAAAAAGATGTCCTTTGTAGCTTAGAAGAACTTTAGAAAACAGAAAGAGAACAGATGTAGGAGTCATCAAGGCATATTCTCACCTTGGCAACTTGTGAGAAACAGAGTGTGTCCCTCGGGAGCAGTCAAATCCAAAATCCCAACTGCTACGATCTCATATTTTCCCACCCTATTAGCTACCCCTCCCATTTGACAAGAAAAAAGGAGATAAACGCTGCATCCATTTCCAAGATCTCAATGCTTCGCTCAAATAAAATGGAAGAAAAATGGAGAGAAACTAAGCTCCTCATCAAACATCCAGAGAAAATAGATTGAAAAAACTGATATTCTTGAGTTTAAAAATGTTACTGCTCTCAACATGATGATCGTTGATACTAGAACAATTGTTTCATTTGGTCAAGCTCATGATCTAAACGAATCACTTCCCAAGTACATGTTCCTCAATGCTGAGGGTATCCTTGAAGATAGGGAGATTTCGTATTTGATTGGCTATCCAAACACAGATAATACACGAGAATGGCAAAACCGAGAGACGGTTCTTGGTCCAAAAAGAAGCCATGGATCCAAGACGTGAGCTTGTAAATCAACTAGGCTTCTTGGGTACGTAATCTTGAGCTTGTTAAGGATGAAATCCAGTGAGCTACATAATGAAGCTTGGAGTGACAAAAACACACTACAGCTATAGACAGGTTGATAAAAGAAACCGCATCATCATTTATATAGATCATATTAAAACATAAAACAAGCACGCAGAAATAAGGTTAATGTTCATCTCATACTGATCAAAGAAAGTATAAAATATGATTCTGATTTCCTAAAATTAAGCAATCATTGATTTAGTCGCCACCCCATACTTTCTTTACTATTAAGTAATCTTTGATGGTTGTTCTTCCTCCTAACAACAATCATTACTATTCCTTTACGAACCGAATGTTACAGGTGGCATGGTGAGGAAGTGACCGTGGACTATATACAGATCATGGAATCTGGACAAACCCGTACAGAAGAGGAAAATAAAATTGGTCGTCAAACAACAGCATCAACATCATAATCCTTATCCAGTCAACTCAAAGGCAGCACAAAAAACCTTACAGAGCTTTTATATTGATTTTTCCTCTAATATCAACGGTCAATAAGGTCATTTCAAATACATGGGCAAGGCAACCTTACACAAGCTAGACTGAGGAAAGTCCTGTTAGAACCTACTTGGTGGCTTATTTTATCCCAAAGAGTAGCCCTAATAAGGTCCACATTGACTTCATAAAATATTTAGACAATGAGGCAAAGATCCAGAGCAGAGGAGTATGTTATGCTCTCTACTCTGACCATCAGCCAAAGATAAATGAAATTAAAATAATAGAGCTAATGACGCATAAGGACACAAACACCAAGTCAAAACTCAAAAGGATGCGAGTTGACTTCACGTTTAATTTGTAAAAAAATTAACAAGGTGTAAGTCAGAGAGCACATTTTAAGGTACCAAAAGCAAAACATCTAAATGACCAACTTATAAAGGATGGTCTCCAAGGATAAAAAGAAGGAAAATACTTTTCAATGAAATGCACAATCTACATTCTTCTTGCATTCATTTTCATGCCACAAGAAAAAGAAATTCGAAAATTAATATGCATTTACCTGTCTGTGGTACATAAATGGCAGACATCAAGAAAATAAGACCCTCGGAAGAAATATTATAAAAATAAACCCCATAAAATAAGAAAAATAGAATCAAATCGGTTAGTATAATTGCAGCATGCTGTACTAGTTTCATTATCAGTCAATTGAACTCTACTTACGTACATTGTCAAGAAGAAAGTGCATCATAAAGCAACCTCTTCCTATTTATGGGTAACCTACGAAAATGTAGACATCACAGACGTTTCAATGAAAATCATTATTCTGCTCCACAAGTTTTTCCGAAAAGAAAAGAAAAAAAACGAGAGGATGCCGAGGATGATGAAAAGATTCATTATCATACACCTAAAATCTCCCTTTCTAGAAACACGGCTTATGAAACCACAGCTAAAACTCTGATTTTTTTTACAGATAAATTAGCATATGTGTAACCACATGCGTCAAAACAACTGTAAAAAATGCAAGTATTCACATAAATTCATCAAACCCAAAGACAAATATCTAGCAAAAGTCAACAACTAACACTCAATGTCATGAACGGAAAACTCTGGAGATTGGTTGGTAATTGCATACCCGTACTCAGCACGAACAGACAAATCTCGACGATGATTAGACAGGTTCATTTTTCGAGGAGATATCAATTTCAATTTTTGTCTATCCAATGATCGAAGCTTAGAAGAAGGGGCGGGACGAGATGATTCCAAATGGGTTCCACCTGCTTGAACACGAATGTCCATAAAGAAAATTATAAAAAGATAATAGTAAACACTTAATAACCAAAAAGCCATACATACAGCCCAACAACAAGAGAGCTTATACAATAACATCAATACCATCATCCACCTTATCCCAGGTATTACACTGCAGAAGAGAATCAGCAAAAGGCGGAAACTAGAATGGGAACACGTGATGTTAAAATACAGGAATGCCATTGAAGAAAATTTCCAGCTCGAAACTGAAATTTTGTGTTCTTGAGCAAGAAGAAAAAAAAGTCGGTAGAAATCAATAGTCCAGACAAAGGAGTTTCAAAATCACCAGAGAAAAGCTTGAGTGCAGATCCACAAATTAAAAAGAAAAAGACTCGCGAAGTACAAATAAAGCTTTGTTCAACTCCGGAATAGTATGACCAAGCCGTGGAGCAAAGGAAGTTTCTCAGCGAGGACTGCGTACGAGTTCCGATCGGATAAACGAGAACGCATCGACGCTAAATGAGGATCAAGCGCCTTCCGAGATTGGTGACATCCAGAACACAACGGAAGAAAGCGTCAGGTAGAGACAACGGAGAAGAACCCACCTGAGATGTGAAGAAGAGCAGACGACGTCGCCATTTCGATGAACTCGAGAGAGATGAGAGAGCGAGAGCGATCGACGGGAGCGGCAATCCAGACACCCGACGGAAGAGGGCAGATACATATATATAGTCGTGATCCTAGAATTTTTCTCTACATTTCTCTTTAACCCCCCTCTTCTTTCTTTTCTTGCAAGTACGCCCTTTTATATGAGAATACGCGCTTAAAGCCCTTTTCCAACATTAGAAATATCTACACCTCTCTCTCTCTCTCTCTCTCTCTCTCTCTCTCTCTCTCTCTCTCTCGCTCTCTCTCTCTCTCTACAAGAGATGCAGTACATCACTTCATAAAATGAGAGGCAAAAAAAATTGTAACCCAAGTTGCCAAAAAATCTGAAAATTTATATTACAATAAGAACTTTTAAAATTTTAATTTAGATTGATTTTAATTTTTCTGATTTTTATTCACTTTAAACTTGTTTTTATTAAATAGTATAAGTTTTAAGAATAGATATTGACCCATTTAAAGGCTATAATATTGTATTTTTAGAAGGATCAATAAAATAAATTATTTCCTTTTTATGGAATTCTTAAATGTGCCTGTGAATTCAAATGGATTTAATGGAATCTTTTCTATTCTTGTGGATTGAAGAATAAATATTTAAGGCCTTATTTTTATTGTTTTACCACTTTAATTTTTGTGAATTGTAGATTCAAGGCTCAAATTGTATTATTCCACAACTTATGGTACATCAAGAAGTATCAAAATAATATTGACAAATTTGAGGAGCATTTTTTTATTCTTATAGATTTATGGATTATGTAAATCAACCTTTGTGGACTATATGGTTTAGGAATTGGAACTTTGAGGTTTTGAATGCCTTTTGGCACTTTGTGTTAGACTATTAGCAAACACCCCCCTAAAATGGTACAGTAAAAAGCATAGATATTAAGTGGAAACAAGTAGGATCTACCGAAATGGAAAAAGTCAACAGCTCTGGCCCCAAGGACTTGCCACAAAAGGAAGTCAAACTAGTAGAGTTTGTGAGTATATGTCGTAGGGCCTGGCCACCCAAATGGAAAAAGTTAAGAGCTCTAGGCCTGGAGGGCTTGCCACGAAAGGAAGTCAAACTACTAGAGTTGTAGGTATGTGGAGTAGGGGTAAGCTGCTCAAATGAAAAAAGTCAAGAGCTCTGGGCCTTGAGGGCTTGCCACAAAAGGAGGTCAAACTACTGGAGTTGTGGATATGCGGTCTAAGCCCAGGCCACCCAAATGAAAAAAGTCAAGAACTTTGGGCCTTGAGGGCTTCCCAGAACAGAAAGTCAAACTAGTAGAGTTGCGGGTATGTGGTGTGGGGTCTAGTCCTACTTACTGGGGCTATGGGCCCATGGCTCTACTAGCATGCTTACCAAAATAGACTAGGCCGAGCCCACTTTTCTTTTATTGGGCTGATTTTGAGGTCCACTTTCGTTTACATAAGTCTCTTGGCTTAGCAGCACTCAACATCTTATTTTTTTCCTTTTTAAAAATAAAATGTACATAATTTCGGAAATTATCAAACTGAATTACGGGATCCGATTTTGGCGTCTATTAACGGGTTCAACCGAATAAGATCCGAAACAAAAACGGATCTTGACTGGCTACAAAGCGCCCACGACGGCCGCAGCTCCCGCGGTTAGGATGATATTGTTCGCACCCACGTGCTTTACTTGGATTATCCTTGCAGGAACTTTACGGCCTTCATTTTCCCACGTCGCTTAGGTTAACGGTAGAGATTTCACTTAACGGGTATGTTAATCCAGCTGGGCGTGACGATATCAAGCTTCCTCCCCCTTCATACAAACTACGGTGCACCAACAATGGCGGCTGGTCGGGTAGGAAATGGCCGGCAGAGCCGCCTGCTGCAGCGCTCTGCGAAGGCTCCCGCTGACTTTTGCTGCGGTCTCTGGGCGACCCGCTTCCTCTTCCTCCTTGCCGTTTCTGAGGATCTCTCGCTCTTCTGGCCAACGCCGACGGGGTACCTACGAATCCCCTTCTTCGCTTTCGTCGTCTCCAACCTTCGCGGAGGATTTATTGCTTCTTGTTCATCAATGATTTTAAGGGATTAACGTGGTCCTGCGTCGATTTTTTTTGGGTCTCAGATTTCTCTCACTTGGAAATTGACCCGTTAGAGAAATTATGAGAATATATCGAGGGGTTTTGTTGTGTAGGATCTTGTATTCAGGGTTTTTCATATTCAGATATACGAAGGAAGTTTCATAAATCTGATGAAAAAAAAACCCTTTTTGCTGAGAATTTTAGAACCCATTGCAGTTTAGATTTGAAAAAAGTCTAAAATTTTGGTTTCGGGGATTCATTTTCAATCTTGTATTAGCAAACGCATTCGTTCTTGGAGATTTGACTGAATATGATTTGGAAAAGTGTTTGGATATCATTATCTTTGATCCCTGGAAGCCAAGGAGATTTGATAGAGACGCGCATCGTTATTGTGGATAATGCTGAATCTTCTACCCTGGGAGTGGAAGGAAACCTAGTAGCCCCAGTGAGGCGTTAGGCTCTCTTAACGGTTGAGGATACAGCATACGTCGTGTTCTTAAGGAGTACTTCCCATTAAAAGCCCAATAATTTATGATGAAATATTTCTCAAGAACTTGTGATTGAGAAGTTGAAATAATTCATAATGGGTCTCCTGCAAGTTTCAGATGTTTCCCTGGGCGAGGAATTAATGCCATATTTTCAGAAACGAGGAATAACATCATGGGCTATCTGAAGCTTTTATTGGATTCCGGTTCTTTAAATCTTAGGGAATCAGCAGCAGAACTTGGGTCTTACCTCTTTCGTGTAGAACTGATCTCACTCGAAAGGATCAATCTTCAAATATTTCATCTACGAGGGGAAAGTCTCGGTGATACTTTTTTATTGGCTGATGAAAAAAAAAAGAAATGGCAATTGGCACAGCCTAGATTCTGGGACTTGTGTCTCATGCTAACTTAAACTCGTTGAATTATTTTGAGATTTTTTTCTTTTTCACTGGGCTGATACTTTTCCGTTTCATGATTGATGAAATGAGGTGGAGTCGATGAACTGGTACCATTTTATTGGGTTGAACTATGTAATATCATAATAATTACTGGATCATTTGTGGTCGGCCTAATTATTCATCCCTTTTCTTCTTTTTTTTATCTATTTCAGCTTTCAAACTTCGGATACATGGAATGTGTACTGAGTCCAAGTTAGAACCAGCTGTCCAATCAAAGGAAGATGAGTCTCCGGCGAAGGAATGGAAGATCAAAATGCTTTATGATGGGGAATGCCCACTCTGCATGCGTGAGGTATATAATGTCGATTAAATCGACTTAGAATTTTTATTTTTATTTTTTTAATCACAATAGAATGCTATCTTCGGTTTGACTTTTAATTCCTATATTAAAGATTACATCCAAGACCATTTTTTATTTTTTTCTAATTAGAATTGGCTCAGTTTATGCTTTTAATTGACTTGATCACAAAATATTTCTGAGAATGCACTAATTCTAGCATTTAAATATGTGGGTTGACATATTTGAATAAAATTACAGGGTTTCTAAAAAGTAAATGGGGGAGTTATTGCTGAAGTTTTCTGCCCTTTAATATTTGACATAGTTGACTTTTTTTTCCTGTGGAGGCGTATAAACCTTTGTGTATGCTTACTATTTTCTCAGGTCGACATGCTTAAGGAGAGGAATGAGTCTTATGGAGCAATCAAGTTTGTGGACATAAGCTCAGAAGACTACGCTCCAGAAGACAATCAAGGACTTGACTACAGAACGGTAGGCAGTCCGTCATGTGTGATCTTGTCTTTACTCCATATAGCATCATTTTTTATATATTTTAAAGCGAGGAAACTAACAAATTATGCTTTAAAAATAATGAGGAAGAAAAATATGTGATCATATTGGTGTATAATCTTGTGCATGCTTTCTAAACAAAGTTTGGAACTAAATGTAGTCATAAGGTGCTCCCTTATCTTGTCTTTCCTCCTCTGAGAGACATTTTTTTTAATTTTTAAAGCCCGGAAAATATTAAATGATGCATTAATTATTTTTTTTGAGGAATTAAGAGCGCGAATATTTTGTTTCTTGATCTTAGTGTGGAAAATAGTAAACCGTGCGTTAATCATTTTCGAGAAAATAATAATATGAGCTTATTTCTTCTTATCAAAAGAGGAAAGTTTTGACTTTTCTAGTTTGTAATAATAATTTGGCATGACCGTCTACTAATTAAAACTCTTTCTCATTGGAAATAATGATAATAAAAAAACTCATGTTGTGGTTTCAGAAATGGGCCTGATTCATTTATTGCTAGTTAATTTTGAATTGGGTAATTGAAAATTCTCAACATGGTAATCAAAATTATGTACTCCTTTAATGATGAAATATTTTCTACTAATTCATATGACATTTTTGGCTTCCATGTAGGTTATGGGGAGGATCCATGCGATACTTTCCGACGGAACTGTGGTTACCGATGTTGAAGTATGTTCGATCCAACCATCTGAATCTTTCCAACTCTTATCATTTTATTTTATCCAGAAAGGGAAAAATATAATTTCCCTAAAATAAATTAAATTGGAGATAAAAAGATTCGAATGGTCGTATAATTTGTCATCTCACATTTGCTATGTATTATTTTCCGTGCTTTTATTCCCCTTTTCTGGTCCATATTGGTGATCTCTGCCGCATGGCAAACCCTGGCGCCTCCATGTGGCAGCAAGCTCCACAACCCAGCCTACACGGCAAAGCTGACATAATTTCTGTAGAACATTTTTTATTTTTCTAATTTTAGCTTCAGTGACTATAATCTCTCTCCTGATCCCAGCCTCAATACAGGATTTGGTAGTTATTAGATATTACTCAAAATACCCAGAAAATAGAGAAATATATTAAAATATATTTATTGATACCATACGAATAATATCATTCTCATATGATGATCCATGCATTTTCTTTCTTCTAATGATTATTTTTTCAGGCATTCAGAAGATTATATGAGGAAGTTGGCCTGGGATGGGTGTATGCTGTCACCAGATATGAGCCTGTGAGTCTCTACCCACCTTCTGTTGTCGAAAAATATTTTATGTATTTATTTATTCAGAAAAATATTATTTATTTATTTGATGAGGATTAAGGAAATGTTGAAGGGCTGATGTTTGGTGGGTCAACCGGTTGACTTGTTCAGTTGCCATTAACAGTTGAGAGTTTATCGTCAATGGTGATAGTTTTGGTATGATGATTGACCCTCAACGGAGCTTTGACTCACCCTTGGGGTGGTTGACCTCTCAGTGGGTGGTTGACCTCTCAACGGAGTTTTGGTATTCTTGAGAAATTCAACAGGGGACACTTGGTAGGGAGAAGTAAATATGGGCTTGGTTAGAGAGAGAGAGAGAAACGTGTACAGTACAGAAGGGGCAAAGAGGAAATGCCCCCTCTCTCTCTGTTTCTCTCTCATCTTGCGACCCAAGATTAAGTTTTTCACATCCATCTATTTCAACTTATCTGCTCAGAAGCAAAAGTAGGCTTTCTTAGAGAGAGAAACGTGTACACTACAGAAGGGTCAAAGAGGAAATGCCCTCCCTCTCTCTCTCTCTCTCTCTCTCTCTCTCTCTCTTTCTCTAAGCTTATGACCCTAGATTCAGTTTTTCACATCTACTCTAATATCTGTTCACAGGTGTCGACAATAGCTAATGCTGTGTATAGTGTTTGGGCCAAATACCGCCTTCAGATTACCGGTAAGCCTGCTATTTATCCATAATTATATTTATACTTCAATATTCACGCATTGGAGTCTAAGAAAAACCCACAAATTATTTATTTATTTATTCATTTATTCATTCATTGAACTTTATGGCCGTGGGATTTGACTATTTTGCCCCCTCAGGCCGGCCCCCGATGGAGGAGATCTTGCTGTCGAGAAAAGGGGACAAGGTTGGTCTTTTGATCTGTGATCCCGATCTTGATTTTCCGCATCCATCACCGTAGATTCGGTGGACCCTAGACTGGCGTTGACTTTCCTTGACTTTCAGGCTCCGACGTGCAGCGACAACGGTGACAACGAGACCTGCAAGATGTGATCCAGTTTCCCCTTTTATTTGTATATATATATATATAAATATTAGTAAATATATTAAGATAATATAATATGATATTATCATGGGAAGAACAGTTGTGGAAGATTCAATTCAGAAAAATGGGCTCTGGCTCCAACCCTCTGTGCCCAAGAAGAAGAAGATGGAGAGAGAGAGAGAGAGAGAGAGAGAGATGGAGCAGAACAGGATCCTTAAAGTCAACGCAGTTGCAGCATCTGTAGAAGATATCCTGGAATTTATGAAGTCAACTCGACAAAAGGAGAGAAGCTACGAGCCGATGCCGCAAGTTGCAGGATTTCTAAACAGGTCGTTGACTTTCAAGGTAGACATGCCTCCGTCCTCCGCCGCCTACTCGTTGTCGTCGATCCAGTCGCCGTAGATCCGGCTGATCTTCCCGGGGCCCCTCCACAGTTCCAGAGGCCGCCGACCGTCTCTCCGGCCGCCGCCGGACGCCGCGGGCCGCTGCCCGGCGGGAACTCCGACGTGGTAGACGTCGGCGGCAGCGATGGTGCCCCCGGAAGCAGTTGACGGCGGCAGCGGCGGCTCCGCCGGGGCCTTCGACGACGAGACGCCGGCCGCCGGCGGCGCTGCCGCCGCAGCGGTGGAGGACTCCCTACGCTCCGCCTCCACCAGGCCGCCGCCGTACTTGTGCAGCTCTGGTTCCAGAAAGACGATCGGAGGTCACCATGATCGTCGAAATGGAGCAGGATTGAAGAAGGTCCGGCGGCGGAATTCTCGATTTGGAAGATGGGGGGAGAGATTTCATGGGGGCGCACCTGCAGATCCGTGAGCGAAGTGGCACTTGCTGCCGAAGGGACAGTAGCCGGTGGTCTCCCACTTGTTGCAGATCCTGGTCTTCCAGTTGGTCGGCTTCTGAGTCGACCCGGCGGCGAACCCGCCGCCACCGCCGCCGCTGCCGACGGTGATGGCGACGCTCTCCCGAGCTTTGGACTCCTCGTCGTGGAGGAAGGTGCAGGAATCTCCGTAGGGGCAGCCCTCGCCGGTGTAGAACTTCTTGCAGCGCCGCCCCTTGTATGGCCGCTCGCCGTCGCCGGCGTTGTTGGCGGAGGAGGAGAGCGTGGGAATCTGGTGCTCCTCGCCGGCGACGAGGTCGTGCCAGTTCGTCGGCGGCCGGCGGAGCTCCTCCATCCCGTGGGCAAAGTTGCAGGTCGTCACGTAGGGGCAGGTCCCCGCTCTGAACTTGCCGCAGAGCTTCGTCTTGAAGAAGATCTTCCCGCCGGATCTGGAGGACCTGCCGCCAGCGGTGGGATCTCCCTGAGATCCCCGGGCCCGCTTGCTCTGGTACTCATCCTCCGCCGCCCAGATCGCCTCGCCATCGTCGCTGGCGGCGATGGCGATGGTGATCGCCTCCTCCCCGCGGTGCTCCGTTCTGGACATTGAAGCAGATCGACGAAGGTGGAAGAAGATTTGCAGATCCCCAATTCTGCCGGAGAGGAAGTTCTTCCTCGATCGATCGGCTCCGATAGATCCCAAATTGGCGCCGCGGCGACGAAATCAAAACCCTAGCGCCATCTTCCCGCCGGTCGCCGGCAAATGACGACCTCCAATCTCCTCCCGCTCATCTGCACGCAGAAGAGAGAGATAGAGGGAGAGGGAGGGAGAGGATAAATAGGGAGAGATGTGAGATTATCTCTCTCTAAACACAGTAGAGAGAGAAAGAGGTGGACGTTGACGGGAGGAGGGTCACGTGACGTGAGGTTTTGACAGTCGCCTCCTGGGAAGAATGTTTTAGGGCAGAAGAGCGGAGGAAGCGGAGACAGGATTTTCAGGAGGAGGGGGATCTGCGCAGTCTGTTCTTCCGCATTCCTCGATCTGGAATCCGATCTTCATTCCCCCCCGCCAGTGTAGCATCCAAGATCAGAGCGAATTCCCTGGAAGATCACAGGAAGTTCCGGAAGGCGTTCGTCGAATTTGAGGAATCATAGCGCTACCACCAGGCTCTGCAGAGCGTTTTGAAATCGAGTTCGGAGCAAGCAGAGAGGATGAGCAGGAGGAGGAGGGGATCTGCGCGGCCTGTTCTTTCCACATTCCTTGATCTGGAATCCGATCTTCATCCCCTCCCGCCAGTAGAAGCATCCCAGATCAGAGCGAGGTTCCTGGAAGATCAGAGAAAATTCCGGAAGGCGTTCGTCGAATTTGAGGAATCATGGATGGTACTACCAACAGGATCGCGACGACTGATCTCGCTTCGCTGATCGGATCGATTCACAAATCACCTAGTTCAGACCTGAATCAAGCCCCGTCGGAAGAGGAGAGAGGACCGACTGTTCTTGACGTAATCATAGAATTTTTTCTCGGAAAGATCAACGTCGCCATTAATGGACGTCGTCTCCCTCAGATCGATCGCGATGGACGACGATACATCCTGAATTTCAAAGAGAAAAGAGGACGGCAGTCGCGAATTTCGGTCTTTACAGAGAACAGCTGCGGATCAGAGATCTTGTCGTCGGATCTGAATACAAATCACTCCACAATACTACTCCTCTGCGGATCAGAGATATCGGCAATGGCGGACGGCTAACCTTCGGACCTCGCCGCCGACGGCCCTGCGGAAGCTCTGACCTCCCCGGCGGGTTCCTTCCTCTCTTCCCGGCTCTCCGGCGGCGCCACCGCCACCACCGCCGACGGCCCTGCGGAAGCTCTGACCTCCCCGGCGGGTTCCTTCCTCTCTTCCCGGCTCTCCGGCGGCGCCACCGCCACCGCCACCACCGGCGGCGGCCGCGGGGGCGGCGGCGGCGGGGGGGAGGCGGCAAAGTCGATTGTGGCCCGGCAGATGGGGCAGCTGCTGTGGGCCTTCAGCCATGGATCAATGCAGGGAAGGTGGAAAGCATGGAAGCAGTCGGGAAGAAGACGGAGGCTCTCGCCGTCGCGGAACTCGGCGAGGCAGACGGGGCACTCTGTCGTCACCACCAGCCCGTCCCCTTTCTTGTACCTGCACACGGCAATCGACCGGATCGCCCACTCCTCCAGCCCCTCCGCCGTCGAAGAAGGCGGCGGCGGCGGCGCCGCCTGCTGGTGCTGGTGGTGGTGCTGGTCCTGGTGGTGCTCCTGCCACTGGTGGCGGAAGTAGGGGGACCGGCGGCGGCGGCGGCGGCGGAAGTAGGAGACAACGACGTAGTAGGCGACGAGGAGGACGGCACTGGCGAGGATGCCGATGAGGGCGATGATCAGAGGAGAGAGAGAGGCGGAAGAGGAGTCGTCGGGGAAGAGCGGTGGCGGAGGGAAGTATAAGCCGCTGTAGCACCACTGCGGGCAGGAGAGGCTGCAGAACCGCAGGGAGCAGTCGGCACCGCCACCGCCGCCGAACGTCGCCATGGTCGCCGGCGAGATTTACGCCACCGGATCCATCTCCCTCCTCGCAGTGGTCGCGGGCGGCGGAAGGTTTGGGGGAGGAGGTGATGACCCAGAGCAGGTAGCCCGTTGAATCATGATGTAGTAGAGATAGAGCGAGAAAGAGAGAGTATAGATAGAGAAAGTAGGGAGAGAGAGGAGGCTTTCTGTAATTCTTTCGTTCTTTCTAAATTTTCGAATAATTTTTAATTTTATTGGTTTGTGGGATTAATCGGGAGGGATTTAATAATAATAATTTTAATAATAAACTATTTTTTTGGTGCTTATATTGGGGGTGGACCTGGGAAAGCCCGATTTTTTTAAAGTCTAATTGGCTGCCGCGAATATAAAAAAAAGGGAGAACAAATTATGCATCCTCTCTCTACCCCGCTACCCTTTTTCTCTCTCTCCACCTCTCTCTCTCTCTAACCCTCTCTCTCTTCTCTCTCTCTCTCTCTACAACTCGTCATAGAAAAAATTTATTCTCTACCCCACCTCTCTTCCTCTCTAGATGCCCTCTCTTTCTCCCCCTAAACTCTCTCTCTCTCTCTCTCTCTCCCTAAACTCTCTCTCTCTCCCCCTATCTTCTTTCTCTCTCTAACGCTAACTGCGCTGGAACTGAGTTAGACCACAAGATGGAACCCGAAAAGGAAAAGAAGGAAAACCCTGCCTGTCTCTCTCTAGAATGGTGGGACCCACTTATTGACAAGGAGACCGAATATTAGGTGGCACAAAATTTTGGAATCCCCCCTGAGAAACAGGTTTAGTACGAAAAAGTCAACTCTTATTCATATTGGTGTGCCGCAAATCAAGTGAAGGGGATCTTCACGGCAAGCATTAATAATAAACACCTTGTGGGTTTACTGTTATTTTTGTGTCCGTCGGTATACATTTCGTTTATTACTTAATTGGGGATATACCCTCAACCCCCACCTAAAGGTAGGCCGGGGCTAGTAGCTTATGCTGACAGGGCCGGTGTTTTTTCTAAGAAAGTTCTTATCGTGTTTTGTCATGACGTTCGTACCTTCAACCCGGTGGTATTTTTCCACGGGTCCGGTCATGGGGAAAGCAGACTCGTAGCGGTGACCAGACCGCAGACGGAGACCGCTGACCAACCCCAGCTGACTGAGAAGTGGACGGCGAGTGAGAACAAAAGGATGAAAGGGAGAGCGGTGGGCGGTGGCGGGACGGCACTGCGGCATCATTATTGCATTTATATCCCCGAAGAATCTGTAAATGTCTGCTTAATCCTTTTACCTTCTAAACCGGGAGTTAAATATAATACATATTTAATTGATGGGGGATATATTAAATATAATACGTATATATATATATATATATTTCACCTGGAAAATGGACCTTAAAAATATTTCACGAATTATTTTTTAATAAAAAAATGTCACAATATAATCATGACTTTTCGGAGCTTTAGACGAAATGGGTTGTGAAACTCCGAGCCTTGTTGACCTTAGAAAGATGAGTTTCTACTGTACGGCCATTGATAGAGAGAGAGAGAGAGAGAGAGAAGTCGATCTAGCAAGATATGTGACAACCCAGGTGGGGATTTCGTCATGCTTATTTAGTTTATTATGTTTTATCAGCGACATTATTTTATTCAGCTGTCTTGTTCATGGTGGGTGCGTCGGTGGAAGGTCAACATCTGGTTGGACGCGAGTCGGGGTTGCATGCCCCTTCCGGATTGCATATGCCCATTAAGGGTTCGGGTTGGACGTGGGGAAGGAATATCTCAGCAAGAGAGAGAGAGAGAGAGAAAGAAAGAGGAGGAGAGAGAAGAGAGAGAGAGAGAGAGAGAGGGAGGAGATAGGAAGGGGAGAGAGGGAGAGGTTTGACCGCAGAAGGAAATCAGACATTTTCACAGACATGGGTAGGGGGGGAATTTCCAAATCAAGCATTTTAAAAAAAAAACGCCAGGAAAAAAAAGAAGAACGAAAATAAAAAAATCCTATAGAGCCAAAATTCCTCTGTACCTTTCGTAGATCATCCCGGCCAAGAACACCCACCCTCAGACTGAGATTGCCTTCCGCCGGCATCCACCCCAGTCAGCCCTCCTTCCTCTGGCTCGCTTTCAACCGAACTGGTCTCCCCATCAGCTCCTGCAATAAAAGTCAAACGGATCAAAAACTACAGAACCTTGATCACATGTTTCTTGATCATTAAAAATCGACGGATTGAGCCCCAAGATCCCCCATTTTTCCACTATAAGTAATTATCCTATTTGAAGAAAATAGGCATATTTTAAAATCATTTAATGAAAGAACCGCATATTCTATGTTCTGATTATTCTTTCACTTGCAACACATCAATCAATTTTTTTTTTTGAATCACAATAAGATTTTTTTTAAGCTCCAAAATCGCCCATTTTTACCTCCATAAGTAATTATCCTGTTTGAGGAAAAAAGGCATATATTCTGACTATTCATTCGCTTGCAACAAAATCAACCAATTTTTTTTATTTTTTTATTTCAAGAAAACAAAGATTTATCCATTTGAGGAAATAAAAGGGAGGGATCAAGGGAGTTCAAGGCCAGAGGATCTACCTTCCCGTCCAATTCAGATATGGCAGCCTCCATTTCCTCCTCTGTGGCGAATGAGACGAACCCATACCCAGCTGCCCGCCCTGTGGGCGTGTCGAAGACGACCCTCACTGAGACCGGCTTGAAGCTCCCCGCAAAGAACTCCCTGAGATTGTTTGATCTCGCCTTCCATGCGAGATTGGAGACGTAGATCTTGTGCCGTGACTCCATGGTGGCGCCAGCTGGATGAGGCGGTTTCTTCATGCTCTTTGCGAATTCTACTCTGATTATTCTTTCTTGCAGCTCCTGAAAAGCCCAGAATAATATAAGCAGTGAAATTATGTTAATTAAAAGAAAAAACATTCTATGTTTAGCCGGAGTTTTTTTTTTCTCTCCAAAATTGGCCTTAAAAAATAAGCCAGTGAAGAATAATGGGTCGGATGCCTGGGACCCATTTTATCTCCCACGTGGCAGTCATATCCTTCCCTCTCTCACTTCAGGGGGTTGGGCCAGGGCGGGCTCCAGGAGGTCAGGGCCGAAATCCAAGGCCTGTGCCCAGCCCATTAATATCCCGATTATTTCCACATCTATCTAGTGAATTTAGTGGCAGAGAAGACTATTCTTGAGAAAATATTGGTAACTAGCATAGAAGTCTAAGCCCAATTTTCCTCATCATTCATTATGCCAACCTGAAGTCCAAGGAGAGAGAGAGAGAGAGAGAGAGAGAGAGAGAGAGAGAGAGATGATGCCATGAAGGGCATCATCTCAAAATTTTGGTACCATTTTGTTCCCATTGGAGTGAAGAAAATTTTCTCTAGAATGTCAATCATAACAAAATATCCATATTTAGAAAACGGAAGTAGCTGAAATAGGAATGCCATCGCTGACAATGGGATAATATCTATCGATAAAATATACATGTGAGCTTCGGACAAAAGTGATGGGACTAATGAGCTGCTGCTAAAAAGAGTTCCCCAAAGTTAGCATATTCACACCTAATTTGTGGTTCTTCAGGGATTGGAGAGGTGTTCTTTTCTATTTTTAAATTGACGGGACAGTCTGAACTCATGTTTTCTCCGTCAGGATCCCCATGTAACACATTTTTATGCAAAAAATAATCCTAAAACATATTCTGGGCCGTCTATATAGATAGAAAAAGTGAAAAGATTGCAAGATGAATTTAGATAATTGAGGAAAATGAACCGCCCCTTTTCTAAGAATTTATTTGGGTGAACAGTTTCTATAATCTCCAAGTGATTGATGTTCTACTTCTTCAGTTTTGGATCCTTTCAAGATTACATTCTCCCGAGCTTATCCTTCAGTAACATGGGCCACTAAAACAACATTATTTATCATAAATCAAGAAAAAAAAGCACATAATTCATCATTTCGTTGATCAATGTTGGATCAAATAGAGGTAAATTCAGTCAATATTTCTGGAAAAATGAAGGTTTATTCCATGCATCTGAGGGAAGCCACATTCAGAAGCATTGATTGATCTCGTGTTGAAATTTGGGAAAGAGAAAGCTTACATAGGAGTCGAATTTCTCGATGACAGCCCGGGCCTCCTCCGCCGAGTTCATGGTGATGAACGCAAAACCTCTACCCTTTCCTCCCTTCTGCTTGATGATCTGAAATTGCCAGCAGAAGAAACGACGATGTGGAAGATGAATAGATCTCGTCGATACGATGACAAACAAACACAGCGAGAGAGAGAGCAACCTCGACGTCCTTGACGGTGCCGCACTGGCCAAAAAGGTCTCTCATCTCTGGTGCGGTGAAGTTCCACGGCAAGTTGACCACGTACAGCTTCCGCCGCTTATCATCCTCCTCTCCCTCCTCCGCCTCAGCTTCCCCCCCTCCGTCCACCGCCGCCGTCGCCTCCACCGATTCCTCCTCCTCCACCTCCTCCAAGGCGACCTCGCTTCCCTCCACCGCCAAGCACAGCTGCTCCGACAACCTCCTCCTCCGGCCGCCGCAGCGCAGAGACAGCCAACAAGAGATCTGCGAATAACCGATGGAGTAGAAATCCCTACACAGAGGACGAGCATAACCGGAGACGCAGAGCCTGAAACTCCCCGCCAGCGGCACCGCCGCCGTCGAGGCATGGGACGATAGAAGCGCCGCCGTGGTCGTCGCCGGCAACGCCATTCCTCCGAGCTCCCAACTCGGATGAGGAGCGGTGGAAAGAAAAACCCCACCCTCCCATCAGACTTCTTCTTGTGGATAAGGTGGGCCAATCTGACCAGTCGGCCCATTTAATAGGGTGAGGTAACCTGGCCCAGATGGACCTATCTCTCTCCCTCCTTTCGGCCCACTATATACAAAGGAGAAGACGGGGATTTATTTTTTAATAATTTATTATTACCCGGGTTAATAAGCATTGTTAGGAAATTATTATTAGTACATCGAGGATAGAGAGAGAGCGAGAGAGAGAGAGAGCGAGAGAGAGACAGGGGGGGAGAGAGAGAGTGTACCGGCGACAGGCAAAGTCTGCTACAGTATGGGTGGGCCACAACGGAGTAGGGAGGGAGAGAGGGAGAGAGGGGGAGAGTGTACCGGCGACAGGCAACGTCTGCTGCTATGGTGCTATGGGGTGGGCCACAACGGAGTAACGAGAGAGAGAGAGGGGAGGAGTCAAAGAGTATCTAGGACGACCACGTGTCTAAAGATAAAGGTAGTGCGGACTGAGACGAAACATGTGGAAAAGGCAGGATAAGGAGGGTCGCTGTATGTCTCCCAGATCTAAAACGTGGGGAAATAGCTTTCGGGCCCCACAGTCAAAAAATCTACCTCGTGTTAATTCAGACAGGACGGAGTGACGTGCGCACGCTGGTGTCGCCCATCTCCGATTGGCGGCTGCGGCGGCGGCCTTTGGCCCTTCAGACTTATACGGGGGCTTGCCTTGTCCGAAATGAGCCCCAAATGACTCCCAAATTTTCCCCAAATTTAAGCCACATTAAATAATCCCTCACCCCTTCCTTTCTTCGCCCCGCCCCTCCCCGACCTCCATCCTCTTCCCCTCCTTCTCGCCGCTGCTGAATCGGGTGGTGGCGCCGCCGTAGCTGCTGCGTGGCCCAATGAACCTGTGGAGCGACGACAACGGCTCGATGATGGAGGCCTTCATGGCCTCCTCCGATCTGTGGGGGGCCTCCTCCTCCTCTGCGGCGGTGCAGCCGGTTCCCTCCTCCGCCGCCGCCGCGAGCTTCAACCAGGAGACGCTTCAGCACCGGTTGCAGACCTTGATCGAAGGGGCGAGGGAGAGCTGGACCTACGCCATCTTCTGGCAGTCCTCCGATGACGACGGAAGCTCCGTCCTCGCCTGGGGTGACGGCTACTACAAGGGTAGCGGCGGCGAGGAGGAGAAGAGGAAGCTGCCCGCCGCCAGCAACGGCGGGGCCGCCGAGCAGGAGCACCGGAAGAGGGTTCTCCGGGAACTCAACTCCCTCATCGCCGGCGCACCCGTCGCCGTCGACGACGCCGTCGACGAGGAAGTCACCGACACCGAGTGGTTCTTCCTCGTCTCCATGACGCAGAGCTTCTTCAACGGCGCCGACCTTCCCGGCCACGTCTTCATCACCGGCGCCGCCGCCTGGCTTGCCGGCGCTTCCCGCGTCACCGGCGGCGCCGCCGCCTCCTATGAGCGGGTCCGCCAGGCGTTGACCTTCGGCATCCAGACCATAGTCTGCGCCCCTGTCGCCGGCGGCGTCGTCGAGTTCGGCTCCACCGACCTCATCTACCAGAACCCCAATATCATGGATAAGGTCCGCTTCCTCTTCAACCATGGTGGTGGCGGCGCTGCCACCACCACCACCACCACCACCACCACCACCACCACCTCGTGGATGCACGACCCTTCCACCGTCACCGCCGATCACGGCGACAGCGACCCCTCCGCTCTCTGGATCTCGGAACCTGCCGGCGGCGACGGCAAGGACGCCGCCTTCCCCTTCCCGGCTCCGCTGCCGAAGGAGCTCAGGTTCTCCGACGAGCTCTGTAATCTGCCCTCCGGCGAGCTCCTCAACTTCGGGGACGAGAAGAAGACCCAGAGGGCGGCGGCAGCGGCGGCGGCGCCGGTCTCCTTCTCCTCCGCCGTCCTCCTCCCCTCCGGCGACTCCGACGACGAGGACTTGGAGGCGTCGATCCGGGAGGCGGAGAGCCGGCCGGCGGCGCCGCAGCCGCTGCCGGAGGCGGAGCGCCGCCCGAAGAAGCGCGGGCGCAAACCGGCCAACGGCAGGGAGGAGCCCCTCAATCATGTCGAAGCCGAGCGTCAACGGAGAGAGAAGCTCAACCAGCGCTTCTACTCCCTCCGAGCGGTGGTCCCCAACGTGTCCAAGATGGACAAGGCCTCCCTGCTCGGAGACGCCGTCGCCTACATCAACGAGCTCCGATCGAAGTTGCAGGCGCTCGAATCCGACGCCATCTCCATGAACGCCCAGCTGGAAGCCCTGAGGAACAGGGACTCCCCTGCCCGGAGCTCCGCCTCCGTCTCCTTCTCCAGCACCGGCGGCGGCGCAGCGGCGGCGGCGCCGGGTTGCAGCGGCGTGGAAGTGGACGTGAAGATCATGGGGAAGGAGACGATGATCCGGGTCCAGTCCGGGAGGGCCAACCATCCCGCCGCCAGGCTCCTGGTGGCGCTCATGGAGATGGATCTCGAGGTGGTCTACGCCAGTGTCTCCGTGGTCAACGACCTCATGATCCAGCAGGCCACCATCACCATGCCCATGCGGGTCTACTCCAACGAGCAGCTCAGCGCCGCCCTCCAAGCCCGCATCTCCGGCACCCGCCGCCCTCGTTAGAAACCTCTCAGCGGCGGCGGCACCGCCGTCTCTCTCTCCCTCTCTCTCTCTTGCTTCGTCGTGTACATACATGTCTACGTAGTATCTCTCTTTCTCTCTCTCGCTACTGGTTTTTGGGTGTTCTTTACTCAGAAGACTGTCCCGTTTTGTCTCCTGTTGCCCGCCCCTTGCCATAATTTTAATCCCACATCGTTTAATAATTAAATCTTCCTCGTAGACGACGCTATATAGTTGAACCCTCGCCACCGTCATCTGTACGATATTGTTATGTAATCACTGATTGCGGAAGATTCTTGATAAAAAAGAGAGGATTGTCTACAAGTCACTGCCGAATTGGGGCAGGTTCTTTGGCGTGCATCGATCCCCCAAGTTTCATTCCTGTTGCTCACTGCTCCTTACATGCTATGCTGCTCGCAGTATGTACGATTCGTGATTGTGATCCTCGGAGCCGGATCTTCGCCGGTTACTACTGATTATAGTGTTGTTGTTATTTTCTGAATTTTATGCGTAGATCTCATCAGATCCATCCATTACATTATCCCTTCCGAGTCGGTAATGTCCATGATTTCATGATCCCTCGAGTTTCATTCCTGTTGCTTACCACTCGTTACATTCTATGCCGCTCACAGTATGTGCGATCCATGATTGTGATTTTCGGAGTCCGATCTCTGCTGGCTTCCACTGATTATAGCGTCTATATTATTTCCTAGATTTATACGAAGATCTCATCAGATCCATCGATAATTACCTTGTCCCTTCCGAGCCGGTAACGTCCATAATTTCACGATCCCCCAATTTTCATTCCTGTCGCTTACTACTCTTAACATGCTATGCTGCTAACAGTATGTGCGATCCGTGATTGTGATTCTCGGAGGTCCGATCTCTGCCAGGCTACTACTGATCATAGCGTTTATACTATTTCCTGAAATTTATACGAAGATCTCATCGAATCCCTCCGTAATTACCTTATCCATTCCTGCTGCTTGCTACTCTTCACATGCTATTCTGCTCGCAGTATGTGCGATCCGTGATTGTGATACTCGGAGTCAGATCTCTGCCGGCTACCACTCATTACAGCTTTTATATTATTTCCTGACTTTTACACGAAGACCTCATCAGATCCATCGATAATATAGTTATCCCTTCCGGGTCGGTAATGTACATAATTTCAAGATTCTGTAATATCGTCTGAGAAAGGGGTGGGTGGATGGGGCCCCGGCCTTTGTAGCGTAGGGTAATGGACAGGCAGCGGACTGCGATCCCTTTATGCCGCTGGGAAAAAGTCTTCATCCGAGGGTATACGACCGCCATCTGAGACTGTCGGAAAATACTCAAAAAATACGCCATCATGCCCCACAGTTTAGTCTGCATATTATTTTTACTCAGAGAAGAGAGAGAGAGAGAGAGAGAGAGAGAGAGAGATGCATGAGCTTTACTGCCGGCTCCTCCAATCATATATGCATGAGGAGAGAGAGACAGAGGGATATGAAGAGTCATCGGCCACACGATCAAATGTATGGTCAGGGGAGTGGTCAAGGGCGGCGGCTGGTGAGGATTAGAAACCCTAAAATTGCTTGCCTGCTGCACAGAGGAAGGAGTAAAACCCCGCATGATTCCAACGAGTAGCCGTACACATAGTTCTGTCCACTAGCCAGCCCCTTGGGCCCACTGAAGAGGAAAAATCCAACGAACTTCAGGTGAGCGGGGCTCTTATTTTGGCTGCGGTCGCAGGACTCCCTCTTCTCCAAAATAGCTCCCCCTCCCCCCAACCTGTCGGTCCGGAGTGATCTCCAATCTTCGCCGTCCGATTTCCTGATCCGCTGGATTTCTATAAATACATCCATCCGTTGAAGGTCATAAATTTCGCCTCCCCTTCTCCCTCTCTCCCGCTCTCTCTATCTCCTAACTTTCTCTCTCTGAAAAGTTCTTCCTTCAGGAGGAGGAAGGAGGCGATGAGCTTGGCGTGCTGTTGCCTGCGGAGCGAGGCGGCGGAGGGGAGGCGGCGGTCGACCGTTCCGGGGCCGGAGTGGCTGATAGACCGCCGCGCTGGCGAAGACGGCGGCGGAGAAGCGCCGCCGCATGAGCCACCGGGGGGGAAGGGCCACCGGCGGCGGGCGACCGTTGTGGCGGCGGAGTGGGTGATAGACCGCGCCGCTGGCGAGGAGGAGGACAGCGGCGGCGGAGGAGGAGAAACGGCACCGAATGAGGCACCGGCGGGGAAGGGCCACCGACGGCGGGCGACCGTTGCGGCGGCGCCGCAGGTGGCGGAGCCGCGGCTGGCCCGGTCGGGGGGGATGCGGAGGGACTGGAGCTTCGAGAACCTCCGGCAGAGAACCTACGACATCTTCTACTGATTAATTATTGATATTAATATACTGATTAATTAATTGATTAAATCGCACACACCACTTTCGACACGTGGGTGGGAAGTAGAACCGCCATCGCACCCTCCCTTCGATCCCAGGCCATTAATCGTGACCCGAATATATATATTTTATTAACGTCAGAAAGAGGCCAAGGCTAGTATTATTCTTATTTTTTATTCAGTTTCCTTTTTGCCCGCCGGTGAATAAAAAATTTGGGATGGTGGGTTTTGGAAAGATGAATGAGGGTGGCAGAGTGGGCGTAATGACACAATTGCCCTCATCCTCACACGCTGGAATAATATCATTTCAGCACAATAAGAGAATGGCCCAATAACAGGATTGGCCCAATAATAGAAGTGGCCTAATACTGTGCCCATTTAAGGGACCTGCACAGCCCATTAATGCTCTCTCTCTCACCGCCGACGGCGGCGGCGTCACCTGACGATATCACAGCGAGAGAGAGAGAGAGAGAGAGAGAGAGAGAGAGACGTTATCGTGCGGTTGGCCGACCAGTTCCGGATGGGGGCCGTCTGCTCGCCATTCGCCGGCAACCGAATCAACGGCCAACTCAGCCCCCCAATCTTCGGGGATATTATTTCTTGAATAGGAGTTTTCTATGGTTATGACGTCATGGCAAAGGCCTTTGTCTTTGGAGGACGAAGCGGGAAAAGTCAACGGTCCTGATCTCTTCTCTTCCCTAAGACCCTTTTTCTAGATATGCTCGCAGTACGGAGATCAGTGGACCACAAACCACCGGCATTGAAAAATGGGTGGCCACGAATTTTCCTGTCGAAAAACAGCGATATATTTTATAAAAAGAACATTATAGCCTCTAAATTGTTGGACGAAAAATCAAAGTAAATAGCAGAACGAATAACTTTGGTGCAAATTAACTTAAACTGATAATATGTGTTAGGTAAGTAATATATTTCATGATCCTAAATAAATCATCAGAATATATTCCTATTGAGGAATATTAAAAAGCTGTACCCATGTGATTAGATTGAGTACCCGTAAATATAAAAATACTAATTAATCTGTAAACATAATAAAACTTCTATCAAAATTTAGTATTTTAATTTCTACCTTGAAAGTAGATATAAATACTCGTATAATAATATGCCACATTTAAGATAGTTGTTCCCAATACCTCATACCATTTCCGTCAAATGACCCGGCCTCCCCTGGCTCTTCCACCATCCAGGCTCCCTTTCCTCCCTATGTGTTGCTCCCCCGGCACAGGCCTACCACGCTTCGTGCCTACGGCATTTTTGCTTAAATTATTTATTTCCTCGACTCAGAATACTCATATGGTAGTATCTTTAATAATATGACACATTTAAGGTAGTTGTTCCCAATAACTCATAAATTATTACTTTCCTAGATTTGAATACTCATATGATATTATATTTATTAATATGCCACATTTAAAAACTCATAAACTTCCTTTATTCAAATACTCATATAATAATATCTTTAATAATATGACACATTTAAACACTCATAAATTATTACTTTTCTCTATTCAAATACTCATATGATAATATATGTAATAATATGCCACATTTAAAAACTCATAAATTATTACCTTCCTCTGTTCAAATACTCATATGATAATATCTTTAATAGTGTGCCACATTTAAACACTCATAAAGTATTACATTCCTCTATTCAAATACTCATATTATAATATCTTTGATAGTATGCCACATTAAAAACTCATAAATTTTTACTTTCCTCTATTGAAATACTCATATGTAATAATATGCCAAATTTAAGGTAGTTGTTCCCCAAAACTCATAACTTAAGAAGAATCATATGTTTTGCATGACTTTCCTCTATTCATCTAGTAATTTATGAGATATATCTACGTTAAAAATATTAAATGACTATTAGTTGTAATTAGAATGTCTAGGCACCTCTCCAATGGAATGAAGTTGTAGTGGATTTCTACCAGCTTCATTATTCCATAGAATATTGGGTGGGTTCTTTGCTGTACTAGTGATTGATATATCGGTCTCTTCTAAGATAATTCTTCTCTAAATGTAGTTTGCATTGAAGATAATGATATAACAGGTTATGTTCCACATGAAGATAATAGTATCATCTTTTGTTTCTTGAAAGTCCATGACACACTGCTTCAAAAGGGTCGTCTTGTCATTTAGTGATCTCATCTGATCAATGTTTGTAAAAATAATCAAGAAATGTTTCAAATTAAATTACACAACTCACTTTGTTGCACTTCAATGATGACTACAAGGACAATGCAGAAATTTTGAAATCATACTTGGAGGAAAGATCATAGCTATAAATTTAATACATCAATCTTCTAACTAGGGTTATAGAGAAATATTTATTAGTCTTTGTGGCCATGTATGTAGGTTTCAAGTGGCTATTATAGGAACTGAACGGTGGGGATTTTTTTCCTTCTTAGTAATTTGTGATTTACTATAAAATTGAGAATTAAGGTTTATAGTCTCTCAACACATCTGGCTTACTGTACTCACAATGGATCAATTCTTTCAATTCCTCATCAACATCTATTTGTACAACTTCTATAACATAGAGACTTCACTAGTCTTAATTAATTTAGATGCTGTGTTTTTCAAAGATATTTATTCTAGATTCACACTTCTCCCAAACCGATTTAATTCCTATCTTCTCTTTTATAGATTGATAGGTCTATGTAAACCTAAATAAAGTCAAGTACTCAAATATAAATATGATAGACTAATGCTTTTTATAATTATAGTTAATGGGTTCATTGAGAATCAATGAGGGGGGCTACAAGTGCAAAAGTTTCTTTGGTGTGTGGATGATTTCAGTGCACATGAATGGTATAAAAAATGTAGTCGAGAAGACTTGAATATCATCTTGACTTTGAAGGAGTTAATCCTTTTTTAAGACAACATTCTCCTAGAATTTCATTATTGGTTTCAATCCATTGTTCCAATGCTTATTTGCAAGCTGCACAATGACTAGTTCATGGTATGGTATGGTATCATATCCCATTTATATTTTATACATTTTCTCATGTAGACTATATGCCAAAATCGATTATATCAAATAAATAGACTTACTTTAGATGAAAGTATATGTGTATCTATATATATAAATATTAAATAAGACAAATACTCAAGAATATTTACTCAATGTTTAAATAAAATGTTGTCAATAGATTGAAAGTCATACAAATAAGGTTTGTGATGTAAAGTTATAGTTACGTGCTTGTGTTTTGTCTTGTTCTCTAAAATCGTAGAATTTGATTTTTATGAACATAAAATTAGGACTTATTATCACCAAGTGTTTCGATTCACTTTATTTGTGATATCTTGATCATTATGAATAGTAATACTCTTCTTACTGAGTAATTGACTCATGTATAACAAAGGGGTGGATACACAAACTTTGGAAAGCTCTAATGGAGAACATATCATGCCACAAATTGAATTAAAGATCACATAACTACATTAGTAATAATATTTTTAGACATTAATGTAATATCTAGGTCACTATGAGTGTAAAATCTCTTCCTACAGAGTGAGTTGTCTTCCTTCCAAAATCATATGAGGTAGCATGGGTTAGAATTTCTTTCAAATACTTTTGATCAACACAGCATAAATTTGGTAGTCTAAAATTATCATAATTAGGAAGACTTCAGACATTTTTTACCCTTATATGAATTTCTTCAACATCAAAACTAGAAAGACTTCAAAAATCTATACTATCATTAATGAATAGATTATCATTATTATTTATAAATGTAAAATAAAATAAAATAAAATATATGAAATTTCTTGAGCACACCTAATAGATTCTTATCTTGTGAAATGAATGTATCTTGCCATCTAAGAAGATGATGGACTGAACTAAGATCTATCACATCAAATTCAACTATTATTTAATTGTTGAACTCATTTATAAAATAATAAAATGATCTAGTATATATCATGTTATTTTCATTTATATTAGAAATGAGAATGTTTATTGCAACTTGGATTCAGATTACTCTTGTTGAAATAAGAATGCAGTTTATTCTTCTATGCTCCTAGGGCTTACTTTAGCCCATGAGTATTTTCGTCAACTTAAAGGCTCTATTCTCTTTATTGAGGTACTCGAATTTGACTAATACAATCTAGTGGGTCGCAGAGAGAGGGGGATATATTTGATGATGTTTTTTATCATATTTTTATTTTAATAGGTTGCATTTTTTGGGGTTCAATCTCCTAATTTTCTGGACTGAAATTAGTCAGTTGCATCATGTGCTTAAAGAAACGATAAAACTATAACATGACAATTGATTGATTCTATTTGTTCCACTATGCATAGAGTTGGAATAAATAATTTAATTGAGAGATTTTTATTAATTATTCTAATTTAGTATGGTGTAAAAACTTATTTAAGTGCTTGAACGAAGACAACAAAACCTATAAAAAAAATGCATAAAAAAAAGGTACATACACAATTTAGAATGGTTTGGCCTCTGGCCTAGATGTCTAATTTCATAAGTCACACTCTTTAGGTTTCCATCAATCTGCCACAAAGATTATGTATAGATACTCACGTCCATATGTATTGGACATTCTTGTAGACTATTAGCCATTCTAGTGTTTATAGAACCATTGATCGAGTTGCTTAGAGGTAATCACTCTATAACTAACATAATTGGCTTTGGCTCATCAATCAACAAATTAAGACTATATCCCTCCATTAGTACTAATTAGAAGTGCTCTATGTAGCATCCCTATTCATTCACTGGCCACCTATGATGTTTCACTAGAAGTGTTTGACTATGACCTGCCAAAGAGTAAATTGAGGTGTTGTCACTTTTCCATTAGTTTTATTAACTTTGACCCACCAAACAATAAATTAAAGCATTGTAACTTTTCCAATGGCTATATTTGCTTAGTCCCTCAATATCTCACGATGTTGTCCAACCTTCACTAGATTTATTTGCTTTGCTTGAAAAGTAACTTATCAAAGTGTTG